TCACAAAGACCGCGACAATCACGTCCAAGGCCGGGTCTACGATCCGCTTCAAGGTCCGAAGCCGCCGTACCACTCATGGGCTGAGTCTTTCTGGCATAATTGGCGAAGTGAAAGTGCTTCGGTGCGACACTGTCACGCAGGGCGTGTTCCTCGAAAGCAGCATGTGACGGACATGAGGACCCCTCCAACATACATTCTACCAGGGGCCTTTTCGTTCAGTCAATACCTAGCACCTCTTTAGTACGTGTGCGCGAGGTGCGTTAACGGTGTCCACCACACCGCTGCATCCCAGCAAGCCCTAGCTGGGAAGGTCGTTAATGAGCTGGTGCATGGTGAGACTGTGGCCTTCGACCCGAGGCCATCCCTTTCAATATGATCCGCTGATATATGGTGACGGATTCCGCGCTGGAGTGGACCTTGGTTGCGGTCAGAATTGTCGCATTCGGTGATGAAGCCACTTGCTGTTTTGGGGTGATATTTTCTCAAAGGAAAGGACGTCTGGCTATGCATCGAGCCATGGTCAAACACGGTGAGTCTCCCGCGTCAACAGTGGTTTGATTGTGCCATTCGCATTCGGTTGCTAGCCTTGACCTGTTCTTAAAGAGCAGCCACTGCAGCGGCGCAATTGAGGCCAGACGGCGCTTCATGCGGAATGGTCTCTGACGTGCTTACATCTGGCATAACGGAGGACTTCTTGTCTCTAACGACGCTCGTGCACTTGTCTCGCTGAGCTGATACACAAAACACGAATACATGTATGATTTACAGAATAGCTCAAAGTGCAGCACTGACGAGTTCAGAAGGTTTCATGATGTTCTATTTTATCTCTTGACGGGCCCTTGCGGACACCGCTGTAAATGCGACATCGAGAAGGGTAGGGTTTCTCGCTGCATATATAGTTGCCACGTTGTCAAGCACAGAGCAAACCCATATGCTAGCCAGAGCCAATTGGAACCAGGCATCATTGCTACGCTAAAGACAGCCTGGCACAACGTCAAGAAAGGGGTACCTTCCGACGGGAATGATATGACTCACTTACCGTGGCGAGGGACAAGGGAAGGTAAAGCTAGCAAGCTTTTAGCCACAAACTGCCGGAAGAGCTCTTTTCCTCGCGGACTCACCGCCGTCGGTCGAGTCAAGATACCAATCTTGTTCCCTTGGCGAGTGGCCTCGGCGCTTTCTTTGAGTGCTGAAGCATTCACAAGCTGAAACCGCTCATATTAAATTAACGCTCAATTGCCAAGATGTGGAATGACGGAAAGGAAGAGCGGGCAACGGAATGACCTACGCCGCCTCGCATGCTGTTGAACTTGTCCAGTTTTTGCGACATCAACGCGTGGAGGTCTCTGAGCTGAAACACTGACACGCGCAGCTGCACGATATACCCCTGCAAGAGGTCGTGGAGCTTGGGCAACCTCGGGGTCTCGAACAGGTTGATGTAATTCGCCTCGAAATTGTCCCAGGCCCTGATGCTTCCGGCCAGGATATCGCGAGACTCCCTCAGGCATGAGACCGCGAGGGTAAGCTCTCGTGTCTTCGTTAATTAGGTTCTCGTCGTCCAACATCCGGAAGGAACTTTCCTTTGCCAACGTTAGCTACGTTCAGGGCAGGGTGATTTCCTCAGGTAACGAATGGTGTCTGGGACGTACGTATTGATCCAGTCGATCAATGAAGCAATTGACCAGAGCCTCCCACTCCCAGGTGACCTGTTCCATTCTGCGGGAAAGCACGACGACGAAGAACTGTCGCGGATTCCACAGCGGCTGGTCTAGCCAGAGGGAACCACCGGAGGCGGGATCCAGTCTGTGACCCAAGCCACCCCTGCGATACGTCTCGGTGGTGTCAAAGTTGTCCACGCAGCAGTACGTTGTCCAAAGCCATTCGTCTATCCCTGTGACGAGGAAGGAGATCTTCGACTCGTAGTACAAGACGTCATTATTGTTGGCTCGGCCAGAAGGCGAAAGGAGAAGGACGGAGAGGAAGCACTCGGCCTGCCCTCAAAGGTGAGGCTCCCAGTCTTCGGCGCTCTGAGGGGACATTCCCCTTGCGCAGAGCGAGACAGGGCAAGTGGATTTCTAGGGTGAAAGTTGCGTCCTTGTTGAAGACGTTGTCAGTACCTAACCAGATGCAGAAGAATGGCCCGGAAGTCCGCATCGGTGCTGGAAGAGCGTTGAGACATAGAGGAAGACTTCTGTTCATACCAATGTGACGCGCAAGACTGTTCTAAAGTGCAGGATGCGGGAGAAGAAGTCCCTGATGGTGCGGAGGGAACGGCCCGAAGCCGTGCCCGCCAGTGCAACCATGCAAGACGTAGTAATGTTGGATATGTATCTGTACTGGTACTGTAAGTGACTCTTCTCTGAAGCTTCTGGTGGGCGCCACATTCCCGCTCTTTTCTCATGCCTCTGTTGTATAAAGGTAAGCAGGGAATCCTGACCGACAATCCCAGTAGGGGTTACATTTTCCTTCAATCGGGCTACCTATTCCAGGAGCGAAAGGTCCTTCTGCTGCTCCGGCCAAATGTCGCAGCCTTCGGGCGGGTACTCGGTGTATCCCTCTGGCCCATCCCAACGTCGAGTTGACCACGGTCCCATCCCCGGATCTCGTCTATCATCCATCAAAATGGTGTGATGTGGTGGACCTGCGGATTTCGTGAACGACTTTAAGTCTTGGCTCTTGCCGTAGCAAGGAAAGATCGTAAAGCCGCATCGCTGAACTCGGGAGGTGCTGCAAGACAATCCCTATGCACATTTAGAAAAGCCGTGACCAGGTCGGGGATATTATCCTGCTCGAGATAATCAAGCAGTGTGATGCCGTTCGGGAAGATGGCTCGATCGTTCCCCTCCGAAGGGACTTCAGCCTTGTAGACCCTTTCGGCTTTCCGCTCACTCTACTTTTCCTCCCACACTCGATTGAGAGCGCCGCCGTCGCTCCCATTTAGAGACATGACTGCTGATAGCAAATATGAGCGGCTCGTCTGACTTCGAGAGAGCTGAGAATACGGACCTCCTTGGTGGAGATGGCGAGGCTATCGTTCTGAGCTTGGTCACCTGATAACGGTTGCATTGCCATGTCACTGTAGGGGCTAGTGTATGCTGCGTGTGGTCTCCTCCATGTGAGTCACAGTCTTGGTCGGTTAGCGGCGGCGTGCTTGGAGCGCCATGATCTCGCGAGGCGCGGAGTGACGCTGCTCTGAGGCAGGCACACTGCCCCAGATATCGCCATCATGGTGAAAGTAACCTGGTCTGGAGATTGAATGGGAGTCCACTGTGACGATGAAGTCAGAAATCCTTCACCGGAAACGTCAACAGAAAGACGGTTAACCTCGTGGTCTCCAGGGTCCGACGAACACTTGCATTCTCCCCATATGCGCCCGGTATCAACCTCTAGCTTCCGGCGTAAGATGGAAATGCGTGAGATACCCGTTCACTCCAACAGAGGAGCCAGGATCTCATTATTGAAATAGTGCAAGGAGAATTGTGGAACCGTCAATAGTGAGTCTACAAAGTTTTGCTCCTACAGTCGCTGCGGCCACGAAAGATGCGGAAAGTGCAAGGTTTCGGTCATACCCGACAAGCCGCAGCCGGAGTCAGATCCAGATCCAGAGCCAGCGACAGAGCTGGTTACAGGTTTCCATCCCGAACGACTTCCCTCCAGGGAGCTCTTCTCCCTGGTACTGCGTGTGTCTCTCCTCCTCGCCGTTGTGCATCTCCGCCGAGTGAGCTAGTGCCGTTGTATGGGTGTCAATAATAATCCTGCTCGAGAACTACGTTATTGCGAGACCTGAGGGGGAATCTATCCAACAGCATAGCAATGGACAAACCGCTCGCTGCTGCCTCGCCGCTTTTAAGACCCGCATGCGGACGAGTCGCCGCTCTCCTCTCACCCTCTACTCAACCATCGACTTGGTCCCATTTTCGTCCTGCACTCCTGCCGCTCTCTCGTCTCTCGACCGCCGGGGCCAGGAAATCAAATTGGCTACGGTGGATAGGCCCCATTTTGGGTCCTCTTAATCGGATTCTGCCTCTCGCTGTGCCGACCGTCGAGGGTGCCTTCCCCCTGCCCTGGAAGTTTGACCTCCGAGCTCAGTCAGTCGATATGTGCATCATATGACAGGGGTACTCCTGGTGGCTTCCTGGAACCTCGAAAGCACCATAAAGGCCCACGAGGCCACGCGAACTGTCGCCGTAAACCTTACCGCTAGCATCGCAGAACTTCGAGGAGGCGAGCTTGAGTGCCGCAAGGTTGTCGGCTAAGGCAGGTCGATAACAGATCAGCGTTGGCTCATGACCGATAGGCAGTGGAGCATTCCGATACGAGGTACTCCGTACTGCCCGAAAAGGCTGGTCAGCAAGCCCGAGAGACCCAGCCCCAAAACGCATACTGTAAACATCCGGCACCCTCACAGGAGGCCCTGACCGTCTTCCGCCGAGCCGTCCGGGCAAGCTAAGCCCCCTTTGCCGAACAACCTTTCTTTCTTGCACCAGATCTTCCTCCCAATGCGTTCTTCCTACGACATCGTCGTCCCTGCGTGACAAACCTGGCGTGGCGCGAAACGAAGCTCTATCCAATCTACTACGACGATAGAGCGCGAATTAGCTGGGGTGCTATGCCTGCCTCCCAAAGGTTCAGTGTCCAGTGCCCTCGAGTTTGAGGTGGCCGTCTTCTACCCCTCGCAGAGCAACTGCATGGTGCCTCATGGCCATGCAGCTAGATCCTTTGGTCTCGGCTGTACAATGCGTTTTCCAAGCACCCATCGCACGATGACTTGATTCTGAGAATAGCCGAGCAGAGCTATCCATGCACGTTTGAGAGTCGAAATGTGACTCTCGAGGTAGGTGCATGGCGGCTGGGACTACAGAGACCGAACCTCATGAGCTATGATTGATAGCTTCGATGGCCCAACGGCCTTCAAAAGTCTGATGTCTTCACACATGCTTTTGTCCATGTTGCTGGACTTCTACTTGGTGTTCCAGGGTCGCAGTTAGCACTCCGCCACGATGCTGCACTCCCATTTTTTCTCACCCATCGTCCTGTCCCTCATCTCAGTCTCTACAGCGTACTACCGCGGCGGGCCTGTTGTTGGTAACAACTTCGGCGTCCCAGGCCGCAATGCTACCTTCGACTATGTCATCGTCGGTGGTGGCACCGCTGGGCTCGCGCTGGCAGCTAGACTTGCAGAAAATACGTCCCTTACTGTCGCAGTCATCGAAGCTGGTGGTTTCTACGAGATTGACAATGGAAACCTGTCCATCGTACCAAACCTAGGCCTTGCGTACGATTTTCCGGGGCTCGCCTTGACTGATGCTTACCCGACCGTGGATTGGGGCCTGACGACAACAAATCAGACGGGACTCATGGGGCAGAAATATCATTATTGGTATGTACGCAACAACAATTCCAGCGAAGCAAGCTGATTAGTCTGGCAGGAGAGGCAAGACGTTGGGCGGAAGGTATGTCAGCTGCATCCGCTAGAAGTTGTTGCTGATATCTCAAGCTCTGCTCTGAATAACGAGGTCTATCACCGCGGTTCCACAGGCAGCTACCAACGTTGGGCTGATCTAGTTGGAGATGATAGCTATACGTTTGAGAATCTGCTGCCTTACTTCAGGCGGTCGGCGCACTACACGCCTCCTTCCTCAATACGTCCGGAAAATGCCAGCGTCCCGAACCCTGATCCGAGCAGCTTCGAATCTTCGGGGGGGCCACTTGAAGTGGGCTACATCAACTTTCCTCTGCCTTTCGGCTCGTGGACGAAGCTTGCATTCCTGGAATTAGGATTTAATCTCACATCTGATTTCAACCATGGTGAGCTCAACGGGTTGACTCAATACGTGACGCAGACCATTGCTCCTGACATGACACGGTCGTCGTCGGAAGCATCTTACCTGCAATGGGCACTCGCATCGGACAGGCAGAATTTGCTCGTCTACACACGCACTTTTGCCAAACGCATTCTGTTTGATGCCCAAATGACAGCCACGGGCGTCTCTGTCACGTCGTACGGCCTACGATTCACCATCAGCGCTTCCAAGGAAGTCATCATCGCAGGTGGTGCTGTTCATACACCACAACTGCTGATGGTCTCTGGCATCGGTCCTGCAGACACCCTGAACGGCCTTGGCATTCCTGTCGTAGTTGATAGTCCAGGCGTTGGCCAGAACCTGTGGGACCACGTACTCTTCACCATTACCTATCCCGTCAACGTCATCGGTGGTGGCTATTGGCTCAACAATTCAACAAACAACGCCATCGCGGTGGCCGAGTATGACAGCGACAGAAGCGGTCCGCTGTCGAACACAGGTTTCGACTACGTCGCATGGGAGAAACTGCCGTCCGAGTACCGTTCCCGCCTGTCCAGCTCCGCGCTCGCCGACCTCGCCACTTTCCCCTCCGACTGGCCCGAGCTCGAATTCATCATCGGCGACGCCAATGACGGCACAACAGACACCTCGTACGCTTCCGTCATCGGTGCTCTCGTGGCACCACTTTCGCGTGGCTTTGTGACCATAAACTCCTCTGACACGACCGATCTCCCCATCTTCAGCCCCAATTGGCTCGCGCACGACACGGACAAAGCAGTGGCCATCGAAGCGTTCAAGCGCTGCCGCTCCGTCTTTCAAACCACCGCCGTCCAGCCTGTACTGGCGGGTCCAGAGTTCGCTCCTGGTGCGGCCGTACAGAGTGACGAAGAGATCTTGGCGTATATACAGCAGACTGCGACGACAGTATATCATGCGGCTGGAACGGCCAAGATGGGGAATAGTAGTGACACAATGAGTGTGGTTGATGGTGGGTTTCGGGTGAGGGGTGTCAAGGCGTTGAGAGTGGTGGATGCTAGTGTGTTTCCGGTATTGGTGCCCGGACATCCAACGGGCACGCTATATGCTTTGGCGGAAAAGGCGGCGGATGATATACAGAGTGGACGTTAGGTAGCGAGGAAGAAGAGATCTACATATATCTATATTGAACAGTTGGTCACATACCTGAATATATCACTCGACTCATATACTATGTTCGGCAGGGCGGTGTTGACGACTACGAGGCCGCCGAAGGTCTGGCGAGGAAGCGCCTTAAAGCTGACTTCCCGTTGGATGGAGAGACATCGTCCGGCAACTTGTTATAACAGGTCGTTCGGAATGTCCGAGGATCGCTGTGCGTTTGAGTTCGAGGCTATGGTATGGAGTTTTGAGCCAGGAGTTGGCGGACGGTTCTTCTTCAGTGATTTACGAACTGATGGTAAGCGATCATAGGGATCAGACAACCCACCTGTGCCGACGAGACGTGATCCTAAAAGTCCCGACAGCGAAGAGCATATTTCACAACTATGGTTGACTGCTGGCAGCCATGATACAGTTTGGTCGGTCGTGGAATTGGACGGTTACGTCTTCCCCATACTGCACACCCTTCGAGAAGTATACGCTGGGTACCTTGTCAGCCAAGGCAGCTACCTCGTACTAGGAGGCGATAGTCCACCGTCCTCCAGGGAGGATCCCAGGAGTTCTCAAACTTCCCGTCCTGTTCAATCGTTCACCGTTACTGCGACGACAGGCTACATGCCGCTCGAAACCCTCTGCGCCCGGTGTGATTCAGCCGTGGTCAAGTACAGTACAGACTTGTCCATCTTGGTGAAGACGTCTTTGTGCGCAAGACAGCGGCAGTGGTATGCGCGTGGCCTCATGGCACGTGTAAACTTCCAATTAGCGCGGTAGGATACCTTATGTTCCTAAGAGCGGGAAAGTCCTCCAGTAGCGGAAGCGCTGCGCACGCTGGCGCAGGTTCTACTGTGGTACTCGCAATCTGTCCTGGGACCAGGGGATCTCCAGGCCCTTCTACCTACCTAGGTACCGAGGCTGTTGTGGAGCATAGGACGAGCTCACCCTAATTCGCACCAGTCGGGGGTGAGAATAGGGCCAGCATCACCCTCGTCTGTATCGGGGGTCCGATGCGCGAAGTGGTAGATCCGGGACTTGAAAACCTCGACATCACGCACGTGACTCTCAGCACGCGCGCGCGTCATCACACTCGGTCTTCTTCTTCCGATGATTGTAAATAGAAGACCTTCGTCTTACCAGTAGATTTCATATGACAATTGCATGCCACAGTTGGTCTGATCAGCCCTGCTGGCGCGCCTTGACACGCGAGCATTTGTTACTCACCTTGGCACGCGTAGATTGCCGCCACTGAGCCCGTAGGCTCCACCCTTATCGCAGCTTCTTCTGCTTAAATCCCTAATCTTCGAAGTATACCGCTGAAGACCGCTCCTCGAAACTCGCTTTTTGTGCGTACAGCCTAGTAGTTCACTTCAGCCTCTCTTTCTTGAATTGGACTACTTTGACGAAGGTTTTGACAGTCGGCACAGAGCAGACGGGACAGCCGGCTGGACGCAAGATGTCCCATTCTCAACCTTTCCCGAGATATTTGGGAGCCGACTCACCCGGGAAGCCAGTCTGCATTGTAGACCATCTATCTCAACTCCCCAGGCTCCGGCCTTGGCATGGCCCGCTGCGTCCGATACAGGAAGCACTCGCCGAGTCGTGTGGGTAGAACAGGTAACAAGTCTTCCATCTTGCAGTTGCTTTCCTGTCTTGCAAATTGACGCTTGTTCGATCGATCGGAAGATGCGAGCCTCGATTCCGAGAGGCCGCATGCAGGAAGTATTTAAGACAATCCAGGACCATCGGTTGTGGTCGAGAAATAGGTGACTCGCTTTCCCGAGTGTGTGCGACGAGTCGGATTCCAAGCCAGCACATGCAGAATGATGATGACCCGCTTACCATATCATGGCCTGATCGCAACTTTATTGGTGGCCTCGCACGCCGCCGCCGCTCTTGACATCCTCTCCTCAGGGGCAGAAGGGTCGTTCACCTTCTCTCTAACTGGCCCAGCCAACTACTCGGTACAGACAGAGGACTTCTCAACGGGAATCTATTATGTGCCGCCGATCAATCAATCTAGGCCTGTGGCCGAGTATGCGCCATCTGCTTTGAGCCATCTCGTGGAGGCAGAGGCCTACATCCCCTTCACCGTCTTTGTGACCAATGCCAGTGTCGTGACCGGAGGAGTTCTCCGTGAGCTGGTGGCAGGGTACTCGGAAGACGATGTCTTTACATCCGACTTCTTGGAAGGTATGTTTTCGTCGCGTTCCTGTGCTCGGTGCTTCGGCCCGGTCTCTCGAGATCACCAGCAGCTGACTCTCGTTTGTCTATAGGGATTGAGATCATAACGACTGCCGACAATGCGACCTGGGACCAATCGGCTACGGATTACCTGGAGACTCTGGGACCGATGCTGCTCCTCCTTCCGTCCACTGTGACCCCCAAAAACCTCAACGACTCGTCGTCTTCGTCATTCACGACGGTCACCGTGCGCCCGAGGGTCGGCGTCACCCCTCCTGGACCATACCTCGCAACTCTCACGCCCTCCGGCGCTTTGACGCTGCGCAAAGTCTACGGCATGTTTTCTGACTACCAGGAGAGCTTCCTCAGTGGCGTCACCGAGAACGACGACGGCTCTTATTCTTCGGTCATGTTCTGGAATACAGTGCAGTACGCGCCGCTGATCCCCTTCCCTTCGAAGCTGTACTCGTCCCTGATGGACCCGGAACGATACCCTCTTGCCGGAATGAGATTCAGTCTGAAAGACCTCATGCCCGTCCGAGGCATCGTCCTCACTGGCGGCAGTCGTGCGTACGCCAAATTGTATGATGCCCCAGCCAACGAGACCGCTCCGGCCATCAAAAGGCTTCTCGACCTCGGCGCCGTCCTGGTGGGCATGGCGAAGCTATCGACCTTTGCCTATGGCTCGTGGCCCTATCAAAACATGGATTATTCGGTACGTCCGACTTGGGTTGTGGCTGAGGTCCTTCTCCTCTCGCCCGTCGAAATGACTGACGCGAGACGCTACTACAGTACTCCTGGAACATCCGTGCGGATGGCTGGCTGGGTCTTTCTGCATCGAGTTTCGGCTCGGCCGCTGGCATCGCTGCATATGATCAGCTCGATTTCTCGGTAGGGAGCGACACCACCGGAAGTGTACGGAACCCTGCCGACCGGGTCGGTGTTTATGGGTGAGTGACGACGTCGACAGCCCTGAGCTCCGCTTCCTTGAGACTCCCAGTTTGCGACAAAGGAACTAACCGCTCAACCTCGACTTCCAGCATTCGACCATCATGGGGAGCCATCGATTTGACAAAAGTCATCCCCAGCGCCACGTCCATGGACACCCTGGGCGTGCTCGCCCGATCTCCCATGATATTGACCAAGGTCTTGGGAGCGTGGGAAGCTGTCGAAGACGGCCCACTGGAGAAAGGCAACTTCACTTTTCCCAAGAAAATCATCTTCCCGGTAAGTGCGCCATCCACTCCTGGCCGTCCCCATGGCGAGACAGCATGAGGACACAAACTGCCTTGACCGTTCGTCCCTACTAACGTTCTGCCTCGTCACCGGCCACAGTCGGAATTCTTCCCCGTCAACAACTCGGTCGCCCAGGATGTCATCGACACCTGGCTGGCGAACATGACCGCAGCCTTGGGCATGGAGATCGAGCAACAGAACGTGACGACGCTCTTCCACGAGACGATCAACCAGAATGACACGCTCGCAACCTACACCTCGGATTTTGGTTCCCTGACACGCTACGACAACTGGAACCTCTTCGGCGAGCAATTCGTGGCGGACTATCGGGAGCGCTTCGACAACCGCACCCCGGCGGCCGACAACCAAGTGCTCATCGCCTGGCGGCAGGCCCGCACGTACCCAGACTACCGCAAGAATTGGAACGAGGATCGCATGGCGACGTTCGGCAACTTTGTCAACGAAAAGGTCATCCCGTACAACAACGAGACCTGCACCGAAGGCTTCTGGATGTACCACATTTCCGACACGGGAGGTGGTGTCCCCGAGTACCGCGACGTGTTGAACTACGACTACTTCCCACCCTTCCGCCCCATGCGCGCCGCCTCGATAGCCCCCTATGCCAAGCTGGTGGATGTGACGGTGCCTATTGGCACCATTACCTACGACAGTCTAATATCTCTGGTGAGTTTTTGACCTCTCGCAAACCCCGCGCTGACCGTGCTGTACGTTGCTGATGCATGTATGCCCAGCGTGAGGAAGAACTCGTCATCACTTTGAACTTTGTCGCCCACCGTGGCTGCGACGCCGTCCTTTTCCAGTTCTTGAACGCCTGCGAGGCCAAGGGGTTCTGCAAGCCGGTCAAAACGGGCATCACGGCCTGGTAGTTGTAGTTGGGTGTTGTGCGTCATACATTTACCCGGTATCAGGCCACAACGTCTCTATCTACCCACTGGTCGTAATAGTCTGAGAGGGACGAAGCGCGCGCAAGACTAAAGATGAAATCCAGAGGTAATTCGGCAGAGTACATAGTATCGGTGCCGGCTCTCCTCGACAGCTTCCACGAAAAGCCGAGACCATCAGTGATAGAGACCACTGAGGCAATTGTTTCCGTCAAAGTTGTAGATCATAGGCCTGGCCTGTCGCAAAGAGTGAAACGGCGTATGCTACTTACCTCGTGGCAGTTCCCAGATCTACCAGGACGTACTGATTAAACTACCTTGATCCGAGCTGGGACGAGTTATGCTTCGCCGAACAGCTGCTCACATCGCTGTCGCAACACTCCCTTGCGAGTTTCAAGATGAACTCACCGCTATCTTCATCTTCTGTCCTTTTTAGCTCTTCACGCTGAATACTATCCATTATATGACGACGAGCTTAACCGGGAACCGGAGCACTATGTATATGCCAAGACGTCGTAACCTTTCGCCACCATTGTCCCGCGACTTCACCAGGCTCGCGCGAGCCGGGGGTGAGCATAAGGCCGCATCACCCTAGGCTCGAAGCAGGGTGAGCCGTGAGTGGGCACCTTGGCAAAAACCGAGTCTGTCCTGGCCCTGCGAAGGACAGGACGTGCGCGCGACGAATTGTCGCAGCCGTCGAACATTCGCACTCTCTCGATCCCCTACTTGTACCACTAGCTGACGATCATCACTCTCAGTTCCGCATGTCTCTCTGGAGGTTAGCCGTCTACGTTCCCAGCCCAATCATGCAAAGATACTGACCGTCGCCAATAACCTAGTTCCTACAAGACTCTGTCGCCCAAAACGCGCGCCATGATAGGCGCGGCTCTTATGCTGAACGCCTCGGCCATGCTCCTCTTCTCCGACCAGGTTGAAGCTGCGCTCGGCGTGACGCCCACTCCGGAAGAACAGCAGAATGTGTTCAAGTTGTACAGCGTCGAAAAGGAGAAGAAGGGATGAGGCAAATCACCCCATGCGTCAGGCACTCCCTGCCCAGAAGAGGGAGGCTATACTTTACGGAATGGCGCGAGGGCAATACTAGCACGTCGTCACGATCATGCCTACTTCGACAACCATTGCCCTTGAGACCGAAACCCGTGGATGGTATCGAGCCGGAAAGTGGGCGGTCAGACCCATGGGTGATGAGAATCGCTTTGGCACTCCCTGGTGTAGTAGCTCGCTCAGAGTGATCCTCCGGTGCTGGCGTCGGCTGTCCAGGACACATTGGCTCTCAGGAAATGGATGATGTCGAGGTGGCTGAAGGCGCAGTGCGCGATGGCTAGAGGGATGGCACTTCATGGCGTGAGATGGTCGAACCTGCTACACCCACACGAGGCCAGAAGTGCTGAACCTCTCGCGATGGTGTTCTAGAGGCGGACACGAGAGTACTCAGGGCGCATCCTCCATCGAGCATGGCCCGACGGCAAGTGCAAGGCTGCCAGCGATGCTGCCTCCTGGCATCCGCCCGCTGTACCACTCTCAAAAAGTTACACGACGGTAATCTACGCCATGATACCAACTGTCAATGGGTACAAACATCGATAACCGATCTTCTTGCGCTCAACTTGAGTGCAAATAGTTCCACAATTCAAGATAGTCTGGGTGCACTCTTGCCACTAGCTAGTGCAGGTGCCAGAGAGCTAAATTAGCTGGATATATACTCCGTAAGAGTCGAGCAAAGATCAGGTACAGCACGATCACAGCATCTTCCACGTTGACAGATACTTGAACTTTCGATGATCAAGACTGGCTCCCTAATAATTAATTGGCTGTTGAGCTTTCGGCCCTCCAATAACCCGAAACTCCGAATAGATTTGCACGTCAGACCTCCTTTCACCTGTTCCCGTCCTGTTTCGGCGACGCGTAGGTCGAGCTCTTGGGATAGAAACCTAAAGAAAGGAAAATTCCTCATCTTGGTCTTAGCTAAACCCTAGCGGAGTTCTCTCAGCTTGAAGACGACGGGGCAAGAAGGCTATTCAAACACTATATCGGACGTGTGAAGCCGGGTCGATCAAACCCGACACGCTCGCCATGAGCTCGCCGCGCTCCCTCTTCTTCAATCTCAAACACATCCACGCGCGGCGGAAATGCCCATGTCCTGGTACGCTCCAGCGTCGCAGCTTCGCATCATCGACGCGCCTCTATCTCAGGACGACGGAACTTGACGACTCCAAACTTAGTGGTCTCCAAGTCAACCCTTCCCGGCTGTGGGATACGATCCACTCGACCGCGCAATGGACGTCAAAGACGTTCTCCAGCGATATCATGCGTGCGGGACTCTCGCGCTTGACGCTCACGGACGAGGACAAGCAGGCCCGAGACTGGTTCGTCGCCACGACTGAATCGTTGGGTTGCAAGACCCACGTCGACCAGATGGGGAATATCTTTGCCGTGCGGCCAGGGTTGAACAACGACGTGGCAGCAACGTTCGCGGGCAGTCATCTCGACAGTCAGCCTAGTGGGGGCCGCTTTGACGGCGTGCTGGGCGTGGCTGCGGGGATTGAGATGTTGAGGGTGTTGAACGAGAACTGGATCGAGACCGAGGCGCCCGTGGGCGTGGTGAACTGGACCAACGAAGAGGGTGCGAGGTTCCCGGTCAGCATGATGGGGAGTAGTGTTTGGGCGGGACGGATGCCCATCGACAAGGCGTGGGCGAGCAGAAGTGTGAGTGTCGGAGCCACGGACGCGACGGTCAAGGAGGAACTCGACAGGATTGGATACCTTGGAGATGTTCCGTGCCGGGCTGGGGCCGAGGGCACGCCTTTGGGAGCTCATTTCGAGCTACATATCGAGCAGGGCCCGAAGTTGGAGAAGGCGAGGCACAAGGTCGGCATTGTCGAGGGCGTCCAGGCGTACAAGTGGTTTACTGTCACGATTACGGGGCGCGAATCTCATGCTGGGACTACGGACTTTGATTCGCGGGGCGATGCACTGTTTTTCGCGGCGACGTTCATCCAAAAAGTTCGCAAGATCGCCGAGAGTCTAAAAGGCCTTGCGACCATCGGAATCATGCAGGTGAGTCCTGGGAGCGTCAATACCGTGCCGGGACAAGTCACGATGAGCTTGGATCTGAGGAACCCGATCGACAGGGGGTTGAGGCGGATGGTGACGAAGGTGGAGGAATTCGTCGAGCTTGTCAACACCGGCACTGTGCCAATCAGGGAGCAGCATGATGGGCCAAAGAAGAAGAAGACCAGCAACAAAGCAATAACGTTTGAGGAGGAGCAGAAATATAGGAAGATGCATGAGAATTCCCTCACAAGGATCCATCTGGATTTGAAGGAAGACTTCTCAAGTGATGCCACCAAGTTCAATATTGCAGCAGTCAGTTGCGTTGAAAAAAGCGCCGAGAGTTTGGTCGGGCAGGACAAGATTCAGAGAATTACAAGCGGAGCAGGGCACGATAGTGTTTGTACGAACGCGCACTGTCCCACGGGTATGATCTTTGTGCCTTGCAAGGATGGAGTATCACACAACCCGAGCGAATGGTGCCAAGAGGAGGATTGTGCGATAGGAGCGAACGTGCTCCTGCATTCCGTGTTGAGGATGGATCGCATGAGGAAGGAGAGAGGGGAACTCGATTGACATGGTGCAAGCGGTGGAAGAAATTAGCAGAGGACTTGCGACAAGGCTTTGAACAAGCTCACTCTCGTCCTTACGGGCACGAGATGTCTTGAGGACCTATGAGCTTGCGCTATTCATCTTCACCACGACGGTTTGCTTCCGAGGACGGTCGTCGTTGGTACAGGCTGAAGAGCTCTTCGGCTGGTTCGGCGTACAATCAACGCATGGTAATGCCAACCAGCGACGTTCAAGAAGCGGGAGGCGCACCACGACCGCGACCAAATCCACCACGGAAAGTAGGCGCGAATTCACCAGGAGCACCGCCCTCCTTGCCCTCGCCACGATCCTCACGACGACGATATCCTCCTTCGCGATCACCACGTGGGCCGCCACGACCGCCTCCACGGCGCTCGCCACGGTCGTCACCACCCATCATACCACGCGGAGGAGCATGGCTGCGTTGTTGCTTGATGTGCGTGGCAGGGACGATCTCAGCGGGCAAGTGCAGCCATTCGCGCAGGTAGTCGAGGCCCTCGGGGGTGAGAGTGTAATAGTAGTATTGCCAGGAGAACTGAGTCTTGAGGTAGCCGCGGGAAGTGAGAGACTGGCAAGCCTTGATGACCTGGAAATGAAATATCAGTATCTGGTCGCGCCAGGTGTGCAAGTCGAGGCTGCGCATACATAGAGGTTCTTGGTGTCAATGTCGCCGTGCTTGGGGAGATTGAAGTCTTTCTTGGCCACGAGCACACCTTCTCGGAAGATGTACTCGTGGATCTTCTTGCGGTCGGCCTTGGGGATGAGCCTGCGACAGGTTGTCAGTATTGGTAAAGACTCCATGCGGTGAGGGAGCTAACATTTTGGCGAGCTTCTAGCCTGCCTTGATCGAAAATGTAGAGACGAAGAGGATGGAGAGTTTGTTGCCGCGAGTTCCTGGCGCTCTTCGGGGAATCGCGTACAACAAGGAGCAGTTGAAGTGGGCGATATTGAGGGAGTGGCCGATCTCGAGAAATGCCTTTGGGTGAAGTTCGTGGGAGTTCAAATGACCGCAAGTCTTGGCGCTCTTGGCAATTTCACCGCACTCTGATTTTCGATCGACTCCGCACCAGAGAGATTTGACAACGACAACATCTACCGACAAACACCCTCGAAGACATACTCTACGTTGCTCGCTGAAGAGTCACTGATTTTTCAGGTCAGTCCCAGTTCCTTGTTCCTACACGACGAACCAAAGGGCGAGTGTTGGGGAGAAGTTTCCACCACTACCCGACCTTTGTGCGATCCAAACCGATATCCCTTTCGGCCAGCCGACCACGAAACTGACAGACCTCTGCTTTGTAGTCCTCCTCAGAACCGCAATCATGGGTATCTCACGAGACAGCCGCCACAAGCGGTCTGCAACTGGTGCGAAGCGCGCATACTATCGCAAGAAGAGGTACATTTCAACCCACCATAACCCTAGCCACTCTCGGTCGACGAGAAACAGCACCATCTAACAGATTGAACCTTCGCAGAGCTTTCGAGAAAGGTCGTCAACCAGCCAACACCCGTATCGGTGCCAAGCGAATCCATCTCGTCCGCACCCGTGGCGGCAACACCAAATATCGAGCCCTGCGCCTCGAATCCGGCAACTTCTCCTGGGGCAGCGAGGGCATTGCCCGCAAAGTCCGCGTCATCGTTGTGGCCTACCACCCTTCAAACAACGAACTCGTCCGCACAAACACCCTGACCAAGTCCGCCGTTGTCCAGATTGATGCCGCCCCGTTCAGGACTTGGTACGAGGCGCACTACGGTACGAACCTTGGCCGGAGACGACAACAACCCGGCGCTGCTGCGACGGACGGTGCAACGACCAAGGCAAGCAAGAGCGTGCAAGCGAAGAGAGAGGAGAGATTGAAGGCCAGTGGCAAGATTGAGCCGGCTTTGGAGCGACAGTTTGAGGCAGGTCGATTGTATGCCGTCGTGAGCTCGCGGCCTGGCCAGAGCGGTCGTGTCGACGGGTACATTTTGGAGGGTGACGAGTTGGCCTTCTACCAGAGAGCCATCCGGAAGTAGGCGCACATCTGACGGGGTGGGTACCTCAAGCGGTGGTGAATATTGATCTGCCTGGGATGACCACCGTAGTAGATTGTCTTGTGGTTGAACGAGGGAGTGCCGGTCAAGCAGTGAGGGCCTGAATAGGAGCAGACCTGCTGAATTGCTGTACGAAGACGGCGGCGTAAAGGGCCCTCGCAACGTCTCACATCAGTGCTCGAGGCTTATGTCTAGCTCATCTGCTCACCGGCGATATTGTCGACTATGTTCACGAAGGTGCGTGGACATTGCAGATGGGAAGCATTCAGAAAGCAGAAACAAAATTCAAGGCTCGAGGTCAATCTCAATTTCATGGAGGTTTAGTTCTGTTTATTGATTGTGCCCAAGATGTCAGTGTCATTCCAGGCTGGCCAGCACATTTCTATGTCCCTTCACCGTTGTTCCAAGCGTGTGATAGACATTTTGCCCACTGTCATGGACAAATGGTTCGCACCTGAAAATTCCCCGTCTGTGTCCGTGTCCAACTCTGGGATAGTAAGACGGCTCCGTGCCGGTGACCTTGTTGGTCCACCGAGATTCGCAAGTAATGAGCCATTGGTGGCTGTGAATACAGTAGATGAAAAGAAATCGGGGTAAGGGGGCAGTCATGCTCTTGTGGTTGTAAGGCAGTGATCCTCGGTGCTGAGCCATTCGAGATCAGCTCAGATGCAGCGAAGCAGTCCTTGACATCCTTCGGGTCGTGGTTACATTTCAGGCAACGCAATAATCTCTCGTTCTCCAAAGTGGTGTCTTTCGTCACAGACGATCCCCGTCGTATGCGCATGCGCTTGCTTGTGTGGTGAAGAATCTCTATGAGTCTGTGTTTTCCAAGCGCACTTCTCGAGGGCCTGCCAGCATCTGTATGCTAGCCAAAACGACGTTGGTCAGATCGGTCGGCGAGAGACCATGCCATGTGAGCCTATCGGGCAGGGCTCAGAAGGACAAGCCGAGAGAATCAAGCTGTAAAGCAAAGCAGAGTCAGCAGTCTTGAGCGGCCACTTTGGGATTGAAGTCATGTTACATACCATGAGTTCTTCACCGTTAGCTTCCCCGTCGTCAAAGCGCGGGAAGAACTCGCCCGTGGTGTCCTGGACGTACTCGACGACGGATCGTTCGACATGTGGTGTGTGCGAAGTCAAGCCAGCCATGCCCATCTGACGATTCAGCGTGGCGTCATTGCGAGCTCGCGCACGCTGGAGTTTTGCCTTGTGTTCGGCCTTGCGCTTCGCGGCTCGCCGGCGGATTTCTGAGAGTTTAGATTCGTGAAGCTCGTTGGCCTTGAGCAACTGGCGGTGCTTTCTGGCGAATTCTTTCGAGTTCTTGAGGTCGAGGAGGTTTCTGGTCGCCGTGGCGTTGGCGTCGCGGAGTTGCTGGAGCATGTTGGTGCTGTACATGTGGAAGAATTGGCGCTCGTGGCCGGTGTAGGTTGGCATGGTATATTGGGCTTCTGGAACGACGCTGATGACGTGTTCGCGGAGTCGGTTGTCGTTGCGGTGGATGAAGAGAGCTTCGGTCATCTTGACAAAGATCTCGAAGGCAGCCATTTCGGCTGCGGTCACGATGTAGCCGCCCTGAGTTTGGAGCACGCCTTTGAAGAATGAGAGCAGCTGCTTGCCGTGAGAAGAACCTTGCAGGAAGTTCCGCATCGCGCTGAGAGAGTATGGCAGGTGATCGTACTGGACTCGTGGACCGGGCTCTCCTTTGGCTTTGACGTAGCGGTAGACATTGGCAAGATTGTCGTCGCGCGTGAGTGGAGTTGGGTTCTCGAGGAACTGTCTTAGTGTCGTCTCATTGCCGGCGTACAAAAGGTTGAAGACCGGGTCGTCAACGAGAGAAGAAGGCTTTGCTGGTGCATCTGGGACTCTCTGTCGCAGCGGTAAGCTGGGGCTGATGTTGCTGAAGGACATGTTGGAAAGCTGGGTTGAAGATCCCATCGCTGATATGGATGTTGGGTTCGTACAATGACTCGAAAATGACTCGCGATATGATAATTGATGACCAACTGAGCAGCGACAAAACTGCAGTGAAAGATTGGGATGGAACAATCCTTATATATGACAGTACCTCCAGAAAGAGGGTGGCTGGGTGTAGTGACAGCTCGTCGGCGTAGGGGTGCGGCAGTGAGCATGGTCGAGTTTGTGGATCGAGGCAGCGACATCCTTTCACTCACCTCCTCCGCCTGTCTCCACTGATGGTACCTGCATCTTCAAGCAGAACAGCAGATGTCGCCGTGTTCTTGGATGCGCCCTGGAAACAACCACCATCCAAATATCAACTTCACGGTTTTCATCATGCCAGCCAGCGGACAACAGACGGTGAGACGCTTCCGCTGGTTTCCTAAGCGTGGGAGGAACATCGTCGACTCACTCAAATCCGGGACAGGGAGCAACAATCTTCAACCCCCTCGAATCCCCGGCAGCCGAGTTACTCAGAAAGCCTCGACAACGCAAACGTTCCCGGGGTTATTTCTGATCCTTGTGACCTTCTATCGAAGACAAGAACCTCATGCGCCGCTGCAACAAGACTCCGGACACTCATGCCGGGCAAAGGTAAACATGACCAGACTTACTTTGATGTCCCGGCACCACTGGTTTGGGCGCACTCCGCTCATTGACTGGCGGCGACGCGATATGGAGGAATTGCAGGCCAACATTGGCCATAGCCCGCGGACTTATCGCCACCGTGTTGCTGTTCAGGCTCAAGCACCCTTCCGTGGGTGTTACCCTACCACTTCGCTATGGTGACATGAAGCTGACTCGAGTGAGATACTGTGTACTTGTACAATAGGCGCTGGCAGACGCCTCGTGGCAATTGAACGCTGGCAACCCGGTCAGTATGCTACTGTCCAAAATCTAGCTCCTGTGATTATCCTTGCAGTAGGTTGCTTTCAAGAATGCCTGGAATACCCTCGACTAAAGTCAAACACACATAAATCATGAGGAACACGTGACGTATGTCCCCGCCCAGACCCGTCTGTTTCCCTGTGGGTATGTTCTGTGACATACTCTACACATACCGGTCATGTTGTGGTTGCATTCCAGGTTCCCTGCCAATGTGGATAAGCATCCAGACGAGCCGGACGAGGATAATTAGGCAAACCCAGCAGCCTATTCAGGGGAATGGAGCGAGGCATGTTAGTCAGCCGTCCATCACACTACCGTTATGTAAGCGGGACTGAGCGCGTCACTGCGCGTCAAAGGGCAGATTCTCCATGCCTTATCATGCCACGCGCAGGTATATTTGATCGATCACTTCTACGTGCATTGAACTCTTCTGTGCGCAAGAGCCTCTTGATGGATCCTTTCTCCCGTTGACGGAACCATGCCGCTGAAAGCCCACCTCCAGTCAGGTGATGCGCGTCAAGACCCAAACCCATTGCTACCTTGCCTCACCTAGTCGAACACGATTGCAGCCTTGATGGCACTCTTGTTCTTCATCGACTCCAAACATTCGGCCCATTGCTCAAGCTTGAACGTCTTATTGACAATGCCGGCAACCTTGACCTTGCCCTTGTCTGTTCACCTCCAAGTCAGTGGCTGTATTTATGGAAAGAAAAGCTGGGCAAACACGAAATACATACCGAGGTAGTCAATGGCAGCCGGGAACTTGTATGTCTCGCTGAAGGACCCCAGGATAGTGATTTCATCACCAAAGATCTTGCTGGGTGGCCACGAGACGCGGTCTGCGTTGCCGTACACGCCGTATACCACGAGCTTGCCTCCCCTGCGGACATAGTTGATCGCGTCCTCCAGGATCTTGACACTGCCCGTCGCCTCAACCACGATGTCGAACCCGTATGGGTTTTCTTTCTTGATCTTCTCGAATTGTGCGCTGGGATCCTTTCGGGATAACTCGACATATTCGTCGGCAGCATCCAGGGACTTTGCGAGGTTCATCTTCAGCCCTTCGGGAGCGGCAATGACAACGTGGCACCCGCCATTTTGACGGAGCATCTGGGTCAAGACAAGCCCTGTGGGTCCTGCGCCGAACATGAGCACACTCGAGCCCATCTTGGGAGCGATCTTGTCCAAGCCGTGAGCCGCGCAGGAAGCGGGCTCAAGCAGAGTGGCATCCACGTCGGACAGGTTCTTGATCGGGAACACCCGCTTCGCTGGGTAAGCGCAGTACTCGGCGAAGCCACCATCCATGGTCACGCCATGGGCCTGGAAGTCTTCGCAGAGGAGCTCCTCGCCACGACGGCAGTAGAAGCATTCCCCGCAGAGCTCGGAGTTGTCGGCCACCACCCGGTCGCCGACACTGAAGCCCTTCACTTTCGAGCCCAGGGCGGCAACGACACCGACGGTTTCGTGGCCGGGTATCAAGGGGAACTGTGCCGCAAGTGTCAGGTCTGTCCGTTGGAGTCTGTTAGAGTCCTCTGGCTCGGGAGCACACCTTGGCCAAAAATTCTCCATCGTGGATGTGCAGATCGGTTCCGCACACACCGCATGCCTTCACTTTGAGCTATGTTCCCGTTATCAGCGCCCTCCTGCCCAAGACCAAGTATATCGACGTACGAGGATATCGTTGTCACGAAGCTTGGGAAGAGGGACCTCGACGACGCCGAATTTCTGTGGCTCCTCATATCCTACATACGACACGAGTCAGTCGGTGCTCTATTCGCCTGCGGCATGAATGTTCAGAGCAGTTGCATGCGCAGGTGTGGACATACTGAGTGCCTTCATCTTGGTCGGGAGATCTGCGGAACCCATGTTGAGCTATCTGGATCTACTGTTTGACAATCGCAGGGAAATGGGGAAAAGCTCTGAGAGACGACAAAGAGTATTCCTTCTAGATGGTGTGGGAAGGAGTAGGCAGGTAAAATCAGCGGGTGGACTGCGATCAGGGAAAAAGATGTTGAGAAGTACGGAGCATATTCTGACAGCGGCTTAGAAGCGACAACGGTGCGTGCGGTAGGGACAGGCGAGTGCGGGGCGGATTTTGTTGATGCTGTTTCTCGAATCGAAACTATTTTGCGAGCCCTTCTTGCGTCGAGATCCCCCGACAACCAACCGCTTCCCGCATCCCCAGCTTGACACGCCTCCGATATATCATCGTGACTACGGCAATGTCGCTGCGGGTGGACCGACTTCTTTGCGCAGCTGCAGGCACGTTCCCGGCTTCTTCAACTATGTCACCGGGACCCCGCGCCCTCGATGTTCACTAATATCCCGGCTATTTATGCAGCTCGCTACTTGCTTCCCGCCGGCAAAGAAGCAAAGAAATGTACTTTTCGCCGCTACCTCGTGTTGCTCGGTCAATGCCAATCAATACTCGGGGGGATCCGGTAAGTGCAAAGGTAGGTAGGGGTGAATACATTCTTTGACGGCCTCGTTCTCCAACACCATTCCACTGGGGGCGAAGTATTCGAATTGATCATGACAAACCTCCAACAACCACGGCGGCTGTCGGCTTGCCATACACGCCCGAGAAAAGTCCTTGACCGGAGCAACTGTTGCGGTAGAAACTTCTGCCGTCGATGTTATACGGTATCTGCTGAGCGCGTATCATACCAAGCTACAGCTGAATATGTACCTGCACTTACAGCATGGAAGCAGAGGGAGCCATATCTCGAGCACAGGCCACGTGCTGTAATGTCCATGTAGTGGTCTGGCTCACAGAGATCGAGGGATTATATAGCTGATGGTGCCAAGCCGGGATCACGCTGATGGTGGCGGGTCCAATGATAAGACAGTGAATGGTTTCTCACATATGTAATGCATTACCATGTACATATGTAAATGCCTGTGTCAATAGAGATATGGAAGTGAAGGAGCCAGATGATGGCGGTTGTCGAGCCTGTAGTACAATTCCCAAGAATGCCAGAAATTCCGATCCGTTGATGTCCCGTCCTGATGGAGGATGATGTTGTCCAACTCCGCGCTAGAATTCAAAGATGTCAGGTACGTGCTTCGTGTGGTGTGGGGAAGACATTCCAATTCTTTCAGCCTCCTCTTGTCGGGGCCTTTGTTGCCCAAGATGTTGCATCCGAACCACACCACCACCTTGATCATGATATCCACACCTCCATTTTGCCCATCTCGCTCCTCTCCTTTCTCGCCTGACTCCGCACGCTGCTCAACAACATCTCCAAGTCATCCTGGTCAGCGATGGTAATGAGGTCTCCATCATCCTGCATCCTGATCTTCAATTGATCCTTGATGCCAAACTTCTCGCGGATTTTGCTTTCCAAGTCGCCAAAGTCTATGATCGCGCCGATCATTAGGTATCTCGTGTCGTCGTTAAAATGGCATTTGACTCGAATCTTGCGCATCTCGGGCCGCTTGCTGCCCCGCATGGTGCCAGCGCGTGAAGGCGCGCGTCGAACGGGCTCGAACCCGCTCATGTCTTCTGAGCTCATTTCCTCCTCCTCTATGTATTCGTCTTCTTCGTTGAGGTAAAGATCTGGATCTGGTCGGCGCTGAGTGGGACGCCGACGTGGAGTTGCGTACATGCGATAGACGTCATCTACTGTGTCATTGGGATCTTCGTATCGATCCCGAGTGGTTTCGCGGAATAGGGGTGCTGGAGCTCTCTGTGACATTGATCGGTCGAGCACCTGCCGTCGTGAGGAAGGGCCGCGGGGCTCGGATGCTGTTCTTTGCGTGCCGTAACGGGACCTTTCCATTTGCCCCGGCCGCTCCATCATGGGCGGTTCATCTTCAGGCCAGGAGTTCTCTCGCTGTAGTGGTTGCAGTCTGCCGCCTGGCGGTTGGTTCCCATTGACATCGAAAGTCGCGGCGCGACTCATCATTCCGGGCCGGGGAGGTTCCATCTCTGCTCTAGTGGAGTACATATTCCGCGGCTGGCGCATCGACGTGGATCGCAAGGGCAGATTCGAAGACGCGCCGCTACCACCGGAGCTGCTGCCAGTATTGCTGCCAACAGCACTGCCGCCCGATCTGGGCTTCTCGATCTCCGGCGGTGGCGTTGGTGGGAAGACATTTCTGCCCATTACAGGTGGGGCGCTCTGGTCCCGGGCGACCCTGCTTGACAAGTTCCGCTGGACGAGGTTGGTCGCTGCATAACTGATGTTCTCGGCGGGTCGGTCGTCCTTGGCTGATGTCTCGGCAATGAGCTGTCTCCTTTCCGCGCCTTGGAAGCCGGTGCCAGTGTTCTGGCTGTTGGATGTGGCTATCAGACGGGCTTTGCCCAGGTAGTCTTTCGCTTTGAGATTCTTGACTTTGGCTTCGTTCGGCCTGTAAACGCAACCAACAGGTCTGCCAGGAGATGTATTAGCTTTCAAGGACGAATACAGCCACCAACGGCTATACCGAGAGAGAACTCACATGCTGAACACCACGTAGCCTTGGGCCATCTCCTTTATAGCATCGTCGATCACATCATGGTCTGGGGTCATCTTCTCCTTCTGCGCAAAAGTAAAATCTTGCAGTCCGGCCTCCTCTTGCTGCAGATAGACGTAACATAAGCCACGGTTGAAAAGGACTTCGCAGGAGTAGAGCTTGAACTTCAAGCCCAGCTGTTCGTAGTCGATATATGTGTTTCCTCGGAGGTAAAGTAGGGTGTCATTGAAATTGGCCAATGCTTCTTCGAAGTCGCCGACGAGAAAATTCGAGACGCCTTGCTGGAAGTAGGCCACGGCGAGGTACTGGTCGAGCTTGATAGCGCGTTGGTAGCATTCGACCTGCTCTCGTATTAGTCTTGGTCATGCTCGTGTCAGTGTTCGCATTCGACGTACTGCTCTGTCATGTTCGCCGATGGTGGCGTGGATGACACCGCAGTTGAACAGGATCTTGGAAGTGTCGGCGATGGCGTCGAAAATCCGCAGAGCCTCCTCGAATTCTTGATTGTCATAGTGCCCGAGCGCCTCAACCCAAGTCTCGATCTCCTGCACTGCATTAGCGAGCACCCGGTCATGGTACATTGCGACTTACCTGCTTGAGCGACATGGCTCCGCGCCAGACGTAGTCACTGCTGCAGTCGACGGTGTCGATGAGCTGGCGGTCGTCGGTGCAGGGTGGATTATACAGGTGCAATGTGGGTGCAGGAGGAAGACGATCTGCGACACAAGCGGGCGGTGCCTGAGACGATATTGAAATGGTGGTGCGGCCAACGTAGCGTGCGTAGGTCCCGCGCAGGGTCTAGTGGCTGCGATTGCTCAAAGGCTGCGAGGGCCGGCCCTGCCGCAAGTCCTGAAGAGAGTGTGTGCGCGATGGCCAGGGATTAAGCGCCGGGGTGGGTGGTGGACGCTTTGGGATTGCTCGGCGCCAACGCGTCACCGCTCGAGTGCCAATGAAAGACGCTATCAACTTGACGGGTGGTTGGGGCGATAGATTAGCGACGGCACGCAGCCGATAGATCGCAGATAGTCGGGTTGGTAAGAATAATAGGTAAAAGAGCGGCAAGAAGTGAAGCAGCAAGACCAGTGCTGGACAGACGCAAAAAAGAACAGAGTTGAAGGAGAGAGGTGTTTGAGGAGGACTCGGACTTCTTGAAGCACTGCTGGAGCCTCGACGGAAGGGGCGTTTCGAGGCCAAGGAACAGGCAGGTGGGGGGTTTGAGGAGGCTGTCAAGTGAGGATCCCTCAGGTAGGGGTGAGGAAACGGCAAGGGATGAATGAATGAACGATGAGCCTGGCAAGAGACAGCAGAGCAAGCAGCAAGTTTACTCAGCACTGGAAACACACTCTCGTCTCATGCACTCCATTGACAGCCCGTCACTCCCTTATCTGAATGTGTCCAGTCCATGCATTAATCAGAACATCGTGATGATGAGTGTCTGCCGTGTCTGCCCAGCTCGCTGCATCTTGTTCCTGCCTCGGCTGCGTTTCGCACTCGATCCTCACTCGTCCGAAGTGTGACAGCAGCACTCTAGCAACCACCCAGCACTCCAGCACGCAGCACTCGATCAGACCCGCCGTTCAGACCACCTGATCTGTCACCTGAGCCGTGCACTGGGTGTTCTCGTCGACGGTCTTCCTATCGTTGCCCGTGCCACGGCCACATGTTGCCATGCCATGCCGGCGGCCTCGCTCGCCGGTGCTGAGGTTCAGTGGATCAAACTCGATAGACTGATTCTCGTTTCAGAATCACATCTGCCAACCAACCAGCGCCGCTGACCGACTGTGAAGCTTTTCCAAAACCCACGGCCCAGCAATCGGGTTGCTCGTTTCCAATGCTTGCTGCAGGGGTGCGATCCAATAACTGCATCATCGTGCAGTCGGTCAGTCCGAACCAAAATTATCATGGTGCAGTAGAACCAAATTCCAGTCAATGCAGAGTGCCACAATACTCGAACTGGGTGGAATTTTTTGGGTACAGTGACACGTAGTCTATGTCAATTCTCGACTCCGTACAGCTATCACACGCTCATAGCATCCCCTTCCCAACCTGCTCTTTGCGCTCCTGCCAGACCGTCTTCCCCGAACAGCTGCACACAGTCTTGTCGTTGTCCCACACTCCGGCACTCCGAGCTATGACTCCGACCAGGGTATCTGGGTCGTCGGTCTGAAACGCTTCCTCGTGCTGCTGTTTCGACACCACCATGCCGCGACCGATAATCTCCCACACAGACACCGAGCGATCCAGGAATGCACTGCCTCGTCCGTCCTTACCCACCTGGACAGTGCCAAACGTGCCCCGAGGCTGCCCGAAGCCCGCCATCTGCCTGACGGCTTCCCAGATGCCCCCCGTCGAGGCTGCTCCACGTGAGATGTCACCCGTCTCCCTTATCGTGGCATGATATGTACCCGGAGATACCCCGCGCAGCGTCAGGTCCACCAGTGTCCGACTGCCACCGACTTGGACCATGCGCGCAAGGCCACGCACGGGATCTGACACGCCTTTTGCGTGAGTTTCCAGGATGCACACGCTGGCAGAGTCGTTCGTCCCGCTGCCCCGTAAGATCGCGTCCCTGCCGGTAGATTCAATGGCTGACACGATTGATGAAGGAGCGGCCGTCCCTTCAATGTAAAAAAGTTGGTCTTTGAGATTGGCTTCGATTTTCGCGACGCCTGGCACCGGCCACGTGAGTCAAATGCCAGCTCAGCGTTTGGGACATGTATACCTTCGACTTTCTGAAGCGCACCCTTCACATCATTGACACAAGAGTCGCAGTGCAAGGGTACTGCAAATGTCGTCTACGCGGAGTCAGCGTTGGCATTGGAGCGACAGGTACTGGAAGATTGATTGCTCACTTGGAATGGCTCGATCCCTATACTCCCCATCTTGGATATCGCTCAATGAATAGACGATGATGTTGTCGATGGACCGATTCCAGTATGGATGATTCTCAATATACAGGGCACTTAGAGTATCGAGTTGAGGATGCTGAGTATTAATAATATAGTATCAGAAGATGCTCCGTACGAGTAGAAAATATGCCGGCCCGCCGCCATTGCGATGCTGCCCCGCATAGCCACAGAACCACAGACGCACAAAGCCACAACGCTACGCGCGAGGTCTCCCGAGCACGTGCGCAGTGCCCCCGAACTCGGATTCAAGATCTTCCTGACCCGCGAGTTTATCAACATGACTCCCACGATCACACCGACGAAGTAATTATGGTTTTGTGAGGATTTCAATGACACTCTCCCATTGTACACGGCTCAGCACACAGTATCCCCGTCAAGACGAACTGTCTACAAAAGGTAGCTAGCTACCCAGTGTCTCGTCCACAGCGCCTGCCATGCCGTCCCCAAAGCAATAACAACCACCACCCCCGGCCTGCAAGATGGGCCAAGACATTGACACCGACCCTGACCTTTCGGCCGAACTCACGGAATGGGCACTCTCCCAGGGCGCCACGGTCGATGGCATCGCGGCCCACGCATTTCCCGGCAAGGGCTTGGGGATCATAGTGCAAAGAAGGCTAGAGGTACGGAGTACGTTCCCTTGCTTACTTACCGACTGAAGGGATCCCACCCACAAGTCACTTGAGGACTTCACTCGTGGTGTCTTGAGCCCGCTCGCTTTTTCTTCTCCTTAATTGGAAATTGGAGTCCATTCTTTCTTCCACAATGGGACTGGCCGAGAAGTGAGTGAAGTGAGGGACCGTACGAGCCGAGACGAGGCTGCTTGAGCTGAGCTGAGTAGAGTCCGAGCCGTACCCTGATATGATATGAATGAACTGTTCGATGATTACTGTACCCATCACCTCAACCGCTAACTTATGTACCTCACCCTCACCAGGCCGGAGACACGATCCTCAAGATCCCAACATCGCTCCTCCGCACGGAATCCAGCCTACCGGACCACCTTCAAAGCCTCGCCATCGCCAACGAATGCAGCATCAACGGCCTCCTTGCGCTGGACGTCTGCCTTGACACCGACGACTCGTCCGCCTCGAGTCTGTACTCCCCCTGGCGAAGCACGCTCCCGTCCTTTTTGGACGTGAAATCTAGCATGCCCCTCTTCTGGACCCCCGAAGCACAACACCTCCTGCCACCGCCGGGGCAGGCCCTCCTGCGCAAACAACAATCCAAACTCCATCGTGATTGGACCGCCGTGTCCGAACGCGGTGTGGCAGGCTCCAGCCTCACCCTAGAGCAGTATACCTACCGCTGGCTCCTCGTGAGCACGCGCACGTTCTACTACACTCCTGCGGAATCATCCCCGTCATCCAAGTCGAGACCGAGGGGCAAGTCGAAATCGAAATCGAAGTCAAAATCACACCGCCGATCAAAGTCAAATACAGCCACGCACCCCGGGCAACCTCGACAGGCGGACGACTGCCTCGCCATCGTCCCCTTCGGCGACTTCTTCAACCACACCGCGAGCCCCCCAACCGTCAAAGCCACGTACTCGGCCTCCGGATATGACTTTGTCGTGACTTCTCCGCACGCCGGACCCGTGGAGAAAGGCACCGAGCTCTTCATCTCCTACGGCAGCCACAGCAACGATTTCCTGCTCGTCGAGTACGGCTTCATCCTGCCCGAGGGGCATAATGCGCACGACGCGCTGATTCTCGACGAGGTGGTCCTCCCGCTTTTCGACCCCGAGCAGACGGCCGTGCTCGAGGCGGCGGGGTATTTGGGTAATTACGTCCTAGCTGCCATTCCTAGTGGTAGCAGCAATGGTGGCGGCGGCGACGACGACGACGACGACGACGACGACGACAACGCCGATGGTCTTAACCCCCCCAACGAGGATCAAAATGGCAACGAATGCGTCAAGGACGCAGAAGTAGAAGCAGAAGTGGTGTGTTATCGCACGACCACGGCGCTCAGACTACTCTGCATGCCATTCCGCTGGTGGAAAAGGGGACTGGAATGCGGGTTTGACGAGGGAGATTCATTTCAGGGCGCGGTGAAGGAGTTGATAGGGAAGCTACTGCGGACGTATATTGACATGGCGGGGCAAAAGATACAGCAGGTGGCCAAACTTGATGACGGTGCCTATGCCGACCAGAAAGACGTGCTGACGAGGAGATGGGCACAGATCCTCGCCTTGTTGACTGCTGCGAGCAAGCGAGTGCGATAAGTCTAATGGTCTTTACCAGTCAGTCGCTGAATGCAAAAACGAGCAATGGGTACAATGCTTGTACCTGACTTGGAGAGCCGGTGTGGCTCGATGCGCGAGCCGCTTCCTACGCTCAAGCCTGGTTTGTATCCTTAATGCTCCCTTTCAAGGCCAAGAATGAAAATGCCACCAAGAGGCTCACAAGCTGTGCAAGCGCAGGGCGGCAACCGGACACGCATACTCAATCGTTTGACCCTTTCTCCACCGGCGCCGACGCTTATCCGACGCCGAAACATGTATGCCAGAAGCCTGGGGACCCATATCACTCATCCCAATACTCGTGACTCTCCAGCCCAGGCACAATTCGTCCAACAGTCATGATCATTTCAATCCAAAGCCCTCGCTACATTGCACCGCCGTCCATAGCTTCTCCTCCAGCTTTAGTCGCGAAGCATACCGATACAAGCTCAGCGTATTGAAGCACGTCCTTGCTATGGGAAAGCGCTCGCTCGGTTTGTTTGTGGCCGTTCCGAGCATGTCAAACTCTTCCTTCTCGCGGATCAGCTGGATCCTGATAACAAGATTCGTGGCCCCCATGGCCGGGATGCGATCGCTGGCCGTAATAAAGCTCAATATCTTTCGCTGGTCTGCAGGTGACACCCGGGCAAAGAACTCCCAGAACCACATCACTTGGGGTTGCTGCTCAGGAGCTCCTTCCGCCTTGGGCCAGCCTTCGTACGTCGCCACAGCGCGCAGGCTGGCAATATCAAGGGGCTCATCGGAGCCACGGACGAGCAGTTCAATCTCTTCTGGTCGAAATAGTGAAAGTGCGTTGCCACCGCAGACGGTGAAAAAGCCACGCTTGAAGGGTTCATATTGTCGTGCCACCGCCGTGTCGAGCAGATAGTGCACGTATAGATCCACGAACTCTCTTCGATTCGAGTTGGTGACTGCTCGTTTCTCGCCGCCGGGACACAGCGGGACCTGGATGATTTCCCCATAGCGGTCCATCTCCGCAACGAAATCGCGACAGAAGATTGTCTCGACGTCTCCTTCGAATTCGAGGAGTTGTCTGAGACCCTTGGCAAGGGCGGGCCGGAACTCGGCCAGGTCCTCCAAAGCGTAACCATGGGCGACTTTGGGTGTAGACGTCAACTTGTCCCCAGCCAAAGGTGCTGAAGCCAGCATCTTCTTGAACACAAAAGGTGGGAAGGCCACGTCCAGAATGGTCGAGTTGTAGATGGCCAGCCCTAGCAGCACGCCGACCAAAAAAAACTGCTCGGACGATTCGAAGCAGAATGGATTGAAATAACAATATTGCGAATCATCATCATAGACGAACAATCCATGATAGGGGTCGAATATTTCCCTGGTTAGTAGCAGGAACCACTCTTTGCGCAGCCCGCCTGCATCGACGCCCTCTTCTCCTTGGAAGTCAATGCGAAGACCTTTCTTAATCTCGTTTCCGCCTGATCCGACGACCTCTGAAACGCCACGAAGACTGTCCTCCACCAAGCAGTCGCGTCGAACCTTGAGTATTAGGTATTGACTCACAGCTCTGCGGCTCAGGATACTGTCAAAAAAGGCTTCTCTTGCTTTCACTTCCATCTGTCGTCTGGCGTCGTGCTCGAGAATGTGTATCTTGGCGTAAATGCTGAGGAAGAAGGGATACTGACAAAAGGTAAACTTGGTCTTGGTATTCTCCCAGGTTTCGAAGTCAGCCACGAGATCGGCATAGTCCAGCATCGTATTGTAGAAGTTGCTGATCGGGACAATCTGGCCGTGCATATACGCTCGATATTTTGCATTCAAGCCCGGGCTGTGCAGCCTTTGCTCATGTGCCGCAGACGCATCCCTCTTCCGCGCCACATGACCCACATTTGCTTGGAAAAGCAGAGCCATGACCCGTGCAGCGACGCGGATCTGCCAGTCTTCACCATAGGCAGACAACTTGGGCTTTTCCTTGGTTTTGCCTGTGGCTGCGGGAGCAGGTCTGTGACCCCCAAGGGCCGCATGAATCTGAGAGGCGTGGTGTATGCCGGCATCAGAAAAGCTGGGAACAAGCCCTTCGGTGGGATTTACGGGTTCGTGCACGGGGTTCTTCTGCTGCCTTGACAGCCGATATGTGACAAAACTGCCCACCATCTCCACGGTCCGTTGGAAGTGGCCATCCGCATATCTGGAGAACCAGGAGACCAGATACTGATGGTTCTCGTTGGAAAGATTGGCCATAAGACCTAGAATCCGCTTGATGATCCCAGAGTGGTGGCCCAGGCTTCCTGGTCGCCTGCCGCTGCTGGGGATACGCTTGGAAGGAGAGTCGCGCGTTCTCCCCTCGACCTGGAGTCTTGCAGAAGGAGGGATGGGAGGATGAGGCATCGTCGTCCCGAACATCTTTCCCGCCTCGAGTCGCGCTGGGGTCAGCAGTGGGTTCGCCAGAAGTATGAGTAGGAAACGGCAATCCTCTGGATGCTTCAGTGGCTGCCTTGGGCGCTTCAGTAGGTTCTCAGAAACTTTGAGCAGACTCCGCTGCAGGTGTATTCGCGACTCGATGATATCTCGCTGGAGAGTCTCCAACGGAGTGGAACGCCAATACTGCTGGGCTCTGGCGTCCGAGAGTTTCGGCAATAGTTCGTGCCATCTTTGTTCCCAGAGGTCCCCCGCGTATATAATGAGCCGATACCATTCGGCTAGTTCCAGCCAGTTGATCCTGTGGTGTCGTCCACCCGCCGAAGAGCGGTTTTTGTCGGGCGATCTGTCTCTTTGATGGTTGACATCTTTGCCTGTCGCCACGCGTCCCCCCGGAGCGCCCAGCCACCACGAGCCATTCTCTGCAACATCCCCAAGCAGTAGAGTCTTGGCATCCAGCTCGGACAGAAAGACATCATTGTCGAAACTCGGAGACGCAAGGTTGTCAAATAGTTGGCGCCTTTGCCGCGTCCCCGAGCTCGATCGAGGCTTCAGATTGGGTTCTTGCAGTGGCCTCGGGGTGAGGAATGAATGGTTTAATACGGCACAACCGACAAAGCAGCTAGCAATATAATCCTCGACCAGGTAGAATATGTCCCACCTGGGACCGGAATTCGAACTGGTTATCGGGCCATTTTCCGATAGCTGATGGGGCCTCGCGTCACGATGCCTAACCGGCGGTGAGGCAGTGGAGGAGAAAGGGTCAACTGAAGGACCCTGAACAAAGGCTGGGCCAGCATTACGACTCGAGTGATGGGTCGATAGGGTCGACTCTTCCGACAGGCTTCGCGGATTGATACGTGGACGTGGAGACGGTGGTGGACGGGGAGATGGTGGTGGAGAGTCCTGTTCATCGGCGAGTTGGTTATAGAGGATGCCCTCTGGGGAAGATCCCTCCAACAGGAACGAATCGTCGGCCGGTGTGTCGTTCTCGCCTGGGACGGGACGAGTAGGGGTGGACGGTTCATCTCGGCCCACACGAGACTCGAGATACTGCACGAGACAACGATCGAGCAGTGATCTTGTCCTCTCCACCGACACTGGCAGGATCTTGCGTTGAGGCGCGGGTCCGACTGCTGGGCCCTGGGCATCCGGCCTCTTTTCCGGGTTGAATTCCAGGTCATTGATAGTTAAACAAGTGGTGCAACGAAAGACCTTAAGGCCTTGCGGCCATCGTACGGTCGAGTCACAAGTCATGCATCGTCCCGTCACCGGCTGCCGATCGTCTCGTGATGATGAGCCTTCAGCAGCTGTGTGCTTGTTGCCGGCTTCTTCATGTCGTGCATCTCGTGTGCCGTCAAAGTCGCCGCCGTGTTTGTTCTTTTTCTCCGTCTTCCTCGAACCGAAAATAGAGGGAAATGGGTGGCTGAATGAGCGACTGTGGTTGAGCCTCGCAGCTCCAGCGTCCGGAGGCTCGTTGGGGACGGGTTTTCGGCGTAAACTTGGGATCTCGTAGGTGTCAGCAGCCGCCGTCGCTGGCGGTTGTGGTGGCGGAGGGGGCAGTGGTCGATTGAGGTCAGCGGCCGGAGGGGGCTGATCGTGGCTCGTGCTCCTGGTGAGCTGAAGGTTGCGAGGCCGAGGCCGGCTGGAATGGTAATGATGGGAAGCTGACGAGGGCAGCGACGCCATCGCAGCTCTTTACAGCGCAAGGCGGGCTTCGAATCGTCGTGTTGGGGCAAAATGGGGGAGGCAGTAAGCGAAGTATTCATGAGAGTGGGTTGCTGAGTCCGCGTAACGGACGCCGGTCGCAGTATCTCACAACGGCGCGGCTCAAACGGCGCGGCTCAAGCGGCGTCTCGCAAAAGCCTGCGTCCTCTGGCGCGTTCGTAGGCGGCTTCGTTGCGATCGTAATCGGCTTAGGAAGCGAGGCGAGTCAAAGAAGTCGCGTAGCTGCCAGCGTAACACTGTACGTCCAGCATTCAATCTCCCGGACCGGTGTCACAACACTTTTGATAGAATTGAGCGAGGAGTCCCAGCATATTGTCCCGTCACGGACGCTGACAATGTCTGCGAACTACGTGGCAGGCGCGATCGACATGGCCAGAGAGGAAAATCGGTCACAATGGGATGCTGAGGACAAATGCGAGATCAGTGAGTGAGTGATACGAGGAGGCTGTGGAGGCATCGCCTTGCATTGATTTCGCAGGATGCGAGGGGAAACGCGCCAAGGTTCGGCGTCGCTGGCGGTGGCTACGAGTAGGGATCCAGGGTTGCCCGGCACGCCCACTTACGCCGTATAGGGGAGGCTCTCGGGCAAGGCGTGCCGGGAGCCTTCAGGGGCGGCGGTGCTTGATTGGGAGCAAGCATTGCCCCGGAGCCCCCAGCATCCCTCGAGTGGAGGGAGTTGCATCACTTCGACAAGGATGATTACGCAGCCGTCCAAGCGACCTCCAGAGTACTGCTATTTTTGACACAGGTCTCTTCGATGTGGATCGCCCTCTTTCATTGTTAGGAACTACCTCGTCGCATCTCCACGAAACTGCCAACAAGAGTCACAAGGTTACTCCATCGCTCAAATTGATTCATCAGAGTAGATAGCTACCGGCAGCACTCACGATGACAGCTCGGCCGGCTACTCGTCGAGCCCGTATTCTCGAACAAGCTTGTCTGCTGCCGTGAGGCCGGTGAGGTACGCGGTGGTCTGAGTATGGTTGCTGTCGGAATCAGTTAGTATATGTCTCAGCTGAGACGTCGGAGGGAAGATAGGGTAGCAGCACTTACTTTGAGACAATCGGGATGACGCTCATGTCGGCGACTCTGAGCTGCTCCACTCCAAAGACCTTGAAGTTCCTATCCACCACGGCACTGCCTTCGTCCTTGCCCATGCGTGCGCTTCCCATCATGTGCCATGTCGACTCGCTGCGACCCCGCCAATACGCCAGGATATCTTCCTCTGAGTCACTCTTGGGTCCATCGATGGTCACGGTGCCGTTGTGGAATTGGGGGCTGTTCATGATCTTCAGAACCTTCCGGGTAGCCTCCACGGCCACCATTCTGTCGTAGGGATGAGAGAACCAGTTAGGGTCGAAGATAAGTGGTTGTGTGGGATCAGACGACTGGAGGCGCACGGAGCCAGTCGATTTCTGGTTGAGCACGAACACGAAGATGCTCACTCCAGTCTCAGCGTTCTCCGGGTCGATGAAGTGCGGTACCCAGGGGCCGTTCAGTAAGTATTCATAATGCGGCACCGTGGGCGCCAGTAGGTGATCTTGCTCTTCCTTGGGTAGCTCTTGGAACTCTTGCAGATCAGTTATATGGTCAATCTTTTCATAGCCAATGCCAAGTGTGGTAGCATATTCGGACAGTGGTCCGTTGCCATCTTTCTCCCACAAAGCCCGAGCGGCTGCTTGTAACTCCTTGCTCTTGTAGAATTTGGTCCTTTCGTCTGCAGGGTTTGCCCGGATGGCTGGGATCGTGATATGATGGTGATCTTTAAAGTGTGCTCCGACATTGTCATTGGCCTTCACGACCGGGATATTGAAAGCTTTGAGCTGGTCAGCAGGACCGATACCGGAGTGCAGCAGGATCCTCGGGGTATCGAGGGAGCCGGCGCAGAGGATGACCTCCTTGTCCGCATGAATCGTCCGCCCGTCAATGGTGCTGACGCCGCTGGCCTTCGTCCCCTCGAACACCACACGTGCCACCTGCGTATCGACCAGAATGTGCAGATTGCTGGGCGCATCGACCAAGGCATCGGCTGATGTGGACCTCACACCTTTGTATGCCGTTGAGAAGCATAATGCAAGACCAATCGGATCGCCTGAGTTGTGGTCTAGATTTCGTTTGGCACCATTGGCATACCAGATGTCCATCATCTCTTTGCCCTGAGGCTCCCAGACCTTCGGGAAACCAACGTTGATCGGTCCATCGTAGCCATGGTTCTTTGGGTCAACGTCGCGATAGTGTTTGATGTCGTCTACATCATCTCCAGCCTCTCCGTGGTAATTTTCGATCCTCTTGTATCGTTCTTGCACGTTCGTCCATCTCCATTCCTCATCATCGACGAGCCGTGCCAGCTCATCGTAATCATCTTTCGGGCCAACCGTCCAGACGGAAAAGTTGATGGCGGAGCTTCCACCGAGACCTTTGCCGCGGTCGTAGGATATTACTCTCCGATCAAATCCCTCAACCGGGGCTGTCTGATAACCCCAGTTCAAACCAGGTACCATCCGGTGAAGCCATCTCTCCGCGTCAGCACGCAGAGCCTTAGACTCGTTCCTTCCCCCAGCTTCAACGAGAAGGACCGAGGGCCTTTTGTTGCTTCGCGCGAGTCGCGAGGCGAGGATTGCGCCAGCGGGACCAGCACCGACAACGACGAAGTCGAATCTGTCTGGGATTTGCGAACCCATGCCGAGCGTTTGTAGCACTGAGGTAATATAGACCTTAGTGACTTGGGAATGACTGAATGGCTGATACGTTGAGAATACTCTGCCTGTGAACTGCTCGTGGCTCAGCCTAGTCTTTTCTGAACACTTTATATAGGTCGGTCAAGAGGCGAACTCAATAGACCGCAGGGTCTGGTCGCCTGAGCTGAGGACGCGGCGAGGTGACACCATACTGAATGACCAGACTGCATGATCGAGTGATATGATCCATGCTGCTACATCCTCACCTACGGCAAAGGTGAGTGAAGGTGCCAGGGTGACTGGGCTCGGGTAGACATTCCACTACTCGCCACTTGTGATTGCATAATCCAACCCCGGTCAATCCTCGAGACGTACGAGGTTGAAGAGAAGGTGGAGGAGCCATGGCTGCAGAACTCGGTCCACGCCGCAAGCACAGGCTCGGCGCGTGCGTGCGAGGGAATACCTGTGCGAAACAGGCAGGTGGTCGGTCTCTGCTAAGAACCAGGGTAGAAACAGGTCTGACAGTGGCCTGGTCGAAGATGAACCATTGGTCAAGGCAGAGAACAACAACTTCGTCCTCACTGCCGTGGCATATTGCCGTCGTCCCAAAGAGTGTTTGGCTTTCTCACTCGCGTTCCTAACCCAGCGAACAAGGGGAATGACTAACACGAGTGATTACCTCTGTTGTCCATGCGTCGCCAATAGTGACCTTCACCGCGAAGTCCTGTAGGCTAAACGGAATGGACCGATAGAGCTGAGTCATGTAGAAGGGGCGACTCTAGGCCAAGAGCAGAGAAAGGCCGGTTCCCAGCTGAGGATTGACCGTGGCTGTTGCAGGGCATTCTTGGTGTTGAGTACGCCTAGACGATGTCACCGTCGGGAAGCTTCAGGTGCGGTATGCGGTACGACGTAATTAATGACTGTTGGGTTGTCGATTTGCAAACAAGCCTTGTACAAGGAGTAAGCAGAATACGGCCAATCAGACAGTTCTGCACCGACAGCCTTGTGTAGCCTCGGATCGTTCCAAATCTTTACGGGTAGCGGAAGTCAGTGACAGAAATTCTACGCCACCTATTGGGCAGCCATTCTAAATGACCCACAGACACTAATTGTGCGTGATTACATTGTGGATCACTGGGTGAGCACGACGCACAGAGTACAGTCTACAACTTCTACACGCCATACCTCCTCGCCTTTGTGGTCTGGTGCTACCTCGAAGGTCTCCTGCTGAAAGTGCCTGACCAAGAGCACTACAGTAGGTATGTAAGGTGCCAAAGAGGGGCTTAGTGCTAAGGAGTACTTTGGTACCTTTTCCAAATCCCCAGCAGAAGAACCACTTCCTGTCTCTCACTCACTATACAGTAAGCCTCAGCCCCGTCGGCGAACTTACTATGTCCTTAATGTTACGTTGACACATCCCTCGTACCTGGTGAGAATTGACCCGGTCAGCAGCCTGTGGACGTACATGGCTCGTTAACCAGGTATTTGTATGTTGGTGCTGTATTCTCCCTCTACCACTTCCAGATCACAGTCGCTTCGTGATCTTCCACTCTGTCGGCCACCACCTCGCACGACTACATGCCCGCGCTTCCGTTGAGTTGGCTGGACGCAGAGGTCTACGCGTGTGATGACAAAGTCCCATCTGATTTCAGTAAGTCTGTGCTAACCGCCCCAATAGCATCTGGGTGTGCTACCTGGCTCATACCATGAGTCCGTGCATCTCGGGTGTTCCGTGTCATGCGTGTGCACTGTGTAAGCAGGGGTGTACAAGTTAGGAATAGGCTAGACTACTAGGTACCTTGAGTACACAGCCCTACGGAGTAAAGCTGTTTCTGAACGGCGGCCACAGCGCCTTGTCAATGATCACTCAAGGACTTGCAATGACTGCAACATTTCGGACGGTCACTCTCGTTTGTTAGCCCTCATTGACGACTTTACTAAGTACCAGGTAGATTCCTCGGGCCATCAGCCATGTTCGAGGCAGTCCGGACTGATGGCAAGACGTTACTCCCCACATAAGCAGTAACCGCCGTCTGTGCCTCATGCTGGGAGGCGCGCTATCTCATGCAATTGAGGTAATCAGAAACAGGAGCGGCAAATGCATTGCGGTCGTGCGAAATAGATCAAGCAGTACTCCGTATGTAGAGTTGCGTCCTCCGTGACTAGACGGAGACCCTCAAATTCGAGTTGTACCGTGTTTCCAACACACCTCACTGTGGCTTCACAGCACCATCTGCACCAGCTGAGCCCCGTCAGACATTATCTCAGCTGCTTTTCGCATGCCCTCCAAGAATGGAACTTCGTCTTCCAGGTGTCGCCCAGGTCGCTTCCGTCCTCGACCACTTGATAGATGGCGCCCCATCCCCAGTATCTCTGCTAGCTTCTTTGGAGCTCGCTCCACTTCGAAATGCTGGATTTTGCCTTAGTTAATGGCTATCTGAACTCGAACGCTCAATGCCAGGAAATTTCCCTGCCACATTCTACATGGGGTGTTACACCGTCGATGGCGTTAGCTTAATCCTACCAGCGGAGTATGGAGAACAGCAACGGGCAAGACCATAGGTAAGGGTTGTATTTACACGTATGTGCGTGCCTCGTAAGGAGCACCGACGTGTCCGGAACAATCCGATCGGCGGAAATCAGGGCCGAGATTGTAGCGAATTTCATTGTCAAAAAGTTATGTACCGTCTCGCGTTTTCCATGAGCGACGCGCCCACCCATCAGCCATCAGGATGACATGAACTCCAGTCGAGCCCGGACATTGATGCGACCGTTGTGCTCTCCCAAAGTACAATGGCGTCTGCAGGCCCGCGCCTGTCCCCAAGGGCTGTTCGTGGCGCGAACATGGTCCTCGACGCGCTCTCTTGTCACCGTTGCAACGGCTGAATCGGAACGACCTCGACCTGAATCCCAGCCTCTCCATCCCCGGCCAGCGGATCCTCACCTGCAAGAATCACTGCCTCCCATTCACTCTACAACCCCGCCAAGAGGGATCACGCGGGACTCGAGGTTCCTACCGCTATCATGTCCAGGATGCGGTGCCCTCACGCAGGACGTGGATCCTGGTCTGAGCGGGTATTATACACTGTCAAGGAGAGCGGTGAGGAACTATATCCGGCGACTGAAGCGAGAGGAACGTGCGGATGAGGGAGAGGGCAGCGCTAGAAGAGCTGATACGGAAGAAGCTGGTGGACAAGCGCAAATCCAGGCAGAAGACCCAGACCGCCAGCAGCACGAACACACAACTCCTGCAGCTGAGGATCCATTGACAATGCCAACCTGCGATAGGTGTCATTATTTGGTCCATGACTCTCGCGGTGTTCCAATTGCGCATCCCTCCGTCGAGGCGATCGCGGACTCGATTGCAGAATCTCCCTTTGCCAGGAACCATGTCTACCATGTCGTTGACGCAGCAGATTTCCCCATGTCTGTCATTCCTTCGATCTACAAGCATTTGTCTCTGGCGCATCCGCGCACGCAGAATCGCCGGTCTCAACACTCCTTCTCCTCCAGACCATCTCTTTCATTCCTGATCACCAGGTCCGACCTCATCGGCCCCACCAAAGAGATAGTCGACAGCATGATGCCCAAATTCATCGAGGTCTTGAGGACTGCGTTAGGTCGCATGGGACGGAATCTTAGGCTCGGGAACGTTCATTTGGTCTCGTCCAAGCGAGGATGGTGGACGAAAGACATCAAAGAAACCATCTGGCACAGAGGTGGGGGCAATTGGCTGGTTGGAAAATTCAATGTGGGCAAATCCAACTTATTCGAGGTGCTGTTTCCCAAAGGTGCGCACAATCCAGCTCCTTCACAGAAAGGGCTCCAACGACAGAAGGGGGTCGAGGCCGCCAGTAAAGGCTCTGACACCTCGTTTTTGTCGGAAAAGAACTTGCTTCCCCCTCCTCAGCCCGAAGTTGCTTTCCCAACCATGCCATTGGTGTCCAGTCTGCCGGGCACCACCGCTTCCCCGATTAGGATCCCGTTTGGCAATCACAAGGGAGAGCTAATTGATACGCCGGGTCTGCAACGTGGTGGGCTTGACCGGTTCGTCAAACCCGAGGATAGGGCTGATCTCGTCATGGTTCATCGCCCCACGGTGTTCCAACATGTTGTCAAACCTGGCCAGTCCTTACTCTTAGGAGGTGGCCTAATCCGAATAACACCTCTTCTGAACGAGCATGACCGCAGCACCACCATGCTGGCATACCCCTTTGTGCCGCTCAAGGCTCACGTCACTTCGACCGCAAAAGCAGAGGGAACACAAATCCAGCAGCGGGAGAGTGGCATAGAGTCGATCCTGGCAGAGGAGGCAGGAATGTCCATTTCGTCAGCTGGGCGGTTCAAGCTACAGACTGATGTTACGAGGTCCAGGGCAGGGTCAATGATCAGGGCCGGAGTCAAACCGAACAAGTTGCCATTCCATGTCTATGCAACAGACATCCTTATCGAAGGAGTTGGCTGGGTGGAACTGGTCTGCCAAGTGCGAAAGAGTAAACAAACGGTCCCAGCAGGTGGTCCTCCGGGAGGTTCTACTGAGTCAGATACTGTCGCTCCGACCGCGGAAGGCCTTTCCATCGAGACAAGCACTTTTGTTCCCTTTGGCGGAGAACAGGCGGCCTACAACCAGACAGCTCTCCCACCCTTGGATTTTCCCGAAGTCGAGATCTTCACGCCTGGGGGGAAGTTCATTGGCCAAAGAATGTGTCTGGACGTGTGGCAAACGTGGGATACAGGCAAACCCCAAAAGGCGGGGCGACGTGCACGACCCCGTAAGCCTATGGCTGGAGCAAAGAAGCGAGACAAAATCGCACGAAGGACAGCCGGGAAACCCTGAATCTTGAAAAGTGTACACATGCGAAGCTGTATCTAGCCATTGGCGGTACAAAAGCTCGTGGCTCAGGAGCCTTACTCACTACCTCGAAATCAGGCAATGCTGCAACCCTCTTATGTATCGGCAAGTCGGCTGTCATGCGCCTTCTCGCTAGTCTTGTCGAACTGCATGTCTCACAAGGCATAGGCACACGATGATGGAAGTCCTCGACACTGCCGGGGCGATGTTTACTCCTTCGTCATCACGACAATCTTGCCGGTTGATTTTTACCTCCGAAGGATGCAACTTCGCTGTACCGCTGCTCAGTGATGATGGCTTGCTTGTTCTCACCTGGACAACGACCGAGTACCCTGGTTCATCACGACACGAAGATCCACTGTTGGCCTTCAACAGCTTGAGCAAATTGTCTCTTGTGTACGCCCCATTGCATGAAGGTTGCAGCGACCAAACTTCAATACTGTAAACAGATCCATTGAGTGTGATGCACGCATCACATGCTTACGATTACAGAATCGATCCCCACCTCCCACTCCCCAGTGGTAAGGCCTCCTTCGTAGGTGGTGGTCGAATCCGCGCTATTTGACCAGTTCGCTGGAGACAGACTCATATTTCGGCTCCAAGGTGTGGATTCGGTCTTCGGCGCGTTGATCAAGGAGAGTCAGGCTGGCGAGCGCTATGTGATGGAGAAGGGGTGGCTCGTGTGATTTGCAAGGCTGCGCCGCCCGTGTCTGATCAGCCGAAAGAGCGAGACCAAAGGACCGAGGCCGGATGCCTTCAATAGCTCTCTGGACTGGTATTCAAATGGCTAGCTTCCCCCTTCGCAGCCGAGGTACTCCGGCACCCCTTGTTCGTGCAGGAACATGGTTACTCTTTCACCAACTGCTTCAGTCACCTCCTCCTTTGGGCAGTGGACAGCAGAAGAGTGAACGGTTCGCCAAGCCGGCATGAGAGGCTTGTAGAACTTCAATGTCCCACCAATGGGAATAGACGCTTCATGGCCGAGTGGGGCATTGCGATGCCGAGTGGAGTCCATGCTTTGGGTTCACACGCACAGCTTGTCCTCCTGCCGTATTTACTTACATAGAGAACATTCCTACCCCGTGTCTAATGCACTCTCGGTGATTGAGACATTCAGGAATGTGACTATACAATCTCGCTTGGTTGTATTGTCTGACATAGGCGACACCATGCTTCGCGGTCGGAAAGCCCATTTGCACGGTGCAAGCAGCGCTGGTTGAGGGACTGTGACGTTTGGGAATCGGCAGATGCAGTCGTCGTTCGACCAAGCCTTGAGAGAGGCTCGTCAAAAGCTTGGTACCTTGCTTAGCTCTGCAAGGCTCACGGCTGTTTTGTATGGCCTGGGTTCATTAGAGACATCTTCAACGAGCTGATCTGCTGCAGCCCACATTTTCCGGGGCCTGGATCTTGAACAGCGCTTTCGCTGTTCGGTGCGTTCAGGCGGCCGTTCGCCCACAGGGATTATCAGCGATAGCGATTTCCGACGAAGGCAGCAATGAAGCTATCTCGAGTATATGAAGACGATGGGATCACCCGTCCTCATCTCACCTAACGACACGAATTCGGGCCACAATTATCAGGGACGACGACTACCCCTCCTGCCATTGCCACCATGTTCATCACCGTCCTCCTCCTTGGATGTACCGCCCTCTCTGTTGCGCAGAATGACTCCTCCTCCTCCTTCTACACGGCCTCGCCTGAATTCGGGATCATCCTCGGCGCGCACCCAAAGGTGACCCTCCTTGCCGAATCCGACCAGCCCTTGTTCCATGAGGGCGGCGTCTACTACCCGCCGACTAAGTCCCTCTTCGTCACATCCGATGTTGTGCCCGACCCAACGACGGAGAACGGTACCATGCAGATCATCTCCCACGTCACGGGCGACCTCTCGAATCCTGCCAGCGTGCAAGTCACGGAATTGAACGCCACAAGCCATGAAATTCCCTTCCCACTAGGCGGCTACCGGTATCTCGCCTCATCGAAACTCCTCGTCTGGTGCGGCCAAGGCTCTCTCACACAGCCGGGCGGTCTATGGTTCTTGAATCCCGAGCCTCCGTACAACGCCACCCAGATCACCTCCAGCTACGGCGCGTACGACTACAACTCGCCGAACGACGTCGCAGTCACCCCATCGGGCGAGATCTACTTCACCGACCCAATCTACGGATCCGACTACGGCTTCCGGCCCGACCCACTGCTCCCCAACCAAGTGTACCGGTACAGTCCGGCAACTGGGGCCGTCAGAGCTGTAGCAGACGGGTATATCCGACCCAACGGCATCGGTGTCAACAAGGACGGCAGCATAGTCTATGTCATCGACACGGGTGCTCAGCTAGGCGACACCATCGTCCCCACGAATCCGCGAACCATCTACGCTCTCGACGTGCAGGGCCGAACCCAGAATGGGACGGGCGGGCTTCTGGGAAACAGACGTCTGTTCGCGATGCCCAGCCTTGGCGGGGCGAAGGGCGTCAAGACAGACACTCTGGGCAATGCCTACGTCGGCCTCGACGATGGCGTGTCTGTGTTTGACGAGGACGGCAATCTCCTAGGCAAGATTCTGATCGACGATGTGGCTAACATCGGGTTTGGCGAGCCGGGCGTGCTGTTCGCCATGGGACAGAACAAGCTGTGGAGGATAGATCTGTCGCCCGCGATAATGGGTTCGTCCTCCTTGATCTGATATGTACCGGTCGACTACAGCTTGCGCCGCACCGCAGGGATGGTTTTTATGCTTTCATGCTGCATCTGTACTTTAGGATATTATTACGGCAGAGTTCAGGCCGAGACGGGCAAGTTTAATATAATCATTTGATGTCTTGACACTAAAACATCGACTTTTACGAAGAGGTACCTCATCTCTCTCTTCTGCTTCTGCCTCTCTGCTTCGACCTCTCTGCTTCACTCACTCCTGGCCCTGGAACACCCGCGACAATGATTCTTGAGCAGCCTCGTTGCTGTCCACTTCACCTTCCAAGCAACACCCTAACACACAACGTGCGCGCAATGCAGTGTTCGCACACACATTGTCCACGCATTCTATGGCCTCGAAGATGTTCCCCTTTTTTCTTACTCGGTAAGAACAACAATCTTCCCCCGCGCCAGGTTCTTCTCCATCGTCTCGTGCGCCTCGACGATCTGATCGATCTTGAACACTTTGCCGACCTGCACAGGCATGGTGCCCGCCTCGATCTGCTTGAGCAGCTCGTTCAGCGGGGTCTCCATGAACTCGTTGGGTCCGCCGGAATAGACTGTTAGGGACACGCAGTGCGGGATCACGTCCATGGGGGAGAACTCTTGGAAGGACCAGCTGTTTCCTGCGGCAGAAGTGTTAGTGCCGATGACAACGTCGGGGTCAGTGTGAGGGTCAGTGTCAGGGGTAGCATCAGCGTCAGCGGTCGGTCAATGGCAATGTCAATCCGCGCCGGAAACCATCCCACCGAACCACTACATAGTACCGTGGAAGGGAAAGTGGCCCGCCCACATTGGATCATGTCCAGCGGAGAGGTAAGGGAGGTGAGGTACTAAGCCGTGTCAAACTCACCAACAATGCCCGTCATGCAAACAATCCCTCCCTCAACCGCACACTTCAACGAATCTTTCAGCGTCGTCGTCCCCACCAGCTCGAGCACCTTATCAAATTTCTTCCCGCCACTCTCGACCTTGTCCGCAACCTTGCCATCATCGACAATGACCTCCTCGACGCCGCTCTTGTGCATCAGCTCCGCCGTTTCGGGGCTCGAGCTGCGCGTCGTGCCCGCCACGAAACAGCCATGGTTCCGTGCGATGGCCGCCGCCGCCAGCCCCACGGACGTGGTGCCACCTCGCACGAGCAGACGGTCTCCAGCGACCAGCTTCAGCGCCTTGAACAAGGAGCCGTATGCCGTCTGCAGCATCTCCGGCACGGCGCCGACGACCTGCCAATCCAGCTGCGTGGTCAGGAGCTGCGTGTTGACGGCCTTCGGGCACGTATACTCGGCGTACCCGCCGTCGAAGTCGCGGCCCATGCCCGCCATCGCGGACGCGACTTTATCGCCCGGCTGGAATTTACCGGACGGACAGGCCTCGACGACGCCGGCGGCCTCGATGCCTAGCACGCGCGGGAAGCGCACGTTCGGACTGTGGCCTTGTCTCGTGAACATCTCGGAGCGGTTCAGGCCGAAGGCCTTGACGCGGATGAGCACTTCGTCGACCGCGGGGGTTGGGATGGGCCGTTGTTCCAGCTTGAGCACGTCGGGGGCCCCGGCCTCGTGGATGACGACGGCTTTCATGGACATGGTGCGTGGGGCGGAAGTCTGTCTGATGTACGGACGTATACGTACGAAAAAGGTGATCTTGTTTTTGGTGCCGTTCATGCAAAGACAGCGGTGGTCTGCGGCTGTGAAGAAGTCGGGTCTCGTGGCAGACCCGTGTACATATACTTATATACAGTCAGAGTATGGGCGACGCGCGCCCTACATCCCTGTAAATGCGAGTGAGTTTCTTTCAGTTCGACGCAGCTCCAAAGGACGAGTAGAAGCTTATTATTCAGCCGCAGAAGGGATGGAGGAATATCACAATCTACAACCCATAGTTCGTTGCATAGATCGCCCCCGTCTGGAGTTTGCGGTGCGGATGTGCCGTGTCCCACATCGACGGAGATATTGACCCTCGCCTCAATAGGCAGGTCGTCGGCCACGTTTGCGTGAGTTCGATTCGTGCGACCTCGAGTGACTGGTCCTCCCGGTCTGCGTCTGTGCGTTAGCCTGATGCCTTGCATGAGAGCGTGGTGCTTGTATTGCATAAACATGTCTCTTGGGTCTGATTCGTGGTGACGTTCGGGTTCGCTCTTGACTGTCGAATGGGATGTGGTCAGCCAGCCACCATATTGGCTTCCAGAGGCAGTCAGTGTCAAGCACATGCTTTCGCTGTGGTCGGACAATAATGAAGGAACACAGTCAGTCCAATCACGTTGACAGCAAGATCATTCCTTTAACCGAGATTCACACTTCTCGCTGGAATGATATTAGGATTAGAGCGCTGCTGCACTCAGTGAGATACGCCTAACGAGGGGATCCGCTAAGACCGGGAACCGGTGAGCTGTCAAAGTATGCCAAAAACGCCGAACCTGAATAGCCCCATGGTCTTTTGGCTCAGGAAGGGGTATAGATGCGCATAGTACAATCCAAGCATGCATGATGTTTCCTGTTCATTCCACGCCATGTGTCCGACCACACCAGGGACAATCGATCGAAAAGCCAGGACGCCACGCTGTTATGCAAACTCATCTGTTCTCCACTCCTCTGTACTGTTGAGGGGAGCGTGCCTGATCACTGTCGCCGGAGCTATCTTCCTCCGGTTCTGGCGAGGTCGGGGAAGTAACGGGTTTCCTTTTGGTGAACACTTGTTGGCTCTGTTGTCTCTGATGCTTCGCTTTGAGATGCTTCAGCTTGTTGTCCGCTTCACGCAGTCTGGTCTCTAGGTCTTCGAGCTCGTATTTCCGAGAGGTGACGGTTTCCTTTCTGCACAAGCCGAGGCTTTGTTAGCGTCCATCGAACTGATTTCAGCAATCGTGGAAAAGGGGCTGATGGATAAGAGCGTACTTTTGCTCTACCGATTCCTCCAGAGCGCCAATGCCATTGAGCTTGAAGAGATCGTCAAGCGCAGCAGAGAAGTCAAGAGCGATTGTCCTGTAGTGTCTCGGGTCAGTGACTGCGCTCTGTCATTGCTAGGGATGGCCGACGTACGACTGAGGACGAGCGTTGGGCTGGAAGCCCGCGTCGGGGTTCTGTTCGTTGGCGGTGCTCATTGTTGGAGGTGTTGCTGGGTCGGCGAGGTCCGGCCTTGCGTCTGACTGTGGTCGATAAAGAGATGAGAGGTTGACAGTGGTCGTCGTATGGAATATTGTATCAAAATATATTCGCCGCGGTGTATGTCCAACAGGCAACAGAATACGACCGAATGAGTCAGTTGATCATATCAGAGGACGGTTCCAAAAGGCGTCAAGCACAACCCAGGCAGACTGCTTCCTGCTCTCATACGGTGCTTCCTGATGTTAGATCAAAGGTGCGGTGAGGTTGCCATCTGGGGCAGATGACTGGCACATTCCTCCCAAATTGCGAACGCCCAGCATCCCAGCAAAAGGGGCTCGCCGGTTCGATGAGATGCAGGACGGACCCTGAAGCGAGAGTTTGGGGCGCTGTGGGCGCTCACGCTACAGCCTCGGAGGGCATTAGGTGATTGGGCTGCGCCGATCTGCCCCCAGCAATTGGAGGCTCGCCGTGGCTCCCGAGGCCAGCACCACAAGCGCCTGAAACTGACGAGTTGAGCGTACGGGGCACCTACCGGGGCCGCTACAGTAGCTTAGCCACAAAACTCGGGTCTTGGCCAACGCTGCTCCGCTGGTGTAGCCGCGACTTTTCGCGCTCGCTGCGCTTCTGCTCAGCTCTGGTGCTTTGCTTCGGTGTCCTCCAATTTTCGAACCATCAATTTTCATTTCACCTCGACGCTCATCACATCTCCACCACCACTCATCGCGTTTGGACCTGTGATCCACGCGTCGCGTCCCTAGGCTTTTACACTCTAGTCCTGGCTGGCTTCGGGGGAGCTGTCGCATCTTTGGACACGGCGGCCTTGTCCACGCGGTATTCGCTATGATGGGATGCCTTCAATAAAAGCCTACACTCAGTATGAAACGCTTGCTTTCTGTCAGTCTGTCGCCTATCATGGCTCCGACACAGCTGCCTTCGAGGACATTTCGACCGCCTTGAACGGCAACCACCTCATTCGCGACAGCGAAACATACGATCAGACTCGCCTAACTGCAGCTGCTTTGCGAGAGCTATACCACGACCTTCTTGCCGAGGAGAGAAATGCGCAGAAAATCGCTACTGTTAATGGGGACGATGGGTCGCCCAACGGCACAAATGCGCGAAAGCGCAAGCTGTCGCGGTCACCAGCTCCCGATGACGCGGCATACACGGACGAGCAGAGGTCATTGGAGTCCCTGGTGGACAAGCTCTACGCTCGCTTTCGAGACCAGATGATAAAGGAGGTCAAGCAGGAAGAGGAGGACTATGTGAGGCTGCAGGCCGAAATCGCGCAGCTGGAGCATGAGGAATCCGAGGCACAAATCCAGCAAGGGGTCGTCGCTGGAGAGTCCAGCAACAACCAGGCTCAGCCGCAGTCCGAAACGTCCAAAAAGACAGAAGATATAGCCGAGAAGGCGCACACTGTTCGGGCGAGCTCGCAAGCAAGACCTGCTTCAGCCGCGCCTGGCGCTGATGCTGCCCGCGTCGTGCAGGTCGCACCGACTGCAGCAGCTCCAACAGTAGATGTGCGGACGTCTCCCACTGTTCGGACTGGCCTGCCACCACCTCTGGCGCCCTCGCATCCTCCCCCTCCTGCATCTCCTGCTCCGCCTCTTGCAAGAGCATCAGCAGAAATACCTCATGCAAGATCTTCGCAACCGCCTTCAGCAGCACCACCACCGCCGCCACAACAGTCGCCCGGAGCTTTCCATCGCACGCTACCAATCCCGTCGCCGCAACGACCCAATTATGGGCCCATCAACCCCCAGCATTTCCAGCCTGGACCCCAGGGTCAACCTATGCCTGTTCTGCCACCGTATCCAGGCTCACCGCATATGCTACCGCCCACAGAGTATCCCCATCAAAAGCGTGGAAGTGCTTCACCCGCTCAAGGAAGAGGTTCTCCCGTTCCCGGCCAGCTCCAGCACCAGCAACCGTATCCGGGGTACTCTGGCTACCCTCAACAGCCTCCCTGGCCGCATCATCCGCCTGCCCAACACCAATATGGTCAGCCTCCACATTATCCAAATCAGCCATATTATGCTCAATCACCCACGAGCCGTCCTCCCATACAGTACCGGACACCACACCATGCACAATATGCGCCTTATCCTCAAAGTGCCCCTATCCACTACCAAGGGCAGCCACCGCTTCCTCATGCCTGGCCACCACCTCAGCCTGGTCAGCCTTATTATGGGTATCACGGTTCGCCAAACGTCACACCTGTTCCGCGAAGTGACCCGAGGCGATCCGTACCGAGAGGAAGATCATCCACGCCCTGGAAGCGACGTGCTCAGCAACCCGGCGGTGTACGGCCATCAAGCCCAGTTCGCCCCGAGAGAGAAGTTAGTCCCATCTCAGATACAGAGTCGGTCACCCAGGCCAAGAAATCCCGGGGTAGCACAGATCAGAAAGCAGAGAAGAGCCAACTCACTCCGCGAGCAGCCGCACCGCCGGTCAGAGGCCGCCAACAAGCCAGTGCCACTCCATCCGCATTCGCAGGATCAAGATCTCAATCGATAGCGTCCTTTGCATCCGATGTACCTACAAACAAGGGCAAGAAGGGTGGGACTTCTCATAATGTCAAAGTGGAACCACCCAGTACACCTGCGCCTGTCCCCTCTGACACGGAGCAGCAGCAGCCACAAAGGACTACGGGCCGGCGCGGGAGACCTCGTGCAAGCACATTGACTGCCAAACCAGAGCCAGCTGTTGGTACGAACAAGCGAAAGCGCTCAGGTGATCATGATTCAGCAAGCCCTCCACCTTCAGTCGCACGACAGCTACCTTCTCCAGCAGCGACGGCTTCCACGCGCGTTCAGCCTCCGTTACGCCGCCAATTCTCGCTGTCTCTCTCAGCTGATCCCTCGCTCGTTGCAGTCAACAAGAACTTCAGTAAGACTGCACAGCTGCTTCTTAACGAGATCCTCTCGCATAAGCTGGCCGGAATTTTCGCGAAGCCGCTTTCAGAAAGGGATGCGCCTGGGTATAAGGACCTGGTGTTGAGACCGCAGGACCTGAAGAGCATCAAGGCGGCTATTTCGAAGGGCGGGAAAGCGGCATTGGCGGCGATTGAGGCATTCGAGGAGAGAACAGCGAACGCAAATGCAGGATCAGAGGATGCCGACGGCGAAAAGACACTCATGCAGAACGCTCCGGCCTCGACTACGGCCCGCGGCCCGCTTGCTGGAGAGAGAGCTATTGGAAACGGCGTCTATCTGGTTCGAGCGTCAGAGGACCTTGTCCCGCCGAAGGCAATTGTGAACTCGGCTCAGCTTGAACTGGAACTCGTGCGCGTGTTTGCAAATGCAGTCATGTTCAATCCGCTCCCAAGCTCTGAGAGGGGCTTTGGACGCTCGCTCCGCCTACGCCGGAGAGGAGGAGATGTTGTACCTGCAGAAGATGACCAGCACGCCGAGAGCAGCGAATCGGACGATGGTAGCCCCTTCGAAGTAGGCGGCATCATCTCGGACACCAGGGAGATGTTCGAGGATGTTATTGCCATGGTGAGGAAATGGAGGGAAGCCGAACTCGAACGTCTCGGCGATGTCGGCGAAGCGGACGTGATGTCTTCGACTCCGACAGCAGGGCCGTCCAAGCCTACGACGCAAGCGAGTGGAAGCGCGAATCCCAGCCTGAGACGGTCCGAGAGCGAAGAGAATGAGGACGAAACCGGTGGGGCGCCCAGTCCACCTGCCACCACGGGAACGGCCAGAAAGAGAAGACGTGTTGCGGAATGATGGTCCTCGCTGATGCGATTACGGGCTGTGCAGCGTTTACAAATCGATCTGCTGGCGTAGTTACCGTATATGACAAGCACACTCGAATGTACGAGCCGAGGTGTGAGGTTTGAGGTTCTGTAGCGCTGAGTTTAATAGGACGAGCATGAGCATGCAATATATGCCCCCGACGAATGCTTCGTACCTGATGTTCATCACTTGTTGTGTCACCCTCCTCTCATTCCATGCTGAATTGATCTCATTACATCGCACGGTCTGGTCAATCGATGCTACATACTTATGTAATCGCGGCGGTAGCTTTACACCAGTACTGTATCAACAGCAGTACCAGTGCTAGCCAGGGCAATGCCATTGGCCACAGCATTTCCTTTCCCATCATGAACGTTCGCGAGCAGAAGCGAGTTCTTGTTCTACGAATATCGTTTATCTGTATCTCAACCCTGCATGTACAGTGCTGTAGGACGGGCTACACAGTAGGTACCCACGTACCTTAGGGATCCTCCCCTGCGTCCCACGTCGCCACCGCCAATGTACCATAATCGAGCTTTATTGTGTTCGCCTTGTGAGCTTTGTTCTTCTAGACACCTGGACACTGGACACTGGACACCGGACACCGGATATCAAGCATCACTTCCATGTCAATGTCAAGGGTATGAAGAGGGACTCTACTTACATTATGGAGTGCGGAGTAGGGAGATGCTGTATCCCAAACCTCGAGGCATGATACTGTAGATAACTTTCCCATTTTTATGTGGTTTTGCCTCTTCCACCGAGTCAGTGAACTCAGTCATCTCAGTCGACTTATTCAACTCAGCTATTCCCCCTAGTCGAGTCGAGTCGAGTCGGATACCAGTAATGCTCTTTCCCTCGAAGCAATTCCTCTTCCTTGCTATGTATTTGCATTCGATTCCCGGGGACAAGGAAGAAGAGAGTCTCGGAAACAGGCTGTAGATGTATACGACGTACGTTAGACAACGAGGACGAGTATCAACCATGACGACAAACACTGCCCTTCCTCCATTACCTATAGCCAATGCGCAACGATAGCCATGCCCACGCCCTTCTCATCTATACCCATTTCCACCCTTCGCATTCAGCCCAATCACTCATTCTCGCGCTCACTCACTTGCTCCCCTTCATCCTCTCGCCGATCCAGGCCTTACTCGCGTTAACGCCGGGGAATTCGACCTCGAATAGGATGCGGATACTCTCTGGGTCCTCGCCGTGGCGGGCTTTCTCTCGGACAAAGGCATCGTGCTTGGGCGCCCAATTGGGAGGAGGAGGATGGCGTGGTTTCGGCGAGATGGAGGATTTCTTAGAGGACGAAGTCGTTGCGGAAGGCATTTCGATGGGTTGGACGGATAGACCGAATAAGCGATTGGATATGGGTTGAAGATGATTGGGTGCTGGTTCGGTGGTAGGTAGGTAGTCCTGGGCTAAGTGAGTGAGTGAGCAAAGACCGCTCCTGGAGGTGAAGCCCGATGCTCTGCAAGGGTCGTTTCATTGCATACCTATCACAATTCGTTCTTGTGTTGCCTGAGACGAGATATGGACAACGTGGTTTCCGGCTCTTCGATGATGTGACGCTAGGCGACACAGTTGGGAACAAGGCGCTTTGGGTTGCTGCGGTCACAGGCACGAATTGACTAGCCCACAAATCGGTCGTGCTTGCTTCGCGTTCCGGAGTGGCGGAGAAGAGGCAAGGAATGGAACGCCTGTTGTGGTGGTTGATATTGTTCAGGGCAAAGTGGGAGCACAAAAGGAGCACAAGATCGGTCTTTTTGTACTTCTTGAGATCTCAAATCACATCCCATCCTGCTCGCTCAGACACATTTGATGTTTGCGCCCTCGTCCATACGGCACGGGGAAGTGGATGGATATTTTGTTCGCAACGGACAACAAGCAGATATCTGTCCTGGAGCACTTCACAAAGCTGAAAGGAAGAGAAGTCGCAACCAACCAGTGATCCTCATGATTCCAAATTGCAATTCTTACCATTCCTTTTGAGCATCCAGCAACGGCGGAAGTAGAAGAGCATCCTCCGAAGACACCACTCGATGTCGACTTCCCGGAAAGGCTTGCAATTGACAAATCGCTAGAGGAAGAGCCACATGGGGACAGAAGCACGAGTGGAAGCGGATCCGGTATGGAGCTGCTCTGCTGCATAGTTCTTCATTAGATTTTAACGGGTGAAGAGTCCATCAAATGCCGGTGGTGGAGTTCTGGTTCCTTCGGCGATATTGAGATTCATAACCAACCATACTTTCCCCGATTGAGAGGTCATCTCATCAGTATGAACACTTATGTTGTTCCTTTTGCCTTTTCCAAATGATGGACAGCCCCGGATGCCGCCTTCCGTGTCCCCGTCATGTCGGCTGCCGATAATTCCTCAAAAGTCTTTCCATCCAACACCATTTAGAACCTGTAAACTCCTGGGCCGTCCGCTATGCTTTTTGTATACCTGATATCGTCAAGAACTTGTCATAGTGATTGGTAGTCATTATACACTAAATATATATATGCATGACAATCGACTCGGTCGGATGATGATCATGAAAATACCCCGAAGCCGTTAGCAAACCATGCAAATGACATGAATGTGATAGCTGATGCTGTCAGAATCACACCCAGGGCTTGCTTCTCATGTACGGAGAGGGCGCCACTGCAGGTTGCGCATCTGAACTCGTTCAATGGGGTATAGGCTTGCCTGCATCTGGTAAGTAAAACCGGACCGCTTCTGGAAAAGGCGAGACACTCACGGTGTGTACATGCCAAAAATATACTGCTGGTAGGCGGCCAAAAAGCCAGCGGACGGAACATCTGTGAGGTCTTGGGACGAGTCATGGATGATCAAGGTATAACTGGCGACAGGAAATGGATTGGTGGCCGTTGCATACATCTCGCCCGTATCCCAGGTGAAGGCGCCTGTTTCCTCGACAGACATATTGGAAGTGAGGGTGTATGTTTGTGCATTTTGCGCACAGGAAGCCAAGATATCGATGGCGGACGGTGTTACGGACAAGGAAGTGTAGTTCCAGCCGAACGTGACAAACTCTCCGACCTTGTAGTATTGAGGTCCATCAATCAAAGCAGGAGTAATGAGCGCGACACCACCGGGAGGCAATCGAGGGTCGATTGGAGTGGTCTTGGTGTTTGTTGTCCTCGTCGCGTTTCCAGATGCTGAGCCTCTCGATCCGGATCCCGAGGCAGACAGGGATGCTGACGGCGTTATGATCGAGCCAGACCCTGAACCCGAGGCGGATTGACCGGCAGAGGTACTCGAGGCGTTGTCGTTGTTTGCGGTCGAAGAGGCATTATCATCATTGTTATCGTTGTCTTGTCGGGCGACAAGCAAGGCATCATTCTTCTTGTCGAGAGATTCGGGCCATGGCCAGGCCGAGGAGAGAGCTGTGAGGAGGAGGAGGAGGGCGGCGAAGGTAGGAAAAAGGCCGAAGCCCTTCATCTCGGAGAAGCGAGCGTATTCAGTGTAGGCAGATTCAACGATTGGCCGGGGGATCGAAGGCGATCGTGTCGCTGATTGTTGTTACGAACTTGGTAGATAGAGCAGTATGGCAGAAACAAGGGTAACGATCGAACTGAATTCCATAAAAGATAGAATGAGAAGAGGAACCGACGATGAGAGAGTGGTGAGGTGGAAGTGAGGTGAGGTTCACGAAAGGAGCGCAGGCGAAAAAAGGTGTGTCTGTGTCTCACCCTGAACGACGGAAGCCGCGACTCGGAGTCCACAACAGTCGACGAACAACGCGCCTCAGCCACATTTCCGGGAACTAACCGTCTCTGGTTGGGCGTGTTTCTTAAATTGGTTCTCCCACTGGTTGAACTCGCCAAGATACCAGCCGGTTGGTTCTGAAGCCTCTCACAATTCCGATTTTCATCTGATATCTAGAGTTCAGTTCAGTTTGACCTGGATATGTTATGCTGTTGGATAGTGCCATTGACCCTTCGAATGACAACAGCCAAGTACATAGCGAGGGAGCCCAGAGAGCAGAGAGCAGAGGTTGACTAAGCACAACCGTTTCATTGACGCGTTGACCTACATCATCTCATTCTCAGAGCCAAAGGCACGTTTCTCGCAATGGCGATGACGATGAATGTCATTGAAGGCTCTCCTATCCTCACCTAAGGATATCTTTACACCACTCTCGCAAATTGTCTCCCATGGGTGAGGCTCGACTGCTTTCCCCTTCCGAGTGCTGCTGGCTGGCTGACCCATATTCATATTGTGGACCTGCCTGGTTACCTTGTGGTTCTTGGGCTCTTATCGCGGCGATACGTCTGCGCAGAAGATCCGTATCTATTTGTAGCCTGATATGGTGGGTTTGTCCGTCCTTGTAAGCTTGCAGGAGTGCCGACCTTATGTTGTCGGCACCGCGATCCTGCTCACCTTTGATGCTTCCATCTGATGTTCGCTTCCTTTGTGCCTATAGTCCTTGCAGCTTGTGATCTTGATTGGAGGTAAACGTGGTCGACATCTCATTTCGAGTGTAGCCGACCATTGCATCGCACCAGGCGCATGCACAGTCATCGTCGTGTCGACTTCTGGCAAGTGCAGACTTGAATTCGCCTTTGTCATTGCATGCGTACTTCATTTCCCTGTCCATCGGATCCGAGTCTGTTGCAACGTATGATCTTGTAAGAGAAACGTGATTCTGGGGCATTGGGGTTCCTTTGACGTGGGTATAGTCGATTGTTCTCGAATCTGAAAACGGTAGATCTCTTCTTGATTAGGGCATTAAGTGGTCTGCTGACACATTCAACTGCCCCAGGCACAAGAACTCGCGTATGGAAGAACTTCCATGTAAGTGAGTGATGGCTTCGGCATGTCACTAACATTGGGTCCGCTGGGTGTGGTGCGACAGGCAGTCATCATCCCAGGCCCAGCTTCACATGACCGGCGAAAAATGGGATCGATCTACCCAAGAGTCAGAGTTGTTAGTAGCTTCACTCCTACATTTTAGTCGATAAGCACAAGTCGACTCGTGGACAGTCCTGTCCGCGCCCTGTGCAGCCTCCCCTTCTGCCATGAGATGTTCATGACAAGCGACGTTCTGGTCTTCCATAATTGGGAAGACATCGGAGAGAAGCGACCCTGCCGAAAGGGCTTGTGTTCACGGAGGTTCAAATCCAAGACGTGAGGTCTGCAGCCTGAGTTTTGCGAGTTGTGAATATGACTTTTGGGGCGGTGGTGTCACAAACTTGGTCACTTGGCGAAGTCACAGGACGATGCAGTCGGAATGACGTTGAACGTTGTATGTCACCGAAGTCCTCACTTGTCCACGTCACGGGCTGAGCGGCGAGGTACATGCTCCTCGATACAGGAGGCCCGAGATCAGCCGCCAGATCTTGCATGCACAGGGATAAGGCTTTAACAACCCCCCATTTCATTTCATCGACGCCGTGACTGGCTGGTGAGTTGTGTTGAGCTCAACAGCCACAAGGCGGTGATCCATCACACAGCAGCGGCGCGGAGCAAAGATGTAGAGTCGAGCTCATCCTCGCCTTCTGTGCGAGCCAATAGGCTCGATCTCTAAGCTCGCAATAAGAACACGCATTCATCGTGCGGATATTCGTCTGTGTAGAGCGAAAGTTGTGAGCTTTTAACACTCATTCAGTCCTCGAAGTGCGTTGTCCAGGGTCCATCGTGCAATCGTCTGTGACCTTTGGCACGCGAGGAACGGTAACATGGGTCTCTTGCTGCATTCAGTAGGGCGAATAGAGTTTCGAATCAGTCAGCAGTAAGGCCTAGTCCGCAGAAGAGGACGCCAACATTTCGCAAGCTTTACGCGATTCGAAGCGGCAGTGAACATCTAATTAGGCCGCTTCAACACAGCGGGCTGTTTCGAGTCGGACTGAACTTGGCGTTGTCGTCGAGCCACTGCCGAAACGCAAGACGCGGTCGATGCGTGACCCGGCTTCGTAGAGTCTTGGTCCATAAGGCACGGGTGTCCGGATTGCTTATCCAAGCAAGTGAGGCATATGAAGATCCACTTCTATACCCACAGCATCAGGCTCACTTGCAGTCTCGATGGAGGGCCAGGAACTGAGGGACTTCGCCCTCCTGTGGTGTTATCGACTGTCGGATCAAGGGTAACTGCATTGTCTTGCTGTCGAAGAGTTTGTGGCATTTCTCGCACGGCTTAGTATTGATATCTCGATACGAGGAGATCATCTCCTACGCCTCATGATCAGCTAAAGGTGAACACCTGCGTACATCATGGGACGCATACCAGAAGAGTTGCGAGCCCTGCTCCCTTTTGCGATTCCGAGATGCTCTGAAGAACGTTATGACGTAGACTGGATGTTTCCGTGCCAGGCTTTCCGACGACAATGTACTTGGTGGCACCAGCGGAGTGTCTCTGTTCGAGGCGGAAATCAAGTTTTCCAACTTGGATATCAATAGGCAATGGGGTTGCTCCGTCTGACACGTGTATCCTCAACTCTGGATGCCTTGCACAGAAGTCGTCCACCACCTGCATGATTTCGGGCTCATTTGGGGGCGGAAACTCGCGACTAGGGTCGCTCGCAGTGATGGACGTTCGGTCGTTTGTGGCAGCGTCCTGGAGAAGAGCGCCGTAGTCCAAGGGCCATGCATCCCCACCCTGTGGGAGGTCATTCGCATTGACGACGTGCCACAACTGGCGTACATCTTCACCGTGCCATTCCTTCTTGAATTGCTCAACGTCTTGACTCCCTGCCTTGGCCGCCGTCTGCAGGTAGGTGGCAAGCTTCTCGGGCTGATAACCCCCGGGGTTCTCCAATGCCACACGCGCTGGGTTGATCAACTTGTCGGGCAATAGGGACCGAAGGCCGCCAATCTTGCCGGATGTCAGCATGGACGTGTGTCTGATCGGCAGAAGAAGGAGAAACCCCAAAACGGAAGCAAGAGACTGACTTGCGAGTACATGTTTTGAAGCTTCGCTAACTTCGCTATGATTTCGCGGTCCTCGCTGTCCACGGCGCCTGGCAGCTCTGTCGCCATTGTGATTTGAAAGGACTGAAGCGGTATTGGCCTGTGTCAGGGGCAACTGGAGGGAACAAGAACTTTCACAAAAGTACAGCCAGTTGTGGTTACTTTGGCGCTGGGAAACGTGCCTTTGATTTCCAGAAGACGGTGGTGGTGGGGGCCAGTCAGGGCACCATCACATGGCATCGCAATTCGACTAATTCGCCAAGAATGTGCCAGATTGAAGAGGATTAGTCACACTGGTCTGTAATAGCAGCGTCAAGTTTCCATCTCATGCCGTCTCTCAGACCTGATTCGTGCTTCAACTTGACAAGGGATCAGTCTGATCTTTTCTGCTTCCCGTAGTTGGCCAGAGAAACTCTGAGCTCTAGAGCTTCACGTTTCAGCTCAATCTTGATCGATAATATCTCCGCGAATCGGGGCGACTTCCTGAAAGTCTCCGGTATGTGGCTCGCAGGATCAACCCAGGATTCTGGAAAGTACATAGATGGGCGGCCTCGCGGTCTTGGTAACGTCTGTATGTCCGGGTAGGTAGAAGCGCTTGCAGACCCGTCCTCCCGGGCTGTACTCGGATCTCCACGTGGAGACTGAGCCCTTGATTCCAGATATCGACATTGGTACGCAACGGATGCCAAAGTAAATAGCCATTCCTTTTCTACACCATCAATCCGAGCGAGACAATACAATACTAACTGATGATGGTGCAATCTCTTGTTCTTTCGACTGGTCTGACCACTTACTTCAGCGACTTTGTGCCATGGAGTGACGTTACTCTCACCTGATCCCTGTCATGTTTTTTTCGCTCGACTCGAAGACCTGTCTCCGCTTACTATACTGCTGTAGGGCGTGCAGTTCCTCCAATTACTAAGCCTATTTGTCCTTGGGCTCCTCTTGGCTCGAGGGGCTATGTGCAAAAGGACAATAATATGGGGCCAAAAGTATCCCGTCCCGATAACTCGCACGTAGAGCCGCTGATCCCAGTCGGGGGACAACACATGCGGTGCGTTGTTGCATGGCTTTGACAGCTTACGTCAGGTCAATCTCCCAAATCCCCTGTTCAGTGCTCGTACATTCGCCCAGTTTTAAGCCTGCAGCTCGTTCAGACTCACTCGAAAAAGCCTAGAAAGGCCAAGCCAGCGATGTGTTCAGACCGACCAAGTCGCCAATAGCGCGACACCCATTCTCATGTTAGTGCCCATGCGAAGGTGAAGCCCACATTTGGTGAGGTCCCATGGGTGAATCAGCGTGGCTGCGCAGGCATTTGTCATGTTGAGAGACTACGAAGTACCTGGTGGTAGAATGGCTTAAAGAAGGAATTCTTGGACAAAAAGAGAAAGGACCATAGCACCAACACCAATGCCTTCTTGGCCCGCTACTGTGAGCACGAAGTTTGGAGATTGTGCATTACGGACTCAGCCACAAATAGTCGCTAGAAGCTCCTTCTCCGTCTCCGGTTTCCAATCGGATGTCGCTTCACGATATTGTATACCCGGAAAAGGAAATAGACATATGAATGCGAGCATTGGCGGCTGGTCGGTGCGGACTATACGCGCTCATTTCCGAAAAGCGGCACAATACAATTAAAGCCGTGAGGCAGCATCAGCCGTGCTTTGTGTATCAGAGCATTGGTGATGGTCGAATACCAATATCATGCCCACATCTGAAAATCACTTCGTGGAGGTTGAGTGACATGTTGATCGCAAACTACTCAACCGTCAACTCGTAAAGCAGTGCGACGACGGGTATGCGGTGGTAAAGGGCGATAGGCGTGATTGGCTTTCGGGGTAGTCGATTTCCAATCCCCAGAACTCGGCCTCATTTATCCGACTCTGCGCTGACAAACTTCGTTTGGTCGTTGAGTATAGCCAGACCCAGTGTCCTTGGTCGTAAGCGCGGCCGTGCCAAAGATCATCTCTGGGCTGACCGACCGGACTGTGGCTGTCGAAAGCCGAGAAGAGACAGGTGTGCATGCGTGGCATGGAACAACCTACGGCGGCATGGACATAACTTTTTGTCCGGCCGTCAACGGTGGAAGCAAGACGGCGCAATTAAATCCGGATGACGCAAACACCCGTCGGTCAAGGTGCTCGTACATTTGTAGATGCTCAGCTTGTCGATCTCTGCATGGCTTGGAAGTGGCTCAGTCCAGCCCAGATGGAACATTATTGCTACCCCTACAACGAACGAACCCTGTCTGCGGATTCCACGGGCGTATCATACTACGAGTACGGTGAACTCTGAAGAATGGGTTGCGGCACACCATGTCGAGACGAATGAGCATCCAGCTTCAACAGGCAGCGGCCTCTGCTAAGAGTCACCAACACCATGCCATGATATGTAAATGCTACACAGACTCTGCAGCCTAGATTCCAAGGGCGCATGCGTACACGCACGATGGTACTCCGCACTCGTAGAGAGGCGATCGAGACTCGAGACTTGCGAATTGCGCGACGGCGCAATCCGCCTCACGACGATCTGAAACGCAGCGAAGGTGTTGTTTTTTTATGATTGGTGGCTTACTCAAATACAAATCGATAATGTGGGTGTCTAGTATAGCGGGAGAAAGTGACGACTGCCTTTTCGAGACAGGGCTCGCCCAGTCGCATGTTGGCACGCTGCTTCAGTCTCACCTCCAACAGCCCAAAGCCAACAGCGAAAGCCGGGGGGTAACGCGTTGCTCGGGGGCGGTGACCCGGGCAGCGCAACGGGCGGACAAAAGAGGGCAAGAGGGGACACGAAACTAACAAACGAGCTCGCCCCACTCCTCGGCGGTATTCTCAGCGTATCCTCATTACCGCGTTACCAGCATCTCACCGCAGATGATGAGCAAACCAGCTGGCCCTTGTGGTGCACCCGCCGGTTTCGTCGTCTGCAGGCGTAACGGTCCATCGGTATGGGCCAGTTGTGGTTGACCGTCATTCCCAGCCTGGGGTTTGGATCGGTCCACCCCTTTCATTTCCCCTGTGGCCCTACAACGTTTCTTCACAATGGTTCAGCTAAAAGTGTGGCTCCCAGGTCCCTGGCCACCGCAACCTCTTCGGCCGTGGAGAGGATCCGCAATAATCATGACCCGTCTCCCTCTCACTCGAGGCTATCAGAAGGACCCAGTGATAGTGATCTACCTCTGAGATGCTGTCAGCAATTGACCAGGGTCATCTAGCCCTACGAGGTTGCCTTCGCCCTAGACCCACGATGGTCGTGGCCCTCTATCGCCGAACCCGCCCTACTATTCATATGTCCATGTTCGCCCCAGGGTAAAGCTCCTGAGAGTCTATGCTTTGAAACCTGCCATTCAAGCCGCTTGCGTTTGGAACGCATGGGAAGCTGCATGTCGGCCAAGAAAGCAGAGAAAGATATATATGACTGACCGACCTCCCCAACCCACCGCGAGAAGTAAATCAGCAAAGAGCCCACCTAGTGCTCCCTACTGCAAGCATGATGGCTATCGAGACCCAGGAAGGAATCTTCTCCATGACACCCCCGCCCAGCGAATTCGACGAATTCGACAAAAGCGCCTTGCTGACTTGCTCACCTTCCCTGCCCGGGCTCTGTTATCCTTCGCCGGCTCCGTCGAGTCGAGGGCATAATCCGTCCGTGTCATCAGAATCCATATACATGCTCCCCAGCATGTCTTTGTCAGAGCACCAAGGCCACGATCTGCAGTCAATATCTTTCGACGACGCCTCGTCAGATTCTGCCTCCTTTTTCCCAGTGCCGACTGTCACAGACCCAGCACTGACTACTCACTTCAACACCACCGTCACATCTCCAGCGCAAACCACAGAAGACTCCTACACCATGTATGAACAAAACCAATGGTTCCCATACTCCAACTACCGCCAGCACACCCCACTGCTGCCCTACGACACAACCTCGGCGTCGTCGGCACACTACCCAGTATTCAGCCACCACCCTTCTGCTCACATCATCCCACCAACGCCTCAGGACGTCCACGCTTCACACTTCGACTTTAACCATGTTCCCACATCCACAATACCATCACACCACCACCTCGCGGCCTCGCCGTCCTTCTCGCAAGTTTCACACCACAGCTCCCACAGTCATCGGGAAAGCATATCATCCATGTCCCGGTCATGCAGTCCCAGTTCGACGCTCAGCCGGGGCGACACGCTGAGGCCGGCGTTGCGCTCGAACTCCACCTCGTCCAACACCTCTCTACATGCCTATGGAATCCCCGTGGCCGAACCACCATCATCATTCCTGTCCACATCGTTAAGTGCGTCGCCGTCAGCTCACGGCGGCCCGACTCAATCCTGGCGCTGCGCCTATCCCGGGTGCACCTCCCGGGCAACCTTCACACGTGGCTGTGACCTGCGGAAGCACTACAACCGGCACAGCAAGCATCTCTTCTGCCGGGTAGACGGATGCCCGCAGAGCGAAGCAGCGGCCGCGGCGCGCGCCAAGTCAGCAGATCAGCCACTGGCCGGCGGCTTCTCCAGCAAGAAGGACCGCGCAAGGCACGAGGCAAAGCACAATCCAGGCATCAAATGCGAATGGCGAGGCCCTGAGGGCGAGGAGTGTGGCCGCGTCTTCTCTCGCATGGACAACATGAAAGATCACGTTAGACGAATCCACAGCAAGGGGCAGCAACAGAGCAGCAGCACTCTGCCAAGCCGAAAATGATGCCTCTGCACGACCGAAAGCACATTTGACACCACGTATGTATATTCATGTATATGTGTATGTACTGTCTCGACGATGTGCAACGGGATGATCTTCCCGACTACGCGTCGGGAACACAAGCCATTTCCACTTCGTCGTCCACGAGAGCCGACGCTCAGGCAGCGCCGGCAGATGATGTCTGTCCCGAGGAGCGACACAGTCCTACGCTTTGGGGACTGGGGGAAAGGGCTCAGTCGCTCATCATCTCATCTCACGAATCTCCTCTGTTCTTCTCTGCGGAGCAAAAAGCTCCTGTTGACCATGGGTATCATGATGGTGGAGGAACAAATTCCAGTACGACACAGTACTCGGAACTCGATCGGGCATTTTCACGCGACGGGATGGATTGATTGATGGAATCAATGCCACGGCATGGACTGGGTCGGCGCTAGGTTTAATGCCATGATGTTTTCCGCTCAGCGTCACTACCACTGTCACTGTCACTATAGTATCATAGAGTTAGACCCGGAAGCGTGTCTCTCTGGACTGAGCACGAGAAGCCAACCTCGCTCGCAAAGTGTGGAGAGAGCGTGGCGATGGCAGTATAGCTCGAGAATGAAAACCTCGGAACGCCTACCTACCTCGTACAGTCCTACGATCTAAACAAAGAACAAAGCACCTCGGAAAGTCCCCCGTCCCAGCGCCCCAGCTACGAATTGACCGACTCTTGGCTCCTGGTCAGTGCTCACAGCCACTTCATCGCAGGTTAAGCAGTGATGCACATAAGGCGCGTATTCCAGAATTTACTATTATGTACTCCCTGTTCTTCCCTTCCAGAAGCTTGGCTTGCAGTACCTCGGGGCAAGAGTCCCATTTTCATGTCGTCTGCTTGCTCGCTGTGAACCAATACCGCCAAGGAGACAAATGTCACGATATGCACGCACAGGACTTCCATCACCGTCGAGTCAGGAAACACGAACAAAAGTCCTACTTTCTGCAGGGTATTGCATGGGAGGCATGCGGACGCGAACGACAAAGTGGATCCAGTCGTGCAAACACAGCCATCACACCAGACGAAACAGGCAGCAGGTTGGTCGCCATTCGTGAGGTATCATTCGTCTGGCGATCAATCACCATGCAAGGGTTGCCGGGACCGCCAGCGGCTTCGAACGGCCTGCCCGATTTGGCTCTAAATGCGAAGGGCCACTGTTTGCTGCGTGTCATTCGTGTCATTCACTCGCGATTACTCATCCTTGTCTACAGTTGATTTGCCAGTCGCTGCCGACGGGATCCTTTGTTACTTCTTGGTGCTCTTGGTGCTCTTACGGCCGATGCAAGGCTTAGGTTCTCGGACCAAACCAGCCGTGGTGCGTCCGGAGTACAGCGAAGCGTGCTACCTAACTAGTACCAGGACTGGTGTAAGTAAGCAGGTTGCTGGTTGCTACTACTGTACACAACGGCCCGGCCAAGACCACCCAAGGCGACGAGCGAGGGCTACGTGGCGTCGCGTCGAGTCGAGTCGTGCGCACTTGCGCGCTTCTGGGATCGTGGTGCAGTGGACGGGTCGTGTCCTGCCCGTGGGCAGACCGGTACTCCGTGTGCGAGCGTGAGATGCGTGTGCGGATGCGGACGGGATGCGTAAATTTGCTCAAACTGCACCCAATAATGCCGAGTCGTGAGAGAATCTCTCCGAGCGTCGTTTAACATGGAGAAATATGTGTCCGAGGCGGCTGGCGATCAGCCCTAACGATCCCACCCCCCTGCACGTGCGCCCTGCCGCCCTTTTCTCTGCTGCAAGGCACAGGGACGACTCGACACACGGGCTCGGAGCCGACTATGAGGCCAGAGCCTCTTCCGCGGGGTCCGTGCTCGTAATCATACTAGTAGCTCGACCGGCATTAGCAGTACTGTGTAGCAGGGAGTTTGTTTTTCTTAGGGGGACTTCCCTACGCGGGCAAGTGCGATTCGTCTCTGAACCATCACTGGTCCAGTGCCGTTTCAGCTGAAGTTCTCGATCGGCTTTGAGGCTTTCTCGAATCTGAATTCGAATTACGGCGCCGGCACAGGAGCTACGGTAGCTAACCCAGAAAAGGAGACACGCCACGGTACGATACCGATGGGATAAGCTGGCTGGGGCCGACAATTAACTAGGGGGGATTCTCTACCACGTATGGCCATACTGTGTAAGTAGTCCACGTACGCTTGTCTCATCATCGCTGGGGACGAATGGGCGAAACTGCTCGAACTGCCTCTTTCCAGATCGCCGGGGCGTGGGGGCCAACGTTGGATTGCAGTCACAACTTTGCAGTCACCACTCATGATGGACTTTGGTGGGCTCATGCTGCTTCAGGGTGGAGTCGGTGGAGCATGTACTGTATAAGCCGCCGCCGCCTTCGGGACGCGGAAGCTTTCATAAGCAGAAACGGCCGTGGCGCGTTGGGTTCGCGGGTCTGGATCTAAGCCGGACGCGTCCTGGGGCGCGGCATAAAGCCGGGGTCTGTTGCCCAAGCTCACAAGCAGTGGCCATGATCAAAAGAGGGCCCCGTTTGAGTGGCTGGACGGGTCGGAGCTGGTGGGTCCTTGAAGCGATCCACCTCACACGGGACATATCCTTGTCGACTCCAATTTTGGGGAGGGGGACGTCGAGGTGCGAGGGTGCTTGACCGAGCTCGACCGTGTCGAGACAGTTTGGTTCCCGTTGGGCTGCAATAATTCATGGCAATCGTCGACGATCTCCTCATGGCGGCTATGCCATTGTGGGGGATGGCATTTAGTGTATTATGCATGAACCACAAATGTGGACGGATAGAGACGGTTGTCGCGCTCGCGGCATGCGACAGGCACATTTTATCGCTCAACGTCGGGGGTCAAACAGCCCTATGCGGAGTCACCGACCAGGGACACTGGACAGTACTGAGTACTGCTCATTCCTCAGTCTAGTATTTGTCACCTGCCTACGAGTACACAGTACTCACGGCACCTCTCGTGGTTCTCATAGTGTCCAGATGGAGATTCTGACTAAGCCAGTCAGCACGACGGGCGTTGAGGCGGCCTTGTCCTACGTGCCATTGGAGGGAGGCAATAGCCGGCGATAAAACAATCTGCATTCCTCCGAAATCTGGAAGAGCACAAACACCGCGATAGGACGGGTGATTTTTCGTCAGCCTGAAGACCTCATCTGACCAGTACCTCCTACAGACTCGAAGGCTTGCGGAATGCCTTCCACGTTCGATCTCGGCCGCTGATTAATACCCACCACGAACACAGTGCAACGTTTCTCTGTCGTGCACAACCGGTGTGGCAGGATAGTGCATGAAAGGGCGGCTGTTGAGCGTAACTGACAATTCAATCCTATCGTTTTCCGTTCCCCATTTCTTCCATATCCCGCAGCTGTTAAAATCAGACACCAATGCTCGTGCTAAAGGATACTCCGTATTCGGCTGCGCAGAACACGGTATAGCATGAGGACGAAAGCGGGGATACTGTAGGCTGACGTTACATTATAGCCGCTGGTGTCGTCTTGGTCCGGCAGCCAAGCAACAAACGACTCGTGCATACGGGTTGCGGGGACTACCAGTATCGACACGGCGACAGCGAAGGCGACGGATTTCTCCATCTTTGCCAGGTCCCGAGTCGTGATCTGAAGCATTCTTCGGTGATTGACTCTGTGCTGTACCCACGGAACATGGCCCACGATCAACAATCATGTCATGTTTTCACCACGAGGGGCGGCGGTGACAGGAATGCGGGTCGTACATAAGCTCAAGGCTGACTTGGACCTCGCAAGCTGGGCAGCTCCTCATCCACATCCACATGCCATCCACATCCATGGCGCAGGCTAACCACCTACAGCACTGGGTAGGTGGGTGATGATCCGAGACAGGTTTCGCCGCCCTGCGTCGTCGACTCGTGGCTCAGGAGTGTGCGTCCTAAGATCGCGAAGATACTCCGTACTTACCATGAATTACCTTACTCCGTAATTATTCTACCTACGGAGTACTTACCTGCTCATGCTGAACATGAAGTATATACTCCTGTAAGCATCTACTGAGAACACGCCCCATACCCGGTAAGGGTATATAGTACCTGCCTACTGTATCTTGCCGGCTGGCTGTGCGATGGGAGGCTCCTCCTGCATGCAGTACACAGTACCTAGGTAGTTAGGGCTGCCACGCCACCCGGGCTTCGAAATCCGCCGCCAATGAGAGGACACGCGCACGCAGCCTGCCCTTTCATTTCAGGCTCAAGTTGAGTCCGAGTCCAAGTCCATGTCGATGATCGCAGATGGGCGAACGAAGCAAACAAGACTACATACTGTGTGCAGTACTCGTCCTCCGTCCACAGCACTAGCTAGTAGATACACAGAGGTATGAGTACTCACAGCACGTAGAAATCTTCCAAGTTGCCACGGCGAAAATATACGAGTACGTACCGTCTGTGTGAGTGTGTACGCCAGTGCTCCAACTTCGGGCAGCGGTTGCGAACGCCGCTGCCGAAACCGAAACCGAAGCTGAGATTCTCGCCACCTGCTGACCCGTCCAACTCCACGATTCGGCGAGGTCCACACGTACGAGTACTCCCTTCTGTACGGCGTACTCGTAGAGCTACTGTAGGTATCTCTCAACCTACAGTGTATTTCTCACGGCGCTGCTTCAAACTACCACCTACTCACACCACTCGTGAGCTCACCACACCTGAAATCCCCACCGGTTCTAATGGCTCGCGTCACGCTGGAGCCATTGCACATTCCTACGGAAGCCGGCGTTGAATCTCACTTACCACACCGGAGGTGATCGTCGTTGCTTGCTGGGCCGAGAAAGGGGACGGACACTCTGCGCTGTGGCAGTTCGAGCATGAAAGCCGGAAACGAACGCATCTTTTGGCTCCCCGAGTCCAGCGCCCATCCTATTTTCTCCCATCCCGTCACATTCTACGTTGGCTGGTGCCCGATTGATTACAGTCCATGTGCTCCTGAAAGCAGCGATTGCCGCCACCACGACGGTACTGTAACCACTGCGCAGGTTCTTGCTTAGGTCAACCCACCGACCGACTAAGCGATCAAGCGCCATGCAGGGTGTTGTTCAGGGGAAATACTCCGTACCCGGCCGCCAGCTCGCCGGTGAGATTTCGTTCCTCGTTCCATTTAGCTCAAATTCCACCCCGATACGTCCTGTGCTGTGTACAACAGATGTCTCGATGAACCGGAAGCGCCACGGCGGCGGCGGCGGTGGCATGCGACGAGGACAAGAGTCAGACACCACACTACGTATAAATACCCATGTACTGCTGTACACAGTACATCAACGTTCACCCTGGCTGGGATAAACGGAATTTTCGACGCTCGCGTGGCCGGCTAGCCCGCTTGCCCCTGCTTAGGTCACTGATACCCACCCCGGGGATGTACCCGCCCATTTGAGGATGCTCTCTCACGAATCTGCCTGCCGGAAAGAAGAGCCTCGCCTCTTTGCCGAACGTGCTGACACGAGCCGGACCGCTTCCTGGTGCATGTGCATGTGCATGCCTGAGTCCACCACCAATTTGGGCATTGGTCGACATCCAGGATTCGCTGGGCTGGTGACGGTAAAGGACTGTCTGGGTAAGAAGTACGCAGCACGAGTATTTCGTCCAATTACAGTAGGTACACGATTCTTTTTCGACGTCCTGGCCACAATGTGTAGCGTGCAGCACTTGGCTCGTCTTGATTGCCCTATCCTGGCAAGCGGGCGCGGGTCCAAGATCCTACATCCAGGTACTACACCTACAGCAGTGCGCCTCGTTTACCGCGTGCAGGTGCTGTTTTGGATCGCTTGGGTCTCGGATGGCCCCTGGTTTTGTAGTGCGCAGACTACAGCGTAACCTGTAGGTGGACGTCGTTTCACAACTCATAACGACAGCCATGTCAGAAGTACCCTTGTTTTGGCAATAAGGCCCCCGCCAGAGTATGACGGGGTCGTCAGAGCGGTGATGGCTGGAAACGGCGAACAAGACCCCTCAGACTGAGCAACCCAAAAGGATTCGACCAAGGCGTGTGGCCAAGATGTCGAGTTGTCGAGACAGGCCTTCTCACCAGAAGGGCAGGCGGTCGCCGACGAAGCAGAGCCACGTAGGCGGTTCTGCAGGTGTGCCCGCGCATCGCCCTTCTCTGTCGCTCGCGAGCAATATCATTTACTGTATATGTACTGTGTACCTAGGGAGGTACTCTGTATGTATCAATGTACAGGTTGGACAATTACCTAGCGGCTGCCTCTTCTAGGCAAATCGCCGCCCTTGGCCCGGGCTATGGAAGCTACAACTTCGCCTTTCCATCCGAGGTCTCGACGAGCTTCTGGACCAGCCCAAACGCCCACTCGGCGTAGAGGGGCATTTGCGAGGCGTAGTTCTTGGCCGTCACGCCGCTGGCTTGCCGCCGGGCGTATCTGGCCGCAATGCCCTGCATGATAATGGCACCTCTAAATCCTCCAAACGCGTTGCCCCAGGCCAGTTCGAGCTCCGGGTTGTATCCAGACGCCTCAGCATACCACTGTACAGCCTGTTTCAGAGTCGGCAGGCCCGGAGTGACGCCGTCGCGAAACGCCTCCGTGTCATTCTTCGCGCCCCCAATGTCCCGGCCCACCCACGACCACGGGGCCGTCAGATTGACCAGATCGGAAAGCGGATGGCCAATCGTGGCCATCTCCCAGTCCAGGATGCCAATGACGCGAGGTTCCGTCTTATGGAAGACCAAATTGTCGATCTTGTAATCGCCGTGGATAAGCGTGACGCGGTCCTTTGGCTGCGTGGACTTCTGCCGGAAAAACCTCACCATCTCGTCGAAATGCGGGATCTCGCCGACGGCCTGCTTCGTGTCGACGTCCACGGCTTCGGCTTGTGCCTTTTGCAGCGTCGAAAACGTCTTCAGTTGGCGGTCGTAAAAGCCGCCGTGCCGGCCGAAATCCGACAGCCCGACCTTTCGGATGTCTACCCGGTGGAATTTGGCCAGCGTTCGTAGCGCGTCGTGCCACCTGCGTCGCTTTTTAGCATTCATTTCCACTGTGCGGCCCGGCATCGCCATGCCATGCCATCACCTACGCTTCTGTCCTGTCCTCAGGGCTCCAGCCCGGGAAATGATTCTCCGTCACCATGCGCCCGTCCAGAAATTCCATAATGTAGAAAGGCGTGCCGATGACGTCGTTGTCCTCGCACAGGCAGTATACCTTTGGCACAGGGACATCCGTCTGGCCAAGCGCGTGTATGATCTGGTATTCGCGGTCGACTCGGTGAGCTGTCTTCGAAAGCAGCGAGCCTGGCGGCTTCTTCCTCATCACATATTTGACACCCTGCGCGTCGGTGATCTGGTACGTAGGATTCGACTGGCCGAAGCCGAACTGTGATCGCCACGTCAGCAACAAGTCAACAGCGATGGCACGCGATCGTACGTACCTGCTTCAAGCCGAGGGGAGTCTTGATCGTGGGGACATTGGTGTCGATGTAGCGCTCGAGGGAGGCCAGGTCGATGGGCTGTCGAACCTCGCCCGCCATGGCTGTCCTCCTGCTGTAGTGACCGACAAGGGGGCTGGTACAGATCACACGCCGACAGCGCACGAAGGACGTTTCTTGCTCCTTTTCTTTCTCATCCAGCCATGGCCGTAAGAATCAGCGCGGGTCTGCCTCGGGGAAGGACTTCCCCCAAGCAAAAGCATCCCACAGCCGATGTCTTGGGCCTCGGCTCAGCAGCGACCGAAACCGGAAAATTGCGGCTGATGCTTAGCACGTGATGTTTGAATCACGTGCATACATGTCGGCAAAGGTCACCATGTAGGAGCCAGTGGCTGTTACCAGGCACGCCAGGACCTCCATCTGGCTGTTCTCCGGCACCGACAGTGATGAATGACAACGGCAATATAGATTGTCACCGCTGTCCGCACTTGTCGCTGTCACAAAATCCAACAGAGTACCAATACAGAGAACTACGAGTATGGAAGCGCCTAAAGGGCCCGATGGATAGGTTAGATCTACCTACTGTGTGCAAAGTAATATCCGTCCGTCCACCTATCCATGGGTCAGTCAGTCAACCAAGCAGGACAGGTCAACAATCCCTACCCGTGTTATTACCCATATTCAATCCCCGTCAACGACCCCGGTACCATAGGGTGCTCATCGCTTGTCTCTGTACTTCCGTCGTGTCAACTCATCGCCTGTCCACCGTTCGAGGGAGATTGCGACCCTCGGCGGATCGCGAAACGAGCCCCTTGCATAGGTCTTGGCAAGGCATTGCTGCAAGGCCTTCGTACGCCTGGCTGGCATTCATCCGGAAGTCAGAACATACCTGCACAGATACCTGTTCAGCCTTCCTGTCCTGTGCCTAGCTCCGACTGGTGAACTTGGTCGTAGCCTTTTGACTTGGGATCGTTCCCATGCCGCCGCTAGGTTCCTCGCGGCTTCCGAGATAATGCTGTAACCTTGGTCGCGGTGTCGGTTGCCGAGGATAATGTGGGAGGAGGTCAATGGAGTCGTGAGTGATGTCCCGGTCCGCAGAACCTCTAAGGTTTGTTCTTGAATACGCTTCTGTCGGGATCCTTGCAGGTAGTCAGACTCACTGTTGTGCGGTGTATCCTGCTGCGCAGCACTGCGTCTTATGTGTGCTCGCTTTGTGCACTCTGCGGCTTGTATGCAGCTGACCCAACGGCTGGAGCTTACATACCCTATTGATACCACAGCGGCCCAGGGCATGCATCGCGCAGCTCCCAAATACCACCCATTCCAGCGTCGCGTCTGCCCGAGGGCCGATGGAATGGTCCGCTGGAGTCGCTTTCGACCCCCAGACGTACCGAGAGTAGATTTCGAGAAGCGAAGAACGATGCGGCACATATGCTTGATTGCCGGCGTCCAGAAATCGTCGTTCACCAAGTATGTGTTTGTGTCCGGAATTCAAATCTCCTTTTCGGACCGATGGCCTCGCCGGTCAACGCTGGTTTATTGTCGTCCGGCTGCTCTTGAGGCTCTCGGGCAGCTCGGAATTGTTCCAGATCAGCCTCGATCATGCTCACCAATGGATGCGCCTTCGACAGCCTCTTTTCAGCTCTCTGGAACGCAATCTGGCATGTCTCAATAGCTTCATCAAGCTTGTCCTGACGCTGGTAGAGGATCGACAGTTTCCATCGTGCGTAAAAGCTGTCAGGATGTTCGGGGCCTCGCGTCTCCTCGAGTCGAGCAAGCGTGTGTGAAAGAAGATTGAAAGCCTCGCCAAGACGGCCTTGCCGAGAATACACACGGGCGAGCTCCCCTTTTCCCATGAGGACTCCCAAGTGATCTTCAGGCAAACTTCGCTTTGCTGCTTCAATTCCACCAATCAGCAATTGCTCTGCCCCGTCCAGGTGTCGGGTTTTGACCTTGATTCTGGCCAGGTAGCAGAGTGCCCACAGCGTCCACGGGTGTTCCTTGCCGAGCTGTGCCCTCCGTTCGTTGTATACCTCATCCATTAGAGCTTGAGCCTCTTCGAGTTCTTTCAGATTCATGAGCGCCATGGCCAAGTTGTTCTTGGATTCGAGGGTCTCCAAATGATTTGTTCCAAGCTTCTCCTCCCTCAGTTGGAGAACGTGCCTGTGGATGGAGGCGCTGTCACTAAACCTGTGCCACGATTGTAGGACCACACCGTACATGTCCATGGCTGACAGAGTTCGGCGATCATCAGAACCGAGGGTGAGCTCCATCTGCGTCTTCGTTTTCTCGGCTTGTTCCAGTGCTTCTCCATACTGACCATTTAGCCAGTAAGATCTCCCAAGTTCGTCCATAGCTAAAAGCGTCTCTTTGTTGCTGGGGCCCAAGATTCTTTCACGAGCATTGACCACATCCTTTCGCAGCCCAATGGCTTCATCTAGCTGACCTAGGCTCCAGTATATCTTTGCGAGCTCTAACTTGACAGTCATGGTCCGAGAGTTATCGGGCCCCAATGACCGACACAGCAGTCTTTTCACCTTTTGCAAGTACCGCAGGGACTCCTCGAACCTGCCACATTCACCATAGACATACGCGAGCTTCGCCATACTTGCTGCCTGCTCTTTGAGAATGTGGAGGTATGTTGGCGACAGGTACGACGAAAGGTAGAGCTGGGCCCTCGACAGCAATTCATCATAATCGGCGATGTCAATCGTGCACAAAGGTAAGCAAGAATCGAGATGCGGTAGCAGACTTCGGTGGAAGTTGTCGTGATTGTGCTTCTCATCCGCATGCTCGTTGGCCAGGGTGTTTTCACCACCGGTAGGGAGCTTTATTGTCTCTGCAAGCACATTGAACGCAATCCGTGCCCACACCTTTTGGTCTCCCTGCCCGAGCCGATCCCGAGCCCAGGCATGCACCAGTGGGTGCAGCGAGAATTCAGCGGTAGTGCTGTCCATGTTGATGAGGGACAGAGAGGCCAACTCAGAGATGCCCTCTCGTGCTCTGTGGACCTCCTTCTCTGGTGATGCTGACCTCAAAAAGCCGGGGACTACTGGTGGTGGATGAAAGCGGTCTAGAAAGGATTGCAGCATTCTCATGACGATAGAAGTGCTGCCTTGAGGAGGAGGGTGCCTATTCTGCGCTGCTTTCGCAAAGATGTCGAGACTGATATGCTGGCGGTGGTAGAAGGCAGCCATGTTAAGAATCTCAATAGCATCTCGGCAAGTTTGCGAACCTTGCTTCCTGAGATGGGCAAGGGAGACTTCGAATGCAGGATACACGATCCCTTTTTCCTTTTCGTCGCGAACCATCACTTCCATACCATGGCTTCCATGGTGAGATGAATGGTAGGTACTGCGTTTCGAGTTGTAGAATTCGAGATACCTCTGAAGCTGAGAGCCGTAAAAGTTTTTCTGAATGGATCTGCCGGCAACTACCAACGCCAAAGCGAGGTAACCCAGAACCTCGCATAATTCATTCCCAAGGTTCAGTGTTGCTTGATCCCAGGGCTTAGATATTCCGGCACATGTTAGCAGAAGCCGTAGGGATTCGTTTGGCTTGAGACCTTTGACCTCCAGGGATCCGGCTTTTGGAATTTGACACAGAGCGAGGTTTCTCGTAGTGATGATGACACAAGCGTACTGGTTCATGGGAATCAGATCCCAGGGTTTGAACTGCGGATCGTCGGCATTATCAACAATGAGCAAAAATGGTTCACAAAGTTGTTCGAGTATGTGTAGTCCTGCCTTCTCGGTGGCATCGAGGCCCCATTTTTCTCCAAGTTCAGCCAACGAAGCTTCGATATGTTCAGCGGAAGTTGCATCAACAGTCGCAACAACGTTGAACCTGTAACATATATCAGCTCCAGGTGGTCGTGAGAATCGCGGGCATACTTACTGTGATTTATGGTGTCGTGCAAACCAAGAGCACAGCTCACTCTTACCAGAGCCTCCCATGCCATATACCACAAATATCTTCGCTGTATCGTCCGGTTGGTGGCAGTCTGAGTTGAAGAAGGCGTTTTCAAGAATGTTCCTCTCCTGCTCCCGGCCGATAAACTCGGGAGGATCCAAATGATGGTGCTTTGGGAGCAGGAAAATCCGCCTGGGAGGCATTTCCCGCAATCTGGAAATGTGATTCGCCAGGATCTTGTCCATCTGCGGACCATCTCCCAGAGGGATCCCGTCTCGCCACTCGTCTCGTAGAGTTACTTGGCTCTTCGCCCAACGTTTTTCTACGCGAGCGCGAGCCTCTTGGCAAAAGCGTCGAAGACCATTTCTGACGACAGGGTATCCTGCAGAATCAAGGGCTGTGAACTTGACCATGTTTACATGGTCGGTAGGAATGCCGCATCCACTACCTTCGGTCCCATAAGGGACGGCGGAGGAGTAGCCAACATGAGTCTCAATCTCCTCCCAGAAGAACAGTTGTCTGAACGACGAGCCAACTCGCACAAAACTCTCGTTGATGATCTGTAGTGCGGAGATATGTCTGTGGTGCTTTTCTCTTGGAAGATTCGCGATATTTCGTGATTGAAACCAGACAGCTGGCTTGATGTCGGTGTGGGGGGTGCCAAAGAAAAGGATTGCTGTCGTGCAAACGAAGATACTGTGATCGCGATGGGCAGGATATTTCGTTTTTTCCTTGGAGTACATCAATGCCTTCTTTACAACGAGGCCACCCAAGCCGTGGCAGATAAATATGATCGGCCGTCGTTCGCACTGGGCATCTTCACGATTAGCCCGAAGATAGCTGACCAGATTTATTGCGGTGCTTGTTACGGGGTCTGCCCGAGGCTGTGCGAAAAAAGATAGTGGGCAGCCATCATAACCAAAAGTCAAGACACGGGCTACAAGGGCATCTTGTGGCAACAGGTCCTTGAGCCAGAGCACTCCGGTGCGGCTGTCCGTCCACGCCTCATAGAGATCTTCGTTGAGGTCATGTACGGCAACGATGCTTTCAGTGTCAGCTTTATTCGGCAGTTACGGGCCGGCCATAGAGTAGAGAACTTACTCAACGCCCTCGTTGGCGGAGTTGCGAGGCTGCAAGACGTCTACGGCTGGAGTGTTGCCGACAATGGGAGGATAAAGCAATTGCAATTCAGAGCGCATAGTCTGGCGTGCTCAGTCTCAGCATGGCCCCAGAGACAAGAGATCGGGATGATCCTTCCAGTTACGGTCCCAGGACCGAATGCTGGGCGCATTGATATCCCCATTCGCCATGGTGACGAGGACTGTGAGGAGCCGGCCCCGGAGAGGCTGCGTCGAGATTGGAAGCCGTGATCGATATGGTGGAAATTGAATTTGTCGTGGTCCAGGAGCAGGTCGAAACGGGTCGGCGCAGTGGTTTCCCATTAATGCCCCAAATCAGGCTCCGTACCTGCCTATTCCGTCTAGCCGAGCCGACATGTCGCCTGGAGAGAGCAGCTGCCGCCTGAAAACGGCCCCTTGACGAACCCGGGGCGCTTATCTGAACCGCCTCACCTCCCCGTCATTTTCAAGTCATTTGTGTCCAGTCAACCAGGCACAATGCATCCGCTGGGCGCGTATCGAAAAGTCTCAAAGACCAGGCGTTTCTCGATATTTTCTCGTCAATAGTGTAAGAATGTAGAGAGTCCGCTCTCACAGACGTCGCAAAGGCGCGGACGGAATCCAGCTTCATTGAATTCCAAGAATGGGCCGCGACTTCTTGCTACAGGAAACCGGCTTAGATTGTCGGCGTGGACGGAGCTGGTCCTCCTCCTTTGCACCTTGTCGTGGCGTTTATAGTCCTTTGTGGTGGCATTTCTGAGATACAAGGCAGGTATGATATCCGGGAGCTTGTGTCATTGAAGGATCCTGATCCGTGTAAAGCAAGACACTGCTTTCGCGAGGCGGCACAACTGTTTGCCTCCCCCAGGACTGCCATACAGATGGCTGCTCGGTGTCGATGGAATACGTGACTTCTGGGTCTCACAATGCGTGAGGCCGCCTTTGCCCACTTCTATGCTCAATCGCCCAGGACTACAAGCATGGGAATATGCTCTCCAAAATTTTCTCATCGGCCCACGGGCTTTCCACATTCCCGACGCCCGCAAGCTATATTCTGTTCCATCGAGCAAGTTCGGTGGTAAGGACATCCCGATTCTTGACGTGGATCTGGAGACCTTCGGTCTAGCCAGGGTAACCTATGGATTTGGCGTGCGTCAACAGATTTTTGCTCCTCTTCTGGGCCATGGCATGTTCACCGGGGACGGTGCTGCCTGGAAGCATTCTCGAGAGCTCCTCAGAAAGCAGTTCGGCCGCGCTCAATACCGAAGGCTCAATCATTGCCAGGAGCATGTCGACAACTTGCTAGCAAGCATTCCGCAGTCAGGTGTGGTTGAGCGACAGCCGTTGTTCTCTAGCCTTCCGCTCGATAGAACAAGGTCCGGGTAATGGGACGTTCGGTCTACAGCCTCAGAGCAGGAATTGATCAGGATTCGGAGACAAGCTCTTCCCTCAGAAGCTTGCCGTGGCTCAAAAGGGGCTTCGCGAAACGATATTGCTCCGCTCCGTGGCACTTCCTGTACAAACCGCCAGGTTCCGACAGGCATATGAGATTGTCCAACGCTATTTCGAGCGATGTATCGAATAGAGGGATTCAACAGACAGGAAACCTAGCCAGGATGGTGGCTTGCATGCATTTATCAAGCGGGTCGCGCCGGCGTCCCGCAGCACCACCGAGCTTCGTGGCCCAATTCATAAGTCCTGCTGGCAGGGCACGACACAACCGCGTGTTGTCTGTCGTGGACTTTGTGAGTGCCGACCTGTTTTTGCTTGTGACGGCCATCGAGTGTATCCCGCTTTGTAATAGCTGGTTGCCGGGCGTGCTGGCGGGCCATTAGCAAGCTCTGTCCAGGCTTCGGCAGGAAATTGCTGCAGTAATGACAGTCTGAAAACTTCACCCGAGAATCGGTCAGTAAAATGCCATTCTTGTCTTGAGTGATTAGGAAGAGCATATCGCATCCATTCCCTCTCCTTGATTCGCAAACTAACTCAGAAAATTCCAGGTCTTCGACTGTATCCCCATGTTCTGTGAAATCAACGTCAGGGCAACAAAACCACCTTGTTACCAAGGGGGGGCGGACCTGATGTGTGACACCTAATTCTCGCCAGGGAGCGAAATGGTCGTCTTCGCCCAATACGCAACTTCTCGCGTCATGAGCATATATGGGGCCGACGCGAACCAGTTCCGACGCGAAAGATGGCAAGGCAACGAACTGGCAAAGATTGGCTGGTCGGATTCCCCTTTCAACGGTGGACCGAGACAGTGCCTGGAGACGATTTAGCGCTGATGGAAGTCTCATACACGACCGTAAGGCTGCTGCAGGCCATTCAAGCATCACCCTTAGGAAGAGGCCCTAGACGAAACAACAGGTACTGCGAGACAGAGGCTGACGTTGGTCCTGTCGTGTACTGATGGCTGCGGAGTGAAAATTGCCAGGTCACAGGCTACTAGCATCCTTTCAGCGAATGCCATAGCCTGGTCAAAATACATCTATGAGAGAGTGTTGTGACATCTGCGAAACATGGCGCTCGCAAGTGCTCACGTGAAAGACTTAACGACCGACCTTGCCGGAAACAAGTGGCTGCTGTTGACCATGACGGATGAGTCGTGGGTGAACTCTCACCCATGCTCCCAGGTGAGCACAGAGGGATGCCCGTACGTACTAAGAAGAAAGTTGCACAGGTACGGCGTACAGTGGAGAGTGTAGCTGTAGTCGAGGCGAATGCCACGCATCAATGCAGAGATATTCGGCTTGATTAGCGAGTGAAGATCAAGGCAGGAGAAAGCAAGGTCGGACAGAGTACTCTGTATGTAACAAGGTGCAGGAGCAATTGGACACATTGAGATGAGATCGGTCTGTTAGGAACGATGTTTGGTACCAAACACGACAAACTGAACAAAGGGACCAAAAGTTGACTCACATGGTCTTGATGAGACGTGCTTGGCGGGGATTCAAGCTCCGAGGCTCCCCACATTCAGCCGCAACGCAGCTCTGCCCCGCATAAACACCCTTGTCCTTGTCCTTTCCGTCCCTGGCTGCCCTGTCCATCACGGGCGGTCACGTCCTTGTGTCCCGGTGCCAAGCGACATGACGGCGGGAAATGCAATGCCGACCGTGGGAAGTGGCCCAAATGACCCAGATAAAGCTGACTTGGCGGATGGAGGAGCTCCATCAACGCGTATGCATGTCTTCCTTTCTATTCAGTGCCTGAGTTCACTGATCAACTCCAGGCAGACAACGCCATCTTGCCAACGATATAGGCTTAGACACAGAGTCGTCCCGGCAGCCGATGATCTCCAAAGGACCTCCAGACAGTAAGTTGCGCTATCAATCACGAAGACAAGCAGTCGAGCTTATTGGACATCCGGAGCACCATTACTTCGTCGTTGGAGCCATCGATTGCAACAGTTACGAGAAACAACCACTAAGCTTTCCAAAGGAAGAGACAATCAGACAGAGAGACTCTCTCTTCCTCATGCTACGCCAGACAAGGCAAAAGTCGCATCAAAGCTGGTGGCCAAGGAAGCAAGAGTGACGAAAACCCGTTGGCACCCCCTTCTCTCGAGCCGTGAGACTGCAGTGCTGATCGGAGCAGACCACAATTCCCGAAAGATTAGGAAAACCGATATATCGAGGCGGACCCCCAAACAATCGAAAGGACGTGAGCAGATTGCTTCCAGCATGCTGACGGAGCAGCGGAAGCTCATTGAGCAGTGGTTGGACGAGACATGCCGATCTCAGCCAGCTTCACCTGACATAGCCTCACCCAATTCAGACGTCACAACTAGCACGCCTCAGCACATGGAACTCTCATCTGAGTGATGGCCTCAAACGGCCTTGAACCAGATGCGGGACGACGGACGCTCCGTGAGTGAATACGACTCGGAGAACGTCTGTGAGCAGCTAGCACGACTTGGAACCGATGGAGAGGATGCTTGCGCAACAGCTTTCCAAATATGCCTTTCATGGAACGTCTGTAAGCAAGGGCGAGATGTGCTGAAGGTGTGCTTCTCTTTCCATCACGTTTAGACAAACAACCCATGGTGACATATCTAAAGAGTCATTCAAACAGTGCACCGCAGGACGGAAACTCGACTTCTCCTCTCAACGACTTTCTGCTGCGACAACTACGCTCTTCCATGACAGCTACCGCTAAACCTACTCCGTCAAAGGCCGTTCAAGACCCTCCCGCGCCTCCCAAGCCAAGTGGATAGTACGCCTATCGAGATGGGGGTATCTACTCGAGTAAAAAGCGAGGTGGAAACGGAGGTGCAAAGAGGACGAGGCTGTGTCGGCCTATCCGCATCTGCTAGGAACCCTAATATTCGTCGATCGAGTAACAGGAACTCCATTCGCAGGTTCCCGACCTTGTCAACGCCTTTAAGGCCCGGCACAACGCCAAAGGCAAGCGATGACCGCCAGGACATGAAAGCGTTTCATGATTCAGGCTCCCGCATCAACAACATCAACAACCGGTGTGAAGCGACGGCGACACACCAGCGCACGTGAGGGTTATATCCTCTCGGGGCTTTCTCACATATTTCACTTTCCATCACTTACAGCTCAGTTTGCCCTTGGCGCCTATTCACAGCATCTATTGAGAGGGTTTTGTGAAGAAGTTGTTACATTCACGGGGTGCGGCAGACTGTTCCGACGACTCTATGACAGCGACCACACCATGGACATCGCCTGCTTATTGTCACTACGGCATTCTCAACAACCACCATCCACCATGTGACGCTTCCGGATGCTATTCGGTGCTCGGTGCATGCCATCCTCATTCGTGGCATATCCAAAGCGAGGAGGAGTGAAAATCTCCAGCATAGAAAATGGCATGTCCACCGAGTTCGTTGCTATCCTGCAAGCGAACGTCGAGAAGATAATGGCGTCAGGGTATTCCTGACGGGTCTCAGGGCACATGATGAAGCCAAGATCTTCGTGCTTGTCAAGAAGGCTGCTACAGTATCCTGTGATCCTAACGGCTGTGGATGTGCGTGCTGAGCCTTGACCTAGACTGGAAATACACGACTACGCAAAGCGAAACGGTGGGTACGTGTCGAGAGAATGGCATCCGCATCAGAAAGCCGCAAACCTGTCAGTGGGGACAGCTACAGTCAGTCGGGCCTCAGAGCTTGGACTGGTCGCCGCATCTCAGAGGAGCAATGAGAGCTCAAGCGATTTCATATCGCGTCTACTCGCCTGGTGTAGGTAATGAGATCAGCACACATCCGCTTTGCAGTCTTCTCAATTCGGTCCTCCAGACATGATATAGATTCTCTCAACACGTTGTATGAGCTGCACTGGAGCAACAACTTCGAATCCGACATATCGATGTCCTCCCCCAGCTGGGTTGCCAGCCAGTCTTCTACTTCTATTCGAGGATTTGTGCCCCAACGTACCACTATAACCAGTCCGCCGTATCTCGTACTCGAAGCGCAAAACACGTAACGCGCCCGACACGTTTCCCGTACGCGTTCATCCCACTCAAACACCCGCATCCATCATTTGATTTATCTCCTGTCTGTGCCTTCGACGAAATCAAGAACATGACCCGACCATCCACTCCCCCTCCACCAACAGCATCAGCAGCAACGAACAACCAGGACGGAACACACCACCTCCCACCCTCTCTCCCCAATTCCCCTCTACCCAAACGTCTAAAATCCGACACTGTGCCACCTGTCAAAATGTCCACGTCCACCTCGACCTCCACACCCAACGAATCAACCTCATCTACGGTGCCCGTCCCCAAACTGACTTCAACATCCCACCCACCTCTCCTCATCAAGAAACTATCCCCCAACGCCACAACCCCGACCCGCGGCTCGGCCTTCGCAGCGGGTTACGACCTGTACGCCTCGAAACCAGCGACCATCCCCGCGCGGGGCAAGGCCCTCGTGTCGACGGACCTCTCGATCGCCACCCCGGAGGGCACGTACGGCCGCATAGCGCCCCGGTCTGGGTTGGCGGCGAAACACTTCATCGACACGGGCGCGGGGGTGATTGACGCGGACTACCGCGGCGAGGTTAAAGTGTTGCTTTTTAACCACGCGGACACGGATTTCGAGGTCAACAAGGGCGATCGCATTGCGCAGTTGGTGCTCGAGCGGATATACACGCCGGAGATTGTCGAGGTGGACAGTCTGGAGGAGAGTGTGCGTGGGGCGGGCGGGTTTGGGAGTACAGGTGTGGGGGCGGCTTAGGTTACGGTGTAGTGTATACGGCACGGAGTTTTACAGACGGATTCCGTTTATTGATCGCTGATGCGGAGCTCGGTTTGCAACAGCTTGCAAGATGCGGAAGCTTGCCTTCACGGATGGGATTATCAGAGCGGATTGATTATCATCGAGGCGTTGGCCCTGGCTGTTTGAAGGCTGGCCATGGGGTTGGAGTAGGGGCTGGGCTTGGGTATGGGCATGAATACGGGCACGAGTGGTCGTGCCGCAATATGGTACATTATTGTGGGATGGAGGAGCAACAGTCTCAGGCGGCAAGGGGAGTAGACAAAACCAAAGTTAGACCCGCCCGTATGTCGGCACTGTAGGTTCTTCTATACGGCATTTCCGTCGTAAGCCACGAGGGCTGTCCTTCGTAGAGACATCTTTTTCGGCCATCATCACCGCCGTTGGTGGGGATTCTTCTCGCTTTCACTCCAATCGCTCACCCATACTGTACTGCACCTCCGGCGTCGTTACTATCACACCTCGATGGCTTGAGCCTGGTATCTCGCCTCGGGATGCCTCAAATCCCTCGCGTTCCGCACGACTCTCACCTCCGCGGCCTTTGTCTCGGCCAAGAACCGCCTCTTGCCCTCGCCGACGGTCTCCCCTTCGCCCTCAACCCCACCCACGCTCGCCCCAGGACTCCTGCCGAACTTCTTCATCTCCTCGTCCCGCGCCGTCCACGTCTTCTCCAGCACCATCTGCATGCTGCTGAGCACCTTCCCCGTGGCCTTTGCCAGCGGTAGATCCACCGCCTCGACCTCGTCATCCGGCATCCACGACGGCCTGGCCAACAGGTTGGCCTCGGCGCACGCCTCGCGCAGCCTCGCGACCATGAGCGCCGCAAACATGTCGCCCGTGCCGCTGAAGTAGCAGTCCAGCATGGGGACGTCGATCTTGAACAGTCGTGCGCTGCCGTCTTGCTTCTTTGTGCTCCCGACGACGGTGAGTGTGTTTGAGCCGGCATCTGCTTCTGCGGCGGTGCCGACCCTCACGCTCGTGACCACGACATGCCTCGTCCCATGCACGGCGTGCAGCGTCCGCACCGCGTTCGCCACGCCACTCAGACTACTGATGCTCACGCCGCTGAGCAGCTCGGCCTCGAACTGGTTCGGGAGGATCAAGTCGGCTTCCCGGATCAAGGCGCGATACGCGGGCACGATATCCTCGGCGACGTACAGTCTGCCTTGGTCGCCCATGACGGGGTCGAGCACCCAGAAGAACCCGCCCGGGTGCACGGTCGAGCGGTAGCGCAGGTCCCGCGCAATGGTGCCGATGGCCTCGACGGCCTCGGCGGAGGGCGAATACCCTGAGAGAAGGACGTCGAAGTCCGTGAGGTACGATTGGCGGAGGCCGTCGTATAGTTCTTTGAGCTCGTTGGCGGGGGTGCGTCGGCCTGAGAATTGGCGGTAGCCCGTGTGGTTGCCTGGGTGAGAGTGTGCAAGTCAGGAATAGAGGCGACGCAACAAAGACCATGCATGGTGGAGTTGTGTAGGGTATGGCGTGACTCGTGCGCTCGAAAGTAAGGGGAGGGGTCAAGTCTCCCAAGACATGTCACCCCCCTCAATCGATATTGATACTGATACCAATGTGGACATTGACTTTGTCATCCCCATTGCACCGACGTTGATCATGACGACAAGGAACCGATCCGCAGACCTAGACTTACTAAATTGCACGGTGTTGATGGCCGCGACCTCGCATCCCAGCGCCTGCATGACGAACGTGGCCATCGTGTTGCCGACATATCTGTAGATGTTGCGACATATGTTAACGGATACGATTCCTGGCTATGTATGTAGCAAGGCTTGCACGTCGCATTCCCTCGGTCTGGAGAGAGTGCGCCGCTTCATGAAGCCCTGTCGCGTGATATGATACGTACCCGTAAACGACCTGGGAGGAAAGTCAGTCATCAGTCACTTGATTCAATCAATTACTCAGATCCAGGGAATGGTGATAGGAATGCAGAGTGGCAAAGGAAAGAAAATCGACGAGATACCCACATGGCTGGCGATGGATAAGACTTTGGTTTCCGGGATGGTGATCTCGGTGTCTGAGGTCGTCATCTCTTCGAGTTCCGGTGTTATCGTGTACGAGTAGACGCGCGATAGACAAAAAACCACGTGGATTAAACAATGATCGCAACACCACAAGAAACTGACTACCCGAGACAGAAGATCCGCGCCATACGCTTGCTGAAATACAGTCTATCTGGATGTGCAGACGTGGTGATGGTGTTCGTGGTGTAATAGTATCTCTTGCGTTTGTGCCGTTATCAGAGGCAAGTCGATATGACGCATCTGCTGCAGCGCGGATACTACAGCCTCGTCTGCGCGTCAGCACTCAAAACCCAGCGGAAGACAAGGCTGCACAACCCTGAATTAGCCGCTTTGTTGCTCTCTGGGCCCCGAAAAATCTTCGTGCCGTCTGATCGTGCAACCACGCTCGACCACCACGCATCGTTACAACCCGGGCACCAGTCCACCCGTATGCAGATACCTCGTACGTCGCATGTTCTCGTCCCCGGCTTCATTGATCGCTTCAATCCTGTTCGTCTCCTGCTTCTACAACTACTTCTTCTTCCGGCGAAGTAGAACAAACGTGCTATTCGTCACTTCTCGTAGAGCCATGTCATGTCCGCCACGTGTTCGGTGGTTCGTTCATCATTCATCGTCCCCAATCTGTAGACCCACAAAGTCAGCATTCGTGCTACGCACTGACGTCGTCACCAACAGTCCAAAACAGACGACGTACCTTTGGTGCGAGGTAGAATCTCAAATAGCTGCTCCCGGACAGTGTGTACTCGACCAGAAGAGGCACTTCCTGGGAAAGGCACAGCTTGACCTTGGAGGACAGCCCGCTTGCCTTGCAGAAGTTGACGAGGTATTTGAGCGAGAAGGTCAGCGATACGGGCTCGGAGAGGGCAATCTTGACATCCTGCTCCGGTTTCTCCATGTTGGTGCTCTGGCGGATGGTGACGCTCCCGCTGCCAATGTCGCCTTGACACGAGAACCGCACGCCATCCTTACTCGCCTCGATGGACACTAAAAAGCGTTAAGACCAGGGATTGCTCTTTGTCTCGACTGTACATACCCGACTCTGACATGGCGATGAGATCGCGGCAGATGCGCTGGAACTCGTTGCTGGGCATCTCGATCGTGGCCGCGTACTCTGTCTCCGGAATGCCCAGATGCTCTTGGTCAATGTCCATTAGTTTGATGTCGTACTCGCTGATGCGGTCGGCGTCGCTGCTCTCGAAGACGAGGTTGACCACGTCGGGCGCGTCTTCGGCCTTGAGCGTGAGTATGTCTTCGTTCTGCGCCGCGCGGAGGACCTTGGTCAGCGAGTTGAGGTTGATCCCAAGGGCGATGTTGCGGTCGCAGCGGAAGGGGGAGAACATCTCGGCTTTGAGCATCATGGAGACAAGGGCGACGTGCGAATTGTCCATGGCCTGTAGCGCCACGCCGGAGTCATTGCAGTCAAAGTTGCAGTCTTGCACAAGATCTTTGATCGCGTCGACGACCTGCCCACCGTAATGTTAGAGAGAGTGGCGTGCGGGAGAGGTTAAGACTGGGTGCATACCTTCTTCAGCTGCGCAGCCTGTTCCAAGCGTGCTTCCAACACTGTGGGAAACATCAGTTAGCTAGGCCCTGCATTGGAAGGTAAGTCATCATGCTCCTACTTTTTGCGATTGGACTTTGCTCCTCTCTTCTCGTGTCAAGTCCTGGAATTGCAGAGGCAAATTAAGTATGTTGGGTGATATTGAGATCGTGATGCCGCAGACACGGTTCTGTGCAGCCCAGAAACGCGAGGACTCTCACGCGCGTCAGGGTCTAAACTACTTCGGGTCTAATAGATCTTGCTTGGCATATTTGCACCGCGTGCGCGCATTCGGGGCTACGGTCGACCAAACCACAGATCGAGCGCAAGATGGGCACCCGATTGCGTCATCGGGCTGACATCCATAATCACATCATCAAGAGGCATTTGTTCGAGCTTGACCTGGACTCGCCTTCTCGGGATCGGGTTGTCCCTTGACGAATGGGAAGAACAAGGAGGCGATAGATTATGCTATGTACCTCGTACGGCCGATAGTTCAATGCTATGATTCAGAGTACCTCGTATGGTTGAGCCTGCGCCGCGCGACCGGAAGGACAAACTCTCGAGACTTTTCGAGATATTCATCTCGAAACGCATAACGTGCATCCAGCTCTTGTGCTCGCGCTCGCATTCGCCTCTGAGCGACTTTCCAGGCATGGCGGCGTGGCACAACCATGAAGTCAGAAACCGCATGCGACTCCCCACGCACGAAGTGGGACTAAACCGTCACGAGTACGGGTCGTCCGAATAGGTAGGCCTCCAGCAAGATAAGTCGCGAATAGTCGTTGGTCCCCCTCTGCACCATAGCCCGCTCCATGGGCTGAATGAGTATCTAAAGTACCTGTCACTTGTACGAATGTGTAGACAGCGACATGAGCCCCTGCATATCACGTGCCGGACACGGTCTCTTACGTCGCTCATGCCCTCCTTTCAGGCAACGACACACAGGATGACGCCGGATGGCGCCCAGCCTCGTGGACCAAGTCACGATCCTCCACTTTCTACCTAGCACTTAACTCGCCACTGCATCGCGCTCGGTTTCGGTCGCCACCACGAACCCTAGCCTATCCGGACGTCCACTACGGTTTGATTCACCCCGACTACTTCTGCTGTAGTTCAGTGAAGCACGTTAGTTCACAGCCAGCAGTTCAGCTCGGCGTCCCCGCCTCTTCTGGTTGCGCGGTTCGTCGCCACCTGGCATAACAGTGTACACAGGACGTGAACTGTGTGGCACGCATGAGGGGACGTATGCAGGCACATAATCCATACCCACGTCGAGCTAAGAGGCCCAGTCCGGTCAGATCAGCCAGTAGCTGACTCGGGTGGACTACAGCGGGGGCCTTGTGTTGAGGCGAGCGGAGTGAAGCTGCCTGTTGCGTGGCGACGGTATGCACGCCCACAGGTCTTGGATGTCGTCGCTAGCAGGCAGCTATTTTCGCGACGTGCTCGACATATGCCGTATACAGTAAGGTATCCGAGCTCTTACTACTGCGTTCAGAGATGAATACTACCCAGAACTGTCCGTTTGACGACCGCGAAGTTGTGGCCGTTTGATGGATGCCTTGGCGCTTCAGGGGGAAGCCGGACGCGAGGGAGAAAGTGTGGCAGCGTGGCTGACAGACATTGTTACAGCTGGTGGTTGGAGACACGGATGGAGATTGAGAAGCTGGATGCCTCGTTCAGTCTCTCGCAAGCTATACACATTGCAACATTCGTCCGTAGGAAAAAGCGGCCTCTATCTTCCACGCCAGAGGGTTGAGGAGCCATTGACCATTCGCCGCGCTGTCTAGTTTCAAGCGGTATGAACACCAAGGTGGAATGAGGATGAGATGAAATCTGACTCGATATGCGCCAGCGCTTTGGTTGCCTGCAACCGTCAAACGCTCGTGACGATTCGTAACATCGACGACGGTCGCCCTCGGCCGCGTTCGTGCTTTCAGTCCACCAGCCGGCCGTAGTCATCGAGATAGCTAAAGTCAATTAGTTCAGCATGGCAAGCCGAGGAATAGTGACGCTCGCACCTTTGTAGGTAGGGAGATAAGCGAAACCCGGGAATCTGTGATGCACGTCTTAGATATCTAATGGCTGTGTGGAAGTATTGCTCGTTCTGATGAGAGTACGAGACATTGCCAAGACTCATGTTCGCTTCGGCGGCCTGCAGTGATGATGAATCACCATTAGTCAGTCCTGTCATGAGAACGAAATGGGAAGTGTGGAGATGGCAAGGGCACGAAGCCCAAAGACGGAATATGTCCTGACCTCTGAAAGCAGCTCGCCTGCGAGCACTCCTCCCCGTTCGGCGACCTCGATGGCTCTGGAAAAGTAGTCCACCGCTGGGATCAGCATGCCACGCGCTTCTACATAGTCGGCAGTGTGTGCTCTTGCGTCAGCTTCCGTGGTCGCGCGCTCTGCGTCCCTCGCTTCCTCCGAGGACGAGTAGGCCAACCTGTCGCTCAGGCTCTGCGGTCGGCCACTGCTCCCACTAGAAGAACTGCCCTCCGTTCGGTGGATCCGAGCAAGGCCGTTCTGAGATCGGGCCAACCACGCCTGTCCAAGTCCTGGTATTGAGTAAGTAGCCATCAGAGGATTGGTACACAAGCTGTAGACTGACCCCTAAGCGCGGTAAGATCTTCAGCGTTCCTTTGCAATAATGATAGCCATTGATTCACACACCACTCCGCGAGATCGACCACGCCAGCAGTTTCGGCATCATGGTATGCGATTCTCTGCAACGTGGCAATGACGAACGTCCGGTCTGCCGTTCGGTTGGGCATTTGCATGAGGCCGGCTGAGTCAAATGTTGCGATGGCCGTCCGGGCGATATGAAGGCGTCGTTCCCAGGGTACGTGGGTAGAATCAGTGTCTCCGATCTGCCTAACCTCGCGGATGGCGTCCTCGATCCGAGATTCCTGATCCATGTTCAATCCATCCTGTCTGACCCCCTGATGTGACATCTTCCGACGCAAGGCAATGGTATCGTAATGTTGCCGACTGCGTCCGGTAATATCGTCGCTGACGTGTTTAGAGACTGCTCAAGAGGGAATTTTGAACCTGCCGCAACGATCGGCGGATAAAGTCGTCAACCTTTCGACTCAAGTCTGCATGGAACCGTGCGAGAACAGCTTGTTTCTCTCATACTCAAACCGGCGACCTAGCTACACCCGCATAGACCCCTATATAGGCACCAGGTCTCGCGAGCTCATGTGGCTATAGTCTTCGAAGGCAAAGTTCTTTGGTCGACCGCAGCGAAAGCGTATGATTGCAAACGAATCAAAGGGCCCCTTCCCCAATCTTAGATGGTACTTACATGTGCAGGGACGACCGTCGATACGCTCGAGCCACCGCCAGGCCATCGATGGTCTCTATAGGACCATGACGTCCAAACCTTACAATCGCGACCGCGCGTGGCAAAAGGCCCCGTTCAGCCCAAAGCCAGCGGCGACTCACGACTGGAGATGTATTCCAGCTACCACGGCTGACGCCGGACGAAAGAGTCCCTACCGAAGAGATTGCCAGGACGCGCCGAAAGGAGGCAAGTGATCCCTGTGACATAGGGGCTTGGACCGACCTGCAGCCACAATGCGACGCTCTTGGACCGTCCTGCCTAACGTCTGTGGCAAAGAAGAGTCCCTTTTAGGTTGGTGTAGAGGACGAGCGCTGGGACGAGAGAAGATTACAGTATCAGTTCTGAGTCCCTGAACGCCGCGAGCTGCGGGTCGGGGACATGCCATGGCACGGGCTCTTCGAAGTAGTCGCCGGATTCTGAGGTAATGGTCACCAAGCTGCAGTGCGATCGCGTCGAGAGAAGTTCCAGCCAGAGTACAGAAGCGTCGTACATATGAAGCCAGGACTGGGTGGGGGCCGGCTGATCGGATCGCAGAAGACACCACGGGTGGACCAGGCGACAGAGCCAGAGACGGCCATAAGGAGATTCGTGCATCGGAGCGCCCAGTATGAGGCCCTTTTACAAATGCGAATGCGGGTGCAAGAGCTCTGCCGGAAGCTGGCTTTGCAATGGAAAAGTGATGCGTGATGTCGAACGGATGAATCCATCTTACTAAACTTGGCCCCGGTGGAAGTAGGAACCGGCAAGACTTGCGGGCGCTGTGCCTCTCTCTGCCCACCAAGAGGCGGCGGGAACTGCGGTAAGCGGAGGAAACTGACGAGCACGTCGTCGGTAACTTCTTTACTTAGTTGTTACTGTTATGCGTGCTTAAAGCCCAGACCAACCACGGGATTCGAGGGCCTTATCGCGAGTCCATGGCTGCAAGTAGGCAGTAGCATTCTCACAGCTCTGAGGCTGTACAATGCATACATGCGCAACAGTGCCCCCAGCGAAGAGGATGTCGGCTAGAAACGCAGCAGAACACCATACATCAGGGTAGACGCGGTCGGTACCGGACAAAAGTCGACACCCGATTTACTTAGGTTCATCCGGAGCGCCGGCCGTGACGGCATGCCAGTCGCCCATCGAAGATGCCCCGCCCCAGTTTCTCTTCTAAGCGCTTCCAGTGAGAGCTTTCTCGGCCTTTAGACTCGCCCATGGCCATTACTAACAGCGCCCTTCTCAAGTCGTGGCTGCTTGGACGTTGCTTGGCATATTTGATTCGCAGCCAACTTGTGCCAGCAGCGCTATTATATATCACGCTATTATATATCAGACCTCTCTGCATTGGGCCAGCAGGAGCCCAGAGCATCAACCAGAGTTGACCATGACCAGCGGCCACCATTCCGTCATTGCTCGCTTCTTCTCTTCTAGCTGTGGTTTGCGCAAGATGTAGGGTGTGCAGACGCTCCAGGTCCTCGTCCGACTGGTCATGGCCGCAATGACCTCGACATCACCCGGGATCACCCCTGCGCCGGTTATCATTCACCATAAAGGCTCGAGTATGCGTGCAGTTGCCTAAAACAGAAAACAAAGGAAAGACCAGGTATGTCCTGTTGCCACAACAAATGCCCAAACTTTTGGGCATTAATGCTCCGACTCCATCCTGCCAGAAGGGTCATTCACAGAACTAGGCCACCTTGGAACGCCGTGCATGTGCTTCATGAAATTTTCGTCAATATCGAGGCGAGATGAGTCTTGATGCCACATTGGAATGGACCGGGACCTGGACCTAGTCCAACCGACGTGCAGCAATTACGACTCAGCCGTTGATCATATCGAGGTGATTCGTGTATCAGACCGGACAGGGGGACGATGTTTGATAACCATTTGCAGTTCTCGCAGCATGTTCGTTGTGTTTTCCGCCTGCTCATGCAAAGTCTTTCGCTTTCGCCGGTCCTCTTGCAGCTTGCTGAGCTTCTCCTCTCTACTCATTGGTGCCCAAGACATTCTTTTGCGTGGCAAGGCGACAGCCTCAAACACCTCCTCATCCGCACCTGTACCGTCACATGAGCTTCGCTCGTCCCCGTTGAGCAGCCTGAATGCTTCGGCAGGGCCTCCGTCGACGATTGTCAAGCCACCGAGACTGCTTGGTGAAGGCGACACCGGTGACCGCATACCACTAGATGCTCTGGACAAGCGCCGATCGGAATCGGTGCCTACATTGAGAAACATAGTGTTTCGCCCCTTCTCCCATTCGACCAGAGCGCTCCGAAGTTCAGTCCCAAGCTGCTCATAATGTCTAGTGATGGTGGTGCCGAGTAAAGGATCGTCGATTGCACGCATGGAATTGATTTCCTCACGCAAAAGATGTACTTTGGCATTCAGTGATCGAATGGTGTTCGCCACGGCGTCAAAACGGCGTATTTGGGCCTTGGTATGCCGCTTTTTGGGCACGGTGGCAGGGGTGTCTCGTTCAGGACCAGGCTCCATCTCTTCTTGGGCGGAGTCCACGCAGTTTCCACCATATTCTTCTTGGACCACAGCACTGTGGAGCTGTTGACTCGCATGGCACAATCCACTGTCAAGTCCTTCTAAAACTCGGGATATCAACCGCCACTGGCGTATGTTGTACCACGTGGAGCCGGAGCGAAGTGCTAGCAAGTCGCACAGGAGCACCTTCCGAGCAATTAGATGTAGTCGAAACAGGAACCGCAGCTCTCTCAAAGAGTTTCGTGCATCCAAAGCAGTCTCGTTGGCAACCGCCACAGCATCGGCATAGTCCAGCATCGAGACCTCGTATATGTCGTGGTACTTCCGCAGATCGATATCCCTCACGAATGGTTGGATGTCATTGTGGGCCTCAACACATCGGACAATGCTGGCTGTCAGAGCGTGTCCAAGGATGCTTCGCAGCTCACGACAGCTGCTGGGTGACTCTACCGTTTCCAGACGGCTAATTGGAGGTAACGGGTGGCTACTGTGAATGAGTCAGCAAAGCAACCTGAATAACAGGGGCGGGCCAGCGCCTACATTTCGTATCCCCGAGACACCACTTCAATCTCTTGAACGAAACGAAGTGCCTCTGTTGCAATGCCGTCGTAGTTGTGGGAGCTTGCAACTGCTCTTTCTAACGCTGATACTGCGGACTGCCGCACAAACTCCAGGTACTGCCACCGGCCGAACCAGAAAAGAAAAATGCAAGCCCCAATAAATAACGACGTGTATATGCATAGTTCCGACCAACTTGATGAGAGCGATCGAGGTGTCCGATATCTGCGCTGCAGCAGATGTAAAGACCATGCCACCGCAAACGAAATTCCTGCTGTTATAAAAGCACCTTTGAGGGAAAGGGTAGGTGCGGTGAGGGACTGTTCATTGTGGAGCTGGCGCCGGGGTTTTGGCTCGTCAGAGAGCAGCTGGGAGGCGACGATGATATAGCGGAACTGTTCAATCAGATGCTCGTCGGCAACGTCTGTGACTGAGGCGGCGGTCCTGCGTATCGTCTGCAGCCGTTCGCGCAGTCTGGGGAGACCCCGAGGTGCAAATGTTGATTGTGCGTGGGTTGGAGATGCAGGCGGATGGGCTGATTCGAACGGGAAGGCGTCTCCTTCTAGATACTCGGCAATAGGCGATTCATGATATATTAGAGCTTCCATGACATTGTCGGTACATTAGTGGTATGCAGAGGCGAAGATGGTGAAACAAGTGAAGTGTCGAAGAAAAGAGAGGCGCGTGCGGTGGTGATGATCCAGACATCGTCAGACAACGCAGCCGCCAGGGGGCAGGCCAGGGTCAAGCAAGCCACATGTTGCTGCTGACTTGACAGCTCGGCTGACGCCAATAATTGCCCCGCTGACCCCTTCGAGGCGCCCCCAAGTGGCTGAAAGGGCCAACGTTGCGAAGCCTGAACCCCAAACTCAGGGCTGAAAGAGACAAAACTCGGGCGGCCGCCAGGAGAAATCCCCGTCCGAGCCCGTCGATCTGGTTCTGTGCCGGGGAACGTGGCTCAGCCGAGATTGATCCAATTAAACGACTATCCATCTTCGAGGTTCGACAAGGCAGATGTGACTTTTGTTAACTTGCGATCAAACCTTCTCGACGCTTCGGATGAGTCTTTGTCAGATGAGTTTTCGGCTATTTCATGTGCTGGGGTCTTATCTTTCCGATGTCAGGTTGGGGTGAGAAATGGGATTCACCTTCTCGGTGGCTTGTGGACAGTCGACTCGAAGGTGCTTTAGCAAGTCGTCGACTCTTTGACACCCAACAACAAAGAGCGCCGATGCCACGCATGGATTGAGGAGCACATCACCTCTTGGACAATGACGCTATTCACAGGGCTGGACGGAGTTGGGGTGAATAGAATGATTCACACCACGAACCACTCTGCAATCTGGACTCAGTCACAGATCTCATTCATGATGTGTCCCTTGGCCATTGAAGAGCGCAGTGTGAAGCCTGGTGAAAACAACAGACTGGCTCTTTTTTGCGCTCGAATGTGATATAAGTCACCATAGGAAATTGTTCTCTTTCTCCTTCGCTCGACAAGCCTCCTGTCGGTGGCCATCACTAACGCTCACACAAATCTCATTGTGCCTTCCAGTGTCCTCGCAATAACCATCACCAGAATGGCAACGACTGAGCCTCCTGCTGGATTGCACCCGGTAGAGTCTGATGCGGAAGTGGAAGTTGACAGCGTCGAGACACCAATATCATCGCACATCCCAGACTTAACCATGATCCCAGGCAGTGGGCTGCGCAACATCAGTGAAGCGAAAATCGTCGCGACTGAACGTTACGGGGATCTGTACGCGCCAATCTTCCGACAGCTCCAGATCAGACCGGACAAGTACTATGACTTCCACAATGGTGTGATCCGCGTTGTCCGGAGAAAACAGCAGGCGGAGATCCGGCGTGCCACAGACGCCAGTATCAAGGCAACGACGGATTATCTACTTCGTGCGTTTGGCTATATCATCTGGGCGTCAGGCTCAGCATGGCTGCTTGACGATAAAGATCTCGATGAGGGAGAAGCAAGGTTGGTGTATAGGAAAAACACAGCTGTTGATCCTAGGTATGAAGCCAGTTCTCCGCCCTTCTGTCTCTTCGCATCTAATTCTGCCGCAAGACGGACATGAAAACTTGCGGAAGGGCTTTCACCAGTGACCCATTCGGACCACTCAGGCCCAAGAATTCATTACTGAACAAGTTGGTGATCGTCTTGCCAAGCTCCATTGCTGACAACCTCCTCAAAAGGTTCCACCCCGTCTTCGAATCGCTCTGGCGCCAGATGCGAAACGTGCAATTCACCCGCCGCGCAACAACCCACCGAGGACAACCTTCAAGTGATCCGCCATCTTTGATGACAGACGGTGATGAGTCTTACATGGGCGATGTCGACTCAGGACATCCCTTCCCTCACAGCCGCGCTCGAGCCACAGCCACGAAGAAAGTCGAAGACCTGTCCGCTGAAGTCGCACGAAGACTTCCGGCGCCGTCTCGAATGAATGCGGACCAGACGGAAGAAGCAATCATCGATCTGGTCACCAGATTAGCTACGATTCGAGCCAACAGCGACCCAAAGGCTTTTGAGGAACTCTGGCAGGCACATATCATGCGACTTGAGGAATTGGAAGAGGAAGGCGCGGACGGAGCTGAATTGAACTGTGAGCTCCCACCAGAACCCATGCCCGTCCACACCGCAATTTCTAGCTCTTTTTTTCTAAAATCCCATGTCAAAAGCTAACAAAAAGACAGCGACTGTGGAGAACCTTCATCCCGCTGTGACCGGCTTGCAGCAGAATGCTACTTCTCCCTCCAACGAGCCCTTCAACACTTCTGGCCCGCCCCTTGCCCACTCTTACCCAGGCACCTTAGCCATCGCACCATCTCTCCCCTCAATTATGTCGGTCTACATTAGCATGGCCCAGGTTGCGTCTCCCAATCATAACCCAGCGCCGAGCACGGCTGCCGCACCAATGACACCTGCTTATCACTGGCCTTCGGCCCCAGTTGAAAACCATAACTTCGTCAACTTCTTCAACGGCATCAATTACCGCGTGGATGTTCCTCTGCCGCGTATTCTGGGTTAGGTGCTCAGTTACGGCTGGAACGATATCTGTCGCTACATATCTACAGGCCGAGTTCAGGGCGGAATGGCTGGAAACACTGCCGGTGTTGCAGCTCACGAGGGAAATGAGAATGCTGGTAGGGTCAATGGAAGAGTCGAGCGTGATGAGGACATGACCGATGCGAATACATCAGCTTCGACGACCACAACATCGGCCTTCGCGCGAAATTCAGCAAAGAGCAAGGGACATGAGGACTTCACGATTCCGGAATGGCAGACCGTGGCGCTCGGCTGGCGTGACTTTCAGAACGATCTGCGTTATGCAGCCCAGTCCGGCGTGCGAGTTTGGAGGATGAAGGTCTGTGTGATCATCATGCATGCTCGAGACATGCACTGAGCGGAACTCAAACAGCGAGGCCTTGGTGTTGGGGACACCTGACAAGCACTGCGCCGCACGAGGTGACCAAGCGACCTGCATAGGTCATGGACCTGTGCTTGAATCGGGCTGGCATCCAGTGCTGGCCTACGGCTGCAGCACCACGAATGCGGGATATGTACGGAATCGGATTCAAACATCGAGGCTCGGCTGTGGCGGACAGTGGATAGGCCCTGCATAGCGATAGCGACCACGCGACCGAACATGTCATGAAGCTGCTCTTGAGCAGATGGCATCCAATGCAGCCCTACGACCACTACTTGCGAACTAGGAGAAGAATTGCATAGTCATTGAACGCGATGAGCGTAAGAATGGTGCATTTCGGGATCTAGAAATGTACCGCGGTAGGAGTAGTCTACGGGTGATGCCCCTGAGAGGCTCGTATCGGCACGTGCGCACAGCCAAGTGACCTCACCGCTCTGCCTCTGAGCGGAACCTCGCGGGTCCTCGATTGGCCCACCTCAATTTGACAGTGCACGAGCGAGCAAGCAAGCGGGAAGCCAACTGTAATTAACCTAAGGGGAGCGTAGGCGCCCCTTTCGCGTTCACCCGCGCAATGCAGCCAGGATGCGGTTCTAACCAATTTTCCGCAACCCTTCACACCGTTTACCTCTGACCAGCAGTGAAGTATCAGAGCAGCGGCCATCTGTGGTCCAAAGAGAGTCAACGTTTGAGATCTTACTACACGGTGCGACGGATCCGTGCACCAACTTGCTACAAAGGCGCCTGCTTTCCAATCTGAATCGAATCTGAACCGCCTTGGTTTCAGTTGCACCCGTCCATTGATTGCAGCGCAACGCTTGCTTCGGCCGCACAACACCTACTATCACTGCGTACAATCTTTAGTGTCGAGTTACCAGCTGCGCCCCGCAGCGAACGTCTCACCATGGGGAACCAAATATCGAAGATGATGGGCAAGATCTTCGGATCAAGAGAAATGCGACTGTTGATGCTGGGCCTGGATGCGGCAGGCAAGACAAGTGAGTCCTTGGCTTCGAGATGCGCATTGTCGCAGAGCGTACTGACACGGGAGCAGCAATTCTATACAAACTGAAACTCAATCAAGATGTAACCACAATCCCTACCGTCGGCTTCAACGTCGAGACCGTCACATACAAGAACGTCAAATTCAACGTCTGGGATGTGGGCGGGCAAGATAAGATCCGTCCTCTCTGGCGGCACTACTTCTCCGGCACTCAAGGTCTCATATTCGTCATCGACTCCAATGACCGAGCACGCATCGATGAGGCAAGACAAGAACTGCACCGGATCATTCTGGACCGAGAAATGAAAGAGGCACTATTGCTGGTATTCGCCAACAAGCAGGATATACCTGGCTCGATGACTCCGACCGAGGTGACGGAGAAGCTGAGATTGACGCAACTCAAAGAACGGACATGGTATGTTGTGCCGAGTTGCGCCACGACTGGTGAGGGACTGCTTGAGGGACTGGTGAGTTGCTCTATCCTTCGATGAAGCCCGAGCATGAACTGACGCAACTTCTGCAGAGCTGGCTGTCGACGAACGTCAAGGCACAACCGCGGCCAGCACCCGCTAAATAGAGTTTCCGTAAGTGGCTAAGACCAGTGGTGGCGAGCAGTGGGCAGCGGTGACTTGGCCGACAACCACCAAGATACCTATTTGCTAGCGATACTTTTCGAGAAGCAGATTAAAGCATGGAGTTCAGCGCAGTTAAATTTCCCAGCAGCTTGCGGGTCGGGCATTGTGAGGAACAGGGATCTATGCTACTCGGTGTGGAACGCCAGCACATTTCATGGAGGCATCCGTTGCAACTTACCTTCTTCCTGGTGCGCCACGGTCAGTCTTAGACCCTTTTCTTTGGCCAATCTTGCTCCCGTCGACAAGGCAACGGACAGAGAGACGATTGCAAATGGTCGGAACTGAAGCTGAGAAAGCCATTGTGCGTCAGGTGGATTTGAAACAAGTTCAAAAGTCAATATGGTTGAGTCTTGCCGTATGCGACAATGGTGCAACAACTCTATGAGGACCAGTGTGACTGAGAAGTGTACGTTTAATCAGCGTTGAGGCAGCTCATCAGGATGTGCTGTACGAGCCACGGAGTATGGAGTACCTAGGAGAAGAGTCATGGGTGGGTGGGGAACCTGTTGGCACGCGTAATGTCCTAATGGTCAAGTCTCTCGCAAGTCGCTCTCGAGGGTGCTTTGCAATTAGTTCTACGACCTTCGGACCAAGCAAGTGCGAAGAAGGACGTCCTCCAAACTGCCCTCGTTGATGCGAAATGTGCAACCGATACGAGGTGCTCTAGCGCATCGCGTGCCCAAGAAAGCCGATTAAGGCCCGCTGATCATTAAGTATATCTAGAACTGAACCTGGCATGTTTCTCTCTTGGGCCCGAATTCGCGGCAAATCCCTAACTAATTAAAGCACAGTAGCTGATCGTAGACCTGCGTGAGTGGCTGCTATCAGCCACCCAGCGTTATCGGTCCCCACCATTCACTAAGAAGGTTGGACCAGATGAAGTCGAGTCATTCTTCGCAGTGGCGAGGAGCATCGGAGTTGTTCTCCCAAGCCTGCGTGCAGCGGGTATGCACTCACACACTGCGCTGCACTGCACAGATGCAGTAGCACTGCAACTACCACATGCAGCCCATGTTTCTTGTCAGTCATCGAGACCTGGACCTGCGTTGAGCCGCCTGAACTGCCGCAGATCAGATGCAAGAGCAGGGGGGCCGTCTCATACGGGTCTTGTAAGCGAAGAACCTCTCGTTTGAACCTGAACAATCAATCATTCAATCAGTCAGTCAGCAGTCAGTCATCAGCCAGTCATTATTTTCCAGCTTTCACAACTCTGATTCTGACTGATCGTGTTCATAGTTAGGACAATCACCCGCGCCCCCCCACCTCCCACAGCACCTACAGCATCCTGACTACGGCGTCTTAATCCGCACTATTGCTCCGCCTCGTTGCGCCATCCCACGCCATTCTCCAGCTTTTCAAACCTTCCGAGACCCGAGCTATCCCGCTGTCAGCCTGCTGCCACCTGCCAGAAACGGCCCGTCCCTGTAAACCCAGCTGCGGAGGGGCAGCTCAAACTGCTCTCGTGCTTCCAAGTGGCTGTCAGTCAGCCAGTTTGTGCGGCCCGTTCGTGGGGTCTTGTCTCGCTGGGGCGTCGAGGCCGTTGAATCGGGAGCCACTTTTCCGCACCAACCTCCACCCCGTGGTCTACATATCGGACTGATACATCCCTGCTTTGCGGGCTGTCGGCATCCGGAGGGAGGGATTGGTTTGATTTCCACCTTAGAAAGAAGGGTGTCATCGCTGGAGAGATCGCCCTGCCTTACCCTTCTCACACCACATCACATCAGATCCTGCCTGGCCTTCTCCGTCCGCGCTGCAGGAGCAGCTAGGCATAAGAAGCCTTGTCTGTTCCCCTCCCCTCCGTGCTCCTTGCCTTTACAGAGTAGACGTCGTCGATTGTCCCTGTAGGCGAGACAACCAACTCGTTGCGTCATGGCCACGCCGGACGGAACCGTCGAAGTCAATGGCACGCATAAGCCGTCGGTGCTGATAGTAGGAGGGCTTGGTGAGTGAGATGCCTCGCGCGGCTCTGCGGCCCCTGCTGACCCGGAGTCAGGGTACATCGGTCGATTCCTCGCAAAGTACATCCACACCCAGAACCTGGCCTCCTCCATACGTATAGTCGACAAGGTGCTGCCGCAGCTGGCGCACCTTGCCCCCGAGTTCAGCGAGGCATGTGCGCAAGATAAATTCATCCAGGCCGATGCCTCGCGCGACACATCCATGGCCCGAGTCTTCGATCATCCGGACCGGCCCGATGCATCCTGGGACTATGTCTTCAACTGCGCGGGCGAGACCGCCTGGTCGCAGCCTTCGGAAATATACAAGCTGCGGTCCTGGCAGGTGAGCGTCACCTTGGCGAAGGAGGCCGCGAAACGCCAGGTCAAATCCTTCGTCGAGGTCAGCACAGGCATGGTGTATGCCCCCAACCGGACGCCGCGGACCGAACAAGACAAATTGAAGCCGTGGCTCAAGCTTGCAAAAGCAAAATTGGAGGCCGAACAAGAACTGTCACGAATACCGGGTCTTAACCTCGTCATCCTGCGCCTGGCGCACGTCTACGGCGAATACGACTCCAAGTTCATTGCAAAAGCTCTGTGCCTGGCCCGCGTCTACCAGGAGCAGCAAAAAGAGCTAAAGTGGCTGTGGACCGAAGACTTGCGCATCAACACTGTGCACGTGGAGGACGTGGCCCGCGCGCTGTGGGCGGCGGCCGAATGGCGGACCAAGAACGCGGTCATCCCCCCGTTGTTGGTATCGTCATCATCGTCCTCCTCCTCGCCGACCTTCTCCCGCCGACCAACGCTCTCCAAGGGCGAAGACGCCCCCAGCGGGAATGTACCCGTCTTCAACATCGTCGACCACGGTCAGACAAGCCAGGGCCAGCTGGCGGACATCATCTCCAAGGTCTTCGACATCAAGACCGGCTTCCAGGGCACCATCATCTCGCAGTTCGCCAAGATGAACCTCGAGCACGTGGTCGACGACCTGAATGAGGACATCCTCCAGCCGTGGGCCGACATGCTCGAGAAGAACGGCATTACGAAACCGGGACCCCTTACTCCGTTTCTGGAAAAGGAACTGCTCAAGGATACGGACTTGAGTCTTGACGGCTCGCTGTTCGAGCGCGTCGTCGGCTTCCAATACGATCGGCCCGACGGACTAACTGTCCAGGGCATCAAGGAGATGATCGCCAGTTATGAGAAGATGGGATGGTGGCCCTGAAGGACGGCCCGGTCGCGTGTATTTGCCTTGACTGCTTCAGCTTCAGCTTCCCAAGTGCGTGGAGTTTCATGAATGGTCGCTGGCCACGCAACAAGACGAAGGCATCAGTGACGGAATGGAGTAAAATAGGACTTTAATCCACGGCATACAGCTCACAACCCACAGTTGAAAGACACCAGACTATTCGTGTACGGCCGAGAAGACGAGATGGAACGGGATGGGATGAAACAAAGCCAGGATGGGACATGATTCACGACTTGTGTTGCGCCTGTTTACTCACATGCTGGCTGACGACTTTGCGACGCCTCGCTACTTACACTGGATCCAGTTCCATCTGCCCTTTTCCAATCTCTCACAGGTCCATCTATCCAGTCTGTTTCAACACTTCAGATCTCCAGTACCCTATTCTTGTACTCCGACCCTTCAGCACTCCAGCACTCCAGCGCTTCAGATATCCACAAGATCCAACCCACAGAATCCCAACTACGAGAGCCCAGTCATAGAAAGACAGAACACGAATACCCACATGCGGTTCCACAGTCCGCTTTTTTCTGCGCGCACAATTACTTCCACTCCGCCACATACTTTCGAGGAACGCCAGACGAGACGAGAATTCAAAAAAAAATACCAAAAGAAAGCTGAACATCGAGTCCACTTGGGAGGTTTGCCGCAATTTGTGTGAATGTGGGCATGGGTGCGTGTGCGTGTGCCGGGGTGTCTGTGTGTACAGTATGTGGTGCGCACTACGGGCCTCTTGATGTGACATGTTTTTCAGGTACCCAATGACGATCCTGTTCTGTGGTGGCGAGCGAGGTCCAGAACTCCGTACCAGTAATGTATCTCCGCTTCTCAGTTCAGAGAGCCATCGAGTAGCGGATATAATTCAACGAATTTCCGTCCCAGACGACTCTACCTACCTAGGTAGACACGGCACGGTACGTGGAAATCATCCCTCTTTGACACTACATGGTGCCAACTACGTACCTAGGCAGGTAGGCAGGCAGGCAGGTAGGTAGGTAGGTACAGAGTTAGCTAATGTATAATGAATGGATGTAATGTCCGTGTCTGAGGACGACAATGCGCTCTTCATTCCCTCATTCATCCACTCACCTACGGAGTACTCAATAGTTGTATCTGTCGTAGCTACAACGGCATGGCGGTAGATTTATGAGGATTCTCTATTGGTTGAGCTCATTTAGGTATTCAGCCAACACCCTATACGCTCTTGCGCTCTTCGCTCTGCCCTGATTATGCACTCACTCAGAGCATCGAATGACCTCCATCAAGGCCGGTCTGGCTGCTTCATCTGCGTCTCTCTACCCTCACCCATTCTCAGAGCATCGAATGACCTCCATCAAAGCTGGCCACTTCATCTGCGCTCGTCAGGATCCCTTCGACAAACCGCCAACCCTGGAGCTGCATCAACTTCCACTGGTCTGCGACCTTCTTGGTCACGAGATCGCCGGTCGCCACTGCGTCTTCCTTGGAATCATGGCCCGCCTCGCCTGCCGTCTGGATCCCGCGCGAGAGATACTTCTGGCTGAGAATCTTCAGGCCGAACCGGACGGGCAGACCGCGCGGGTGCGGGTAAAGCAGCACCGTATCGATCACAAAGGGGTGTATGATGCGCAGGACGTTGAGGTCGTTCTCGATCGCGTGCCCAATCAGGGGTGTCTCGGAGCTGATGAGGTCAAGAAGCAGCTGTCGAGCCGAAGCTGGGGAGTCCACTTTACGGAGCTCACCTCCTTCGACGAAGGGTGTGTCGTAGGTCTTCGCCGACACATATGTCTCCTTGGTCACGCCGGAGAAGCGGGTGTTCAGATCGAGAAGCTCGCCGTACGTGCGTACAAAGACGTCGAGGAGGAGTCTTCCGTCTGGCCACGAAACTGCGGTCACGCGAATGACTTCCATCCCCAGCGTCGTGTAGCCCATCTCACAGTCGAAGGATACTGGGTGCAACGGTCGAACGCCGGGTTTGGCGGGTGTGTGTTCAAACTGCAGGATACTGGCAAGGCGCTTGGGGTCTTTGACCCCGAACACGTGCGTCTCGCCTTCCGAGCAGCCTTCACTGCCTTCGGGCTTGTTGCAGCACGGGTGGGTTCCCTCTGATCGACCTTGACGGTTTGCTCGGGCCCAGTGGTACCGACATTTTCCTCCGCTGGTCAAGCGTCCGCTGTCATCGCGCCCGGGGAAGACCTGGAACCGGGTACCGCATCTGTCGCATGTTTCGTATCCTTTGGCTGCTGCGACGCCTGCCCTGGCCGTGGCAATCTCCATGGCAGAGGGCTGCGTGGTGACATATCCATACTTTTCCAGGCCCTCCAAGGGTGTCCGCAGATGCCTGAGCACGGCGATCTGCTGATTCGAGGAAGAAAGGCCTATCGAAGTCAAGTCGGCGCTAGGGTTGGCCGCTGCCTTCTGTTGCACCTTGGCGGGACCTGTCCATTCGAGAATTCTCTTGACCCATTCTTCAGTGGTCATCTTCTTGATTCTCATAATGGTCTGGGAAACGGCATTTCTGTAGATGTCGCCTTCCAGTTTCGTGGCTGCTTCTTCCTCGTCGAGCGCGAACGTGATCAACTCCTGCTCATCCAGAACGAGCGGTTTCCATTTGGCGTCCGAGCTGGCAAGCTTGCTGTTCTGGGCTTTCATTTGCTCGTGCAGTTTCTGTAGTACCGTCAACCTGGTTTTGAGCTGGGCTGGTGCCTTGATCACGTTGCGCGGTGTCAGTGTCTCCAGGTTTGGCGGGTTCTTCTTCTTAGTTGGTTGTGATACCTCTTCCGTCCTCTTCGACGGTGGTGGGGAGACTGTTCTGGTCAAGGAAGCTATTTTTTGGTCGGCGGATGTTTGGGACGCGGTACGGGGACCTCCCTTCAAAGTTCCCTCATGCTCTGTAGAAATGGCCGTCGGCTTTACCGTTGGGGGTGATTGTCTTTCGGGCGCTAATGATGCGGGAGGTCCAAGACGGCGGCTCTTCGCTTTCACGACATCTACACGCTGTACATCTCTCGGAGGGGATCCCAGCCGCCTCCGCTTCGAAGGTGGGGGCGACACATCTCCAGCACTGAGAGGGTCATATTCTTGCGCCACCACGAGCGTCTCGCCTGCATCGGAAGTACGGGCTTGAAGGCTGTGTGAGAAGATGCAAATAGGAAGGTCGCAATCATGCTGTCGAGGACAAGGAGTTGCACGAAAGCGTCCCAAGGAGGAGAACATGGTATCGGAACGGACGAGGACAAAGTGGGTTGATAAGCATGAACGTTCGGTGGTGAAGGGGTGTTGGCGAGGTTGCCTTCGACGTCAAGCACGGACCGGGGCTGGGCTTGAGCCTTGGGGGAACCAGGAATTAGCGATTGGATGCGACTGGACGACCTTCGGGGAAATTGTCCTCTGTGTTCAAAGATCCTCACAAAAGGAAACACGGCCTGTCTGGAACCCTAGCCCTAGTTGCTTTTTGTAGCACCCAATAGCATCAGCCAGTGTACGCTCTGACGTGGATTCAGGTGAGGTTAGCCACTCAGCAGCCCCGGACGTCCGTCACTATCAAGTAAGTCGAAGCCTTGCAGTGGGTGATAGGCATGCTCAGTGCCCAGAAGCAGCGGGCAGCAGCCTCGGGTACCACCTTATCGCACGCTGAGATATGGGTTGCGATATCGCTCAGAGACACAGACAGGAAGGGGTGTCCATTTCAGATACGTAATGCGTCCTTGGTGGTGTGCTGTACATCAGAGGACGAGATCAGCGCGGATTGATTCGTGGGACGACCGTGCTCAGCGGCCATAAATGCCGGCTGTCGCTGTGTAAGAAGGCAAAAATATTTCTTCTGTCGTTTCACGCGTGGCACGTAGCTTTGTTGTCCTCAACGGAAACCTGCGTGGTTGGCTGCTGTGTGCTCCCTGGACGTGTATTCCATCCGTGAATCAGATAAATCCCAGGCTGGACACAGAAGGAGGCACTTACTGTACTGAGACGGTTGTGAGGGACGATTCAGACGAAAGTGAGGTCTCGGTCAAATTTCCTCCAGATGTCAAGCCTCACGCCTCGCGAATGCCAGACAGCCAGCAAAGACAGCCCATCGCTCGCTACAGAGCACAGGCAGGGTTCAATAAGCCGTCGCCTAAGTTGAGACCCGGAGGTTGAGTTTGGAGGCACCTGTGGTGTCGAGGAGTCTTCCTAGGTACCCTTAAATTAACTGGAGCCTACCTACATAGGTATCGGCGATCGGGTGTTGCTCCTTCCGGGCTTGCTAAGGGCGCGCGCCCACAACAACACACGCGTCATTGTTCTGCCTTGGCGCCTCCGGTAGCTGAGTGGCGCTGCTCTAATAACATGTCACTGCCCTTCGACCTGCGAAGCATCAACAAGCAAATCCTCTTCTTCAACCGGAAGATGGCTCCAGCCTTGCGAAGATCGGGACAATCCACTCCTCAAAAGGCGCAGCATCTCATCGTTCTGGTCCACGGGCTGTGGGGGAATCCGGCTCATTTGGACTATGTCGCAAAGTCGCTGCGTGATCGCTATGGAGACGAGGATCTCGTTGTACTCGCTTGTCGCAGGAATCTCGGCTCCCTGACTTACGAGTAAGTCCCCTGGAAAACCGACTCCCCACAGTCATGACTTCCACCTCTCTTGAGACTGCCCTCCAGTGCTGACGAGGAAATAGTGGTATTGAAGTAGGTGCTGAGCGGGTCGCCAGGGAGGTCGAGGATGCTTTGGAGGAGCTGGGACGGGACGGTCACAAAATCACCCGATTCTCGATGGTCGGATATTCCTTGGGAGGGCTGGTCGCGCGCTACACAATCGGCCTGCTTTACCATAAGGGACTTTTCAACAGCATCAGCCCGATTAACTTCACGACTTTCGCAACGCCGCACTTGGGTGTCCGGACGCCTCTGACCGGGTATCAAAACCATCTCTGGAATGTCCTAGGCGCTCGCACGCTATCAACATCCGGCCGCCAGGTGTTTATGATTGATAACTTCAGAAACACGGATCGACCTCTCTTGAGTGTTCTTGCAGACCCTGACAGCATCTTCGTTCATGCGCTTGCTCGTTTTCAGCACCGGTCTCTGTATGCTAATATTGTCAACGATCGCACCACAGTCTTCTATACGACTGGGATCTCACGATGCGATCCTTACGTCGATTTGGGGAAGATCAACCTGCACTACCTCAAAGGCTATGAGCCGGTCATACTGGACCCAGACCACCCCTGCGATCTGATACCGGAGCAGGAGCTGCCAACCTTCTACCAAAGATTTCGCATGCATAGCCAGACTTGTTTGCGCAGAGCACCGATCTTCCTCGCACTGGTCGTGCTACTACCCATCGCAACAATAGCTTTTCTCATTAACTCCGGCATCCAGACGTTTCGCAGCCGGCGAAGGATACAGTTACATGAGGCTGATCATCGAGACGAAGGGTTCGGTCTATACAAAATCCCTTGGATGGTCCAGGATATGCGCATTGGTCTCGAGGACGCTTTCGAAAATGTGAATGCTGCTCAACAACAGGAGTATCTACCCGAGGGATCAGAAGAGATAGCAGATGCAATCGTAGAAAGCCCTGCTCTGTCTTCAGCGGCTTTTGCGAAGAGTACCGAGTCCTTACTGTCTGAGAAGTCAGAGAGTGACCAAGCTCCGCTCGCTGAACGATCTCAGAGTTTCCCGACCTTAGCACTGACCACAGCACAGTTTGCAATGATCAAAGCGCTCGACGACGTGGGGTTCCGGAAGTACCCCGTCTACATCCACAAGAGCAGCCACAGTCACGCAGCGATCATCGTGCGCTTTCCTAGAGCTGCATTTGAGGAAGGAAAAGTGGTTGTGAAGCATTGGCTGGACAATTTCCACATTTAGTTTGGTTGCATTTCGCTGGAGCCGAGTCCCCATCAGCGTTGCATACGGACAGCACAGAGTGAGCTGTACCGTACACTTCTCCTGTGCGTTCCCCAAGCATTCGGCATCATGCTCAGTGTTGTCCTTATCTTTTCAGAAGCGACCCCAATCAGGCGAGATGGCTTGAGCAATTTGGGATAGTGCTACATGGTCACCTCGCAACATTCTTGGACGTACCAACTTTCAGAATTACCGCTATTTGCACATGTCTTCTGTTATCAAAACTGTCATCCTAACCCGATGTCATGGACACGCAGGAGGATCAACCACAATCTATGCGCTCCAGGACATCGACAATGGGACTCACCTTATTGAAGGCGCAGGATCGTTCTCGAGAGCAGAACCCTATGTGGCTCCAAAGGCTCCCCTGCTCTCGATTCATAGGTCAAAATCCAGCTGATCTCGGAACCATACATGTACCTGATGAGGCTGCAACTGTGCACGACTGACGAATTACGGACGAGCATACGAGGTTTCCACTGCCCGGGTCCTGACTAGGTAATCCGTACATTGTCTGGTACCTGGTCCACCAGGTACTACGAGTACACAGTAAGAACGGTGGTGACGTCAAATGTGTACAAGCATTCAGCACGAAAGAAGACCCAAAGAGCACACCGCAGGTTGCAGACAAGCTGAGACCAAGCTATTCGCAGCAGTCGTCTCAGGCTGCGGATCACTATGCAACTCAAGGCCTCGCGAAAATGTCCCACATGTCACGACTCCAACAAAACCCAAACAGCGTCTCCCGAGCATCTCTGCGGCTTTTAAATTCTCTGGGGGCAACGGACTTTAGCCTCGAGATCGCTGAAAGAGGCGACGTCTATTCGCCCGACCAAGGACGATGTTAGAGCAAGGCTACGTCATTCCCTCCTCGTCGACACCCCTGTTGGTTGATATTTCCGAGAAATGCTCCAGTGCTTCACCACGACGTGTTTCGTTCAGTTATCGGGATACCCACTGTTTATGTTACAATTATTTGATTTCTTCCACTTTTCATCCACGTGGCTCGCTGCTTGCCTCCACCTCCAGCATGGAAGCGATGGCGGTATCTCGTCGAAGGCGATCTATATAATCCATACACCCGGCACCTCAGAGAATCAGCGTATGTCCTGATCTCATTGCTGATCCCTTAGAGTTAGCCCACTGCCAAACACCCCGTGGACTAGTCGATTTTCTCCCAACATCCTTTGGACCGGTCGTGTTCCTCTGCACCGCTCGGCAGGAGATTCAGACCATCAAGATGGAGTCCGACAGACCCTCAAACCTGGACCCAGGCACGTCGTATCCCACAGCCGCCAAAGCCTCCCGCGCCGGCTTGAGAAGAGTCTCTAGTCAAAATGCAAAACGCGAGGACCTCTTCTCAGGTCCGACCCTGGTCGGACCGCCTGACCGCTTGGGGTCCCGGTCCGGTGCCAGTGAGATGGCTCTTGCCATGGAAATGGCGAAGCATCATCTGGCGGAATCCTCGCCGACCTCGACACCACCTGTCTCTGGTCCAGTCACACCTAGCGACATTGGTCCGGCAACCACCGACAAATACGCCTTTGCCTTTGATATTGATGGGGTCCTCATCAAAGGTGGTGAAGTGATACCGGAGGCTATTGAAGCCATGAGAGTTCTGAACGGCGAGAATGAGTTCGGCATCAAAGTGTAAGTGCTTACTGATGGTTCAAGGGGTAGCGTACTAACTCCTCATACCAGGCCCTATATCTTCGTGACCAACGGGGGCGGCAAGACAGAGGAGGAACGGTGCATCCAGCTCAGCAACCAACTTCAGATGGATGTATCTCCTGGGCAGTTCATCTGCGGACATACACCTATGAGAGAAATGGCCGAGAAATACGAAACCGTCTTGGTGGTTGGTGGTGAGGGCGAGAAGTGCCGCGAGGTCGCAAAGGGGTACGGCTTCAAAGACGTTATCACACCCGGAGACATCATAAAGGACAACGAAGCTACCACGCCGTTCCGAAAGCTGACTGAACAAGAGCGGCAACTCTCACACGGCCGCAACTACGGAGAAATCAACATCGAGGCCGTGTTTGTATTTGCCGACAGTCGGGACTGGGCAGGTGACTCTCAAATCATCCTTGACCTGTGCATGTCCAAGAACGGCCGTCTGGGTACCAGGTCGGAGACCTTCGACGAAGGCCCGCCTGTCTATTTCTCCCACAACGACGTGGTCTGGGCAACATCCCACACGTACTCACGAATCGGCATGGGTGCCCTTCGAGCGTCTCTCGAGGCCATGTACCGAGCCATTACGGGGAAAGAGCTGAAGACGGTCGCCTTCGGCAAGCCGCAGGTCGGCACCTTCCAGTTCGCAACCAGACTCCTCCAGCAATGGCGGAAGGACACACACGGGATTGACCGACCTCCGGAAACCGTGTACTTTGTCGGCGACACTCCCGAATCCGATATTCGCGGCACCAACGAATTCGACCAATCAGGCCAATCCGAGGCCAACTGGTATTCCATCTTGGTGCGGACAGGTGTCTTCCAGGAAGGCACGCGTCCCAGATATATGCCCAAGATGACTGTCGACAACGTTCTCGAGGCGGTCAAGCATGGCATGAAGCGCGAATTCGACAAGGCGATCAAAGACATAACAATTGGTGGCGGCGCACCACAGCTGGCTAACGCCATCGCCGAGGATGACTACGAGGAAGTGGCGGCCACGAATGGAGAGTAGAATGGCTATGACAGCTTAGCGACACGGCGTTTTTGATATGATTAACCACCATGGATCGATACCCACCATACACCACTGCTGTGAAGAGGAGTTATGAAGGGGATCTCCAGTGCCTCAACATTTGGGGGGCTGAATGGCGCCATTGGCTATGTTACATATTCTATACCTATTCGGGTCTTGTGAATCCATGACCAATGCCTACTCGTAGCATGATCATCAAATAAGGAACAATAATTGGGGGCGAATCCGGCCAGATATTGGGGGCCACGTGAATTTCCGAGAGCTGCACATCGGCCTTTTCCAAGAATCTCAGCCCTTCCGTAGACCACACTGTACGAGGTGGATGAGTGTCTACCAGAACAAATAAGAACATCGATATCTTCCAGTTTATAGAACCAGGTTGCCCTGCCACCCTGTGCAGAAGGTATAGGGAGAGCCTCGGACCGTGGTCTCGCCATGTTGTTGACCAGGGAAGTTCCAAGGTCGAGGCTGGCGTGGGTACGCCATTGGTACGGAGTACTGTGGTAGGAGTTGGCGAGCTCCAAGATTTGGATGGGCGGGATCTGTGCACGCCGCCCTTCGAGCCAAAAGATAAATTTAGGGCTTCGGTGTCGACTTCTCGATGGTTGGACCTGTGAAAGGCCATTGCAGATCTCACACCTCGCTCATAGCAGGTGACACGTATCAAGACAGCCCCGGCACCTCTGAGAAAGTCATGCGCGCACTTGGTACGGAGTATGGTTGCTGGCCTAGCCTTCGATGCGCCATTCCCGTGTTGGACTCCTAGGCAGACTCTTGTACCTGAACTCGCAGCAGGCGTCAGACTAATGTACAGGGTATTGAAGAAGGCGAATCATCCTCTGTGGCAGATGAGCACTAGGGTCCTAAAACGGCTGCCTACGCGAACACCCGAGAAACCAAGCCAAAGAGAATAAGCAACTGACGTCTGAGGGACAGTCCGACCATTTGCCTTGGCCACGAGTGCAGCACGAGTCGTTCGGAATCTCTTGACCTGGTTCGCCGAAGCCAGTAACTTGTTGGTTCAGGGCGAGGCAGGAAAAGGACTCCGATTCAGAGTGGCTGTGAGCGTGGTGAGTCGTGCGTTGTGGTGGTGGTGGTGGTGGTGGTGCGTGCACGGTTGTCGCTTGCTTATTGTGGCCTGTGGACGCTGGCGTCGCGGCGCCCACTCGAGCCACTAAAGCCTCTCCGGGGCCACTGGGGGGCACTGAAGCCAGTCTTAGGCTGCACTGGGTCAAACCCTACTGTATCCTACGGTGCCTACAGCAGGAACTAGGTGGCTAACTAGTTAGCTACTCGTACTTAGATCTTTGTGACTGCACCTCCCACCGAACCAACCCTCTTTCAAACCTAGACAAAACTCCAGACCAACTCACGTTGACGCTCGCATTCACACACTGTACACACCCACACCCACCCTCTTTTCGCCCCCTGCTGTCCAGCGTCGCGTTCCATATTCGATTCGGCTCTTCTGCTCCTGTCCCTGTCACTGTCACTTCCCACTTTTCCAGCAACCTTCTGTGCCTCAACTGTCAGACACACTCAGCGAAGCCCTGCGCCCACTGACAGCGGCTGGGACCAAACCCTGAGCAGCGCCCTGCTCTCGCGCTTGGCCAGGCTTGCTTTCAGCTGATCCATCCTCCAGAATCACCTTGGACCTTCACACTCATCCTCCTCCACGTTCGCCGTCACAGTTCGATCCACGTACCGGCGACAACTCTGTCGACTGTCCTCTGAAACGCGTCAAGAAACATTGGTGGCCTGAGCTGCGCCGCCTCCTCCCCGCGAAACCCTCGAGCTCTACCAAGTGATCGAACCTAGGGCCACGTCAATATCACAAGGGGCGGTCATTCCTGCTTCTTAACAGCGGTGAAAAGCGCGCCCGCGCCTGTAGCTGCAGCCGCACTATGGCAACAGGAAGCGCTGGGACCTCGACCTCTCCACAACCCATTATCCAACCTCTTCACCGCGCTGCTCCCGCGCCTCCCCCCTTAAGCACAGCCTCTCCTCCGTCGAGGCGAGAGCTAGCGTCATGGTGGAAAAAGTTCAGGAAGACAACAGAAAAGAACGAGGAGAAAGGTGAGCAGGAATGCGCTGGTGGGCTGGCTGTCGCTAACTCTTCGCCAGCTGACGGTGGTCCGGGCATATTCGGGGTCCCTCTGGCCGACAGCATCAGATATGCCAATGTGGCCATTTCGTTACAGAATGATAACGGCGAGAGCTTCATCTACGGTTACGTGCCGATCGTGGTGGCGAAATGCGGAGTGTTCCTCAAAGAGAAAGGTACGGTCTTTTCCTATACCATTAGACCAAACTGACAGATCCCAGCCACCGACATCGAGGGTATCTTCCGTCTGAGCGGATCCGCGAAAAGGATCAAGGAGTTGCAGACCATCTTCGACTCGCCAGACAGATATGGAAAGGGTCTAGACTGGACCGGCTACACGGTCCACGATGCGGCCAACATTCTTCGTCGCTATCTCAACCAGCTTCCCGAGCCCATTGTCCCTCTCGAGTTCTACGAGCGCTTTCGCGCGCCTCTTCGCTCGGCGACGTCAACAACCGGAACCAACGGTGGGACACAGACGCGCGACATGAGTTATGACGACCACAACATTGCCGTCGCTGCATATCAGAAACTGATAACAGAGCTGCCGCCGCTCAATCGTCAACTGCTCCTCTATCTACTTGATCTCCTCGCAGTCTTTGCTTCAAAGTCAGACCTGAACCGCATGACGGCCGGCAACCTGGCCGCGATTTTCCAGCCTGGCATACTCTCACATCCGTCGCACGACATGTCGCCGCAGGAGTATCGACTTAGTCAAGATGTGTTGATCTTCTTGATCGAGAACCAGGATAACTTTCTGATTGGCATGTCGGGCACCGCGGTGGATGAGAAAACTCAGAAGGACGTGGAGAGCGGCGCGCCATCTGTACGGTCGCCGAAACCTGTTGGGCGGTCTGCATCGAACGCGAGTGCTGGTGCTGATAGTCTTCGAAAGTATGGTGTTCGGCGCAATGTCTCGGTCTCATCCCGAGGTTCTCGGGAACGAGGGAGCCCGGGTGTTTCAAGCCCGGGTACACCGTCAGGCGTCACTTCGTTTTCCGGAAGTTCAGGGATCGCACGAAGCAATACTGTTCCGTCAAAAAGATCTCCCGCCATTGCTCCTAACCGGTTTCAGAATATCAACGATGCCGGCGACTCGACCACTCCTCCAAGAGGCCCTCTTTCCCAAGAGAACACCACTCCACCCACGACTCAAGGGCAGACCGGGTCCAGATCATCCAGATCTGGGTCTATCCAACCAGAAGATGCTGACGGCAGAGCAGGATCTGTACCTGCACCTGCACCACCGGTCCAGGCACCCGGTCAGCCGCCGCAACAAACCGACCCTGTGCCGGCAGCACAACCGGTGCCCAACCAGACCAGCCACGCACAGGTCACGACTGCAGCTCCACAACCCATCACAACAAGAGAGCGGAAAATCTCAAACTTGTTTCCCAAGTCGCCAATCTTTGGGCCCTCTGACCCCCAGGGAAGGCAACCGAGGAAGTTGCAGAAGAAGCAAAAGATTCCCGGAAGTTCCAACGACAGCGCTCAAAGCTCGATGAATTCACTCCATGGTGACGAACCGGCGACATTCCACACACCTCTTGTCTCACCTGATATCAATAGTGTTGCACGACATGACCCATTGGCTGCGTCGCAAGGTCCTGCTTTCACGAACACGACCGCCACACCCATCAACGAGGCCCCACCGTTGAAGCAATTTCCCACGCCTACTTCTGGGGCTGATGGACAGAATCACGCCTTGAAGCCTCCTGCATCTCCCCCCGCATCCACACGTTCTCGCCCCTCCTTTAGTGACCATTCAGATGGCGACGTAGTTGATGATACCCTTCCTCAGCCCGAAAGAGAGAAGCGTCGTCATCGCTGGAGGTTCTCGTCATCAGCGAAGAAGGGAGAGTACTCACCACTGACGCCGCCGCCTCCCATCGGGCAGAACGCTGGGGCCCGGGGAAGTAATAGCTCTCTCGGCAGTTCGAGTCGACCACGGAAAAGCTTTACGGGCGATTCACAGCTGACACAGTCATCGATCATCGACGCGAACGTCAGCGGACAGCAGAATCTCGTGAGCCATTCCAACCAGGAGTCGGGGGATCCTAACAAGGACCTTAACGGGGAGATGGAGAAGAAGGGTCTGTTCGGCAAGTTGAAGGCCAAAATTTCGCAGACCAGAGAAGAGAGGCACGCTGAGAAGGAAAGGGCCAAGAGTCCGCCGCGGAGTGAGCAGGGCGCTTCCAGGAGTAGTCTGGCTGCATTTGCTCAGGAGCACTTTTCGCCGAGAGGACGGTCCTTTGATGGATTGCGTGACCAGGCGGCTCTGTCGACATTACCAGAGAAACCAGCCGTCGACGGACCGGCTCAAGCGGCGAAGTCGTCAATGGACCCTGGACAGCGGCCAATAGGAGCATGACGGACTACGATGAGAAGGGCTTTCTGGACTAGCACGGAAGGAGAGCACTAACAAGGTGGCAAGAGGCGTGTCTACGCGGTCGAGCGGGACCGTTATGACTGGGATAAGCGCCTTGACGATCGCCATAGACTGGAAACCTGAAGGACAAAGGGATGAGCGAAACAGTGCTGGGGACTGGGAAGGAAAGAGAGAGGGTCATGCATGGTATCATGTCATTCCGTGAGACGAAGTGCTTGGGTACATACAGTGCAGTAGGATACGTACAAAAGTTGGAATAGCATGAACATGGGAGAGCAGTAGCAGTGTTGCAGCATGAGGTATGAGTCTGCGCACGGCTCATGCTTCCTATCACGTATCAGGCCAAACTTGACTCTCGGACATGATGAATCCGGTCCGCAGTATCGAGTAATTACTGGCCACAAAGAAGTACTCAATCTACAGACCTACCTAGGTAGTCAGCTACACAGTACTCCGTACGGAGTAACTCGACGGCCTTGTGTGACCACGCGACTGACAGTATGCCAGCGTGGGGCCCCAAGACGGTTAGCGCCCCTCTCCCGCTCTAGCAGCAGGACCTCGAAACCAATTTTCAAGCTCGACACCGAAACTGTACAGCCATCAATTTTTTAACTGCACAAGGTGCGGAGTACGTCCAAATTTCCAGCCACACGAGAAGTCGAGTCGAGTCGAGCTAAGTCAAGCAGAGTAAAGCAGTGCAGCAGTACAGGTCCCGACTCTATCATTGTGCCTTCCTCAATCTTCGCTCTTCACTCTTCCGTTCGTCGTTCTCTCAGCAGCCCGCGAGGCCGGTGCTGCTAGAAGTGCTCTGCGTTCGGCTTTCGCACGACCCTCTCAAAAAGACTCTGTCCTCGCTCTTTCTGGCCACACGCACGCTTCCACAGCAGTGACTTGACTTTCACGACCGATAGTCCGCCCAACGCATTCACACAATGGCGAAAGATAAATCCTCTGCCACCTCGGGCTCCAAGGAATCCAAAGCCGCCGCCAAGGCAGCTGCCAAAGCGGAGCGCAAGGCCGCGAAACATGCGCGCAAGGTGGAAAAGTTGGCGAAGAAGGGCGGCGTGACCAAGTCCAAGTCCAAGAAGGAAAAGGAGGTGAATGGCAAGAAGGAAACGGAGAAGAAAAAGGCCCGAGCCGAGAGGGCGTTGGGTGAGATCGAGAACGCTAAAGACGAGGAAAGTGGCGAGGAGGAAGAGGATGAGGACGTCAAAGTCACGGCTGGGGATGTGGCTTCAAGTGGAGAAGAGGAAGAAGATACGACGATGAATGGTGTGGCGCCCGAGGACTCCGAGGACGAAGATGAAGAGGCCGAAGCCGCGACGACCGTAGTGGTCAAGAAGGAGGCCCAAGCACCCGTCGTGCGGCCTGTGGGTGCGCTCGTCCCCTTCGCGAATCCTCTTGCGGATGAGAAGGTCGCCAAGAAGGTGTTCAAGGGTGTAAAGAAAGGTATGTGTCACGGTCACTCTGCGTGTATTTGCGGCTCTTCTCCCCCTCGCCGAGAGGAACTGACCGACCATCTCTGTCTGATGCACACGCTAATATCTGTCCCCTGCAGCCGCGGCGCACCGCACCCTCAAACGTGGCGTCAAGGAAGTCGTCAAGGCGCTGCGAAAGTCCCCTTCCTCTCAGGTGGACAACGAGTCCTTACCCATCGGCATCGTCATCCTAGCCGCGGACATCTCGCCCATGGACGTGATCAGCCATATCCCCGTGCTGGCTGAGGATCATCACATCCCTTACATTTACGTGACTAGTCGGGCGGAGCTAGGCATTGCAGGCATGACGAAACGGCCGACCAGCGTCGTGATGGTGAGTCGCGAAGTGGGCAAGAAAGCGGCGGATAAGAAGGACAAGCCCGCGGAGTCGGGAACAGAGCCATGGGCAGAGACGTACAAGGGACTTGTCAAGGTCGTTGAGCGGGAGGGTCGGCATGTGAAGGTCTGATCCAGCCACGACACGAACCTAGGGCCTGTCTTGCGGGATTGGAAACGCGAATCGAGAGGTCAAGGGATCTCCGTCCATGACTTGGATGAGAGTCTCCTTGAGCCCGTCTTCGTCATGTTCGGGAAGTGAGGAGGACGCCGTGCGAATGCAGGGGACCGGACCGGACCGGACTGGAGTGGAGTGGAGTGGACGATAGTGCTGCCACCACCACTGGTTGCCGTTACCATCCCTATTTGGGATCTGGTCATAACAGCCATGGCACATTACGGGCGTCGATACCCACTGGATTCCGTCCAGGACTTCTCTTCCACGTCCAGCATGTTTTCGATTGAAGAGGCAACGAGCCAAACGAGCCAGATCTAATCGTCACCTCAAGTTCAATCAGATCAGCTCATGAGCGGTATCATGGCAGAAGGTACTGCCAATCCACCCAGCGCAAGAGCACCAAAACCCATTCCGGCAAGCTGTAAGTCATGACGGGACGGCAAATGCGATATGCTGGGCCCAAGGAGGTAGGAGTGGGGCCTACGCAGACAACGAACCTCGACTCTTCAGCTCTGGGGTCTCTATTCATTGTACTAGACGACTCTCTGATACTCTCGGACGGTGTGCGAGGGATGAGGCCGCATAACCGCCTAGATTCACCATGCGTCCGCGCGTCCAAGGCATACATATACATACCTATGGCGTTCTACGGAGTACGGAAGATATGGGCGTCTGGCATCTGCTCAGCAAGGAGTCACTTGTTGTGACCGGCCGGTCGTCCAGGTCCAGTGGACATTCGCCTCAATCTAGAGTACGAATCACCAAGGACTGGTGCCGATGCAGAGCTCTCTGCTTGAACAGAAGGCTGAGTAATTCGCCTAGCTAGCTGGGACGAGGCAGACAGGCAGGCAGGCAGAGGCGCAATCAACCGATCAAGTGCTCAAGTGGTCAAGTATACGGAGTATTCCGACCTTTTTGTTTTCCCGAATGTAAAACTGTACTACTTAGTACTCATACTCTTTCTTACACCCATACGTGGCCTGCTCCCTGAGCACGGTAGACAAAAGATTGTCAGGTCCCGTGAGTTTACCTGCGTGTGCATGTGTGTATATGTGTATGTACACATATATATCCATTGCATCCACCCTCTCAAACTCGTACTCGTTCATCGGTGGTGGGCCGTGACGTGGTACTTGAGCACAGTGGACAAAAGATTGTTCAGATCCTGCCAGTTTGCGCGCGCGCGTGTGTGCATGTAGGGAGTACACATATATACACATTGCGACCACCCCTATACATATACAGTAGCCTGCACCTGCAGTGACCAAGGGGGTCCAAGCTTTTGTCCTAGCCGTGAGGAGGCGACGGATAATATGTACCTAGGTAATGAGCACGCGCGTGGCACTGCTGGCAGTGTGGTCGACGCCCGACATATAATGACACACGCTGCTGGTAAAATTCCGACACCCGACATATGCTTTTTGATGGTCCCGTCCTGCATGTATGCTTTTCATTCAGTCGTTGAGTCACTAGTCCGCAAGCTCGGTCGCTCGGTTCGTTCGCTGGTCCGTTGGCTCTTGAATTCTTCATGTCATGGAATTCATGGTCTGCTCGGTCGTCATAATTTGTAGAATGTACTGTGTGGATCTGCAAGGTCTTACTGTACATCGGCTCGTCTCGGCTCGTGTCTTCGTTAGGCCCAGGCGGTCAATTGTCCGTTCGGACATTCTTTCGGCTTTTGTGGCGCCTTACGTCTGTGCTGGTCGTAGCCGTATTGTCACCCGATATACATGCCACGTACCCACTCGTCTGCCTGGTCATCTGAGATAGCGTTCATCTCATCGGAGATGCATCCAGGTCGAGTCACTGAGTTCGTACTCGGTACCGCCAATGTTATACTGTCTCCCTGGGACTTCCTGGCTCCGACGACTTTGGCGACGGCAGAGCCGACGACAGTCGGCCGCCAAGTCTACCGAAGAGCGACCTTGCGCCACCTCCACCCAAAGGGCTGAGACTTCTTTCTCGCCGCGAGTCCGGCGGCCGTAGCAGGCCCTTCTGCGGCGGGGACGGCAATGGCGATCCATTCGGGGTGGTAAGAATAACTGCTGGCAGAGCAGGGCTTTCGGTTGGTGAGATTGCGGAAATGTTGGAATTAGTCTTTTCCAAATCCCGAACCGTAGTTATCTGCAACTCCTCCGTGCGCCATTTTGTCGGGCTTGAGAATGGCTCTTCGAATTTTATGGTGCTGGACCGCAGACGATCTCCTGCCAACCCGTTTTGGGACGTAGACAACCTAGGCGGCATGCGGGTCGCTGCCTGCGAAGAATGTCTTCCGCTTGCGCCCTGCAGATGATTCGTGATGGTCTGGGACATTCGTCGAGTAGCTTGCATGAAACCTTGCGATCCGCGCAGTGAAGGCTCGTGGGTCAAGTCCTGTGATAACCTCCCTTCTAAGCTGGCAAACGTGGCAGACTTGTGCATTTCAGGTTGGACTTCCAGATGCGGCATCTTGTGCTCGAGGATCTTCTCCCTGAGCTTTTCGGACCTCTTGGGTGCTGGGATCGCCGCAATTCTGGTGAAGAACAGCCCGACGTGGGTCAACAGCTTTCTGAAGGTTTCGGGATTGTTGACGATGAGGATGAGTAGGTACGTGGGTACGCAGATCCCCACTGTGGTTAGCGCGAACGGTAGAAACCCGTCCTCGGGAGGCATGTTTGTCACTGTATCATGTCAGCGGATGGCATAAAAAGGAACCACAGACGTACTGCCGTAGATACCCGTCACGTAGCTCAGTGGAAGGTAGAACAGCGTGACCAGCGTCAAGAGCCGGATGTTATACCCTTGTTCGACCGTGATCTTGGCCATGCTGACAGCTTCTCTGCTTTCGAGGACGGAGGTCCCAGAAAACAACCATTCGCGAAGATTCTTAATCTGCTTTTGTTGGTCCTGGAACGTCTTGAAGACCTCCTCCAGTTGAGCAATCTGTTTCTCAAACTGTCTCCGAGTATGGATCAGCTTCTTCCTCCAGTTGTTGTAGCGCGGCGACTGGTCCCTTGTGCCCGGAAAGAGCGTCTTGTGTTCTCCAGACCAGAACTCATCTGTGAAGGTGTCGTTGTAAGTTGCGATGATGTCTCTTATTTCGTTGCTTAACAGCCCCAGTGTTTGCGAAGCCCAGAAGTAGCGACGTGAATAGGTGAATCTGTTGTTCTCAAACAGCAGTTCGTCTCGCAAGGCACTGTCGAAAATGCTCCTATTTGGCGGTGTTGCTAGCCCTTGAATCTTCTTGTGCACCACCTTGAACCGCTTAATTGCGTCTCGGTACTCGGACAAGAGAGTGGCCAGGAACGCGTCGGGCCCGTTACAGTAGTGATGATTGTGCTCATGTGCGTCCACGCTCGAGTTCCAGTCCGGAAAGCACTGTATCGACAGCACATGCCATGGTGCGAAGGGGTCGTAGACGTTCCCAAGTACCGACTTGCTCTTTCTGGAATTCCGCCGCAGCGTGTAAGCAGGATTCCCTGCCAGCGATAGGCCGACGACGGAGGAACACCTGCGAGATTCTGTTAGTCTCTATCGATTTGGGACCCGATTTCGAAATGCTTACGTCGTCAGCGGAATGTGGTCTTCGGAAGAATCCAGGTCGTCATCGTGGCTCTGCCAGTGAAGGGGAGCCCGTCCTTCTCCCACAATAGTGTGATATTTGAAGACAAACACAATCGATCGTTGCCGGCGCGGGTCCTTCTTCAGGTAGCCCTTGGTGATTGCTTTACTCGGGGTGTGGTCATCAATCAAAATTCGGTAGATCGAGTCCATGTCGAAGTATTCGTTCATGGTGAGGTGCAGCGCAGCAAAGAGGCTCGACGCGGGCTCTCGCACAATGATGATACGGCCTACGGCCTGCTTTCTGGAGGCATTGCTGTTGATGCTCTTCAAGGCTTCCCAGGAGGCCAGCGGGCCTTCATCCGAATCACCCCGGGATAAACGTACAGGAGCGCCATCAGTGCCAACGTGGTAGATGTCAGCATGTTGGTGATTAGCATCTGTCTGATGGTGCCTGTCCTTGACGAATATGCCAACGGAGAGCAAGTCAATATTTCGGAGAAGGTCCTGGAGGATGTATTTGCTGTAAATATCCCATGAATGTATTTTCAGGTGCTCGATAAGATCACTCTCTGAGAAGTCCTGTGGCGGCAATGTCTCCTGGGCGAAGAATGATTCGTCGTCGTCGCTGTCAGAACTGCCGTCTCCGGTGTATATTGAATCCTTGGGTTGGTGGGAGTGGCTGTGTTGCTCGAGGACGTGGCGGCTTAGGACCGAATGACTCGTTAGGCTGGTCGTCCGTCTTTTGGGTTGTTGAGGCTGTCGAGCAACGTCAGACCCTAGCAGAGACGATGTAGAGGCAGCAGACGGGAGAGACGTTTCGGTATGGCGAGGATCGTTCCGGTCCGGCTGTGACTTTAACGCCTGACTAAGAGTGTCGATGAGCTTGTCGAAAACCTTGCGGTCTGCTTCGAGCTGGTGGATCAATTGATCCACCCGGTCATCGTTGTCCGCGGCCATTGGAGGACAAGGTTGTCGAGGAAAGTAGCCATCCACAAACAGAGGGGGAGGCAGGGGCGGAGGAGGCTTTGGAGAGAGAGGATCGAGGCCGCTGGGTGTCATTTTATGGCGGTAAAGAAATGCATGACAAGGCTACAGCCGAGGAGGCGGGCGGCCGTAGCCTCATTGCTACTGCATCAGCGATCCTGGTGGAGGCTCAACGGGCGTTGAAAAAGGCTGACAAGCCCCAGTCAGGCGGTCTGCTGCCGATACTGCTCCATATTACTTGTACGCAAGTGGATCGCCAAAAAAGGCGTGGCGGGAACGTGGCAAATAGAGTGAGGCGGGGAGTTAGTTTGAAGCAGAGCCAGACAACAAGAACCACAAGTCCAACCAAGGACAGGACGGCACAAGAAACAAGAGTTCGTGTGAAGGGGCTGTGAGGCTTCTAGAAGCTGGGGGCGAGATGAGAGTGAGCGTGAGCGCTGCGAGCGATGACGCAGTCGGTGCATTTGCCGATGTCCGGGTAACGCCTGACTCATTTGCTCTTGAACAACGCGACAGGGCGATATGTACCGCCCGGTTGTGAAGGGTGTTCTCCGGAGTTCATGGTCGTTGGAGTTCGATGCTGGCTAGGGCGTTGACATCATACAGTTATAACCCTATTTTCCATGGTGCTCACCTCGCGAGTGAATGATGGTGATGGAGCTACTCGTACTTGTATCAACCACAACACACGGCAGCCTCCACAGGGCGTTCTTAAGAAGAATACGTATTGATCATCCTCGTAGTTTCTGGGGGCCGCCAGAAACTGAGCTTAATGATAATACCACTCTTAGCTATGTGCTTCGCCGTGGTACAGTAAGCTATACTTAGGTTATGCTCTCGTCGTGCTCGTTACCGGACACGCCATGTATTCTATGCAGTATATTCTATCGGTGATTTTCGACTTCCCTAACCAGACATCCTGTCGTCCTTGCTCATTTCTTCTGTTGATGCAGAGTGATGTTGGCGGTCACGGGTTCGTCTTCGTCCCCGTCTCCCTTTCCAAAAACGTCGTTGTCATTATCAGTCTCATCATGGTACTCGGATTGCTCATTAGACGAATCGTCGAAGTAGTCTATCCGATCATCGTCTCGAGCGAGGGTATTTGCAGCGGCTTGCGCTTCAGGGTCGTCACTGAACTCCGCTGGGGGACGGCCTGTTCGTCTGGTAGAGTCTCGGACAAGGTTGGCTTCTTCGGCCTCGAGCTCGCGGGCTCGAGCCATAGTCTGTCTGTAGATGTAGAAGCCCGTTGATGCTCCGATGATGGCGCCAAGTGCAATACTTCCGTAGTTGATGGCTCGATCCCCCATGGTCATCTTCTCCCTTGTCCGCGCGATAACCGCCAAGCGACTCCCGATAAAGACATGGACCAACAGTTTTGGCGTGACCATGGCCGTCGCCAAGGCATACGCGTAGGGGCTGACGGTAGGGAATGTCGACATGGCGCCGTTGGAGAGGGAATAAGGGAGGGGGCAGAGCCGGATCATGGCCAGGAGTTTGAGTCCATCGTGCTTCAGGATCAGACTGAATGCGGCGAATCTCTTGTCGTCCGCGGTCATTCGCTCAACCCATTTCCGCAACAGGCTCCTCGACACGATGAAGGCGCAAAATGAGCCGACCACGGTAGCAGAGGCCAGGATCAGCCAGCCCTCCCAGACACCGTACACGAACCCCGCCGTCGTGCCCGCGGTCGAGTACCCGATTACCGGAGGGAAAGCGCACAGGAACACAAACGCCCACAGTATGGTCCAGCCGCCGGTCGTGTGTTTCCAGCGCTCTGCAAGAGGCTCAAGCCAGCTGAAGATGCGCTCGTTGAAAACCAAAAACAGAATACCCAGCACGCCCACTGCGAGCAGACCGATGCAACTGAGTATCTTCTGAAATAACGTCATACCACTCCACACCTTATACACTCGGCGCCTCAACTTCTCGGTGTTATTGATCAGCTCGTCACGCCAGGCTGCCGACCGGCTTTGAACGAAGGGGGAACTTCTGCCGCCGGTGGATATGGAGCGTCGGGGAGGTCTCCAGGGACTCAGCAATCCGGGCGGTGGAGCTTCATCATCGGAGTCGGAGAGGGACACCTGGTTGTTGACCATAATGGCGTCCGACAAGGAGGGAGCTGAACGTAGTGAGGTCGAGCGAATCGAGAGTAAGCCCAGGACGAGATTGGACTCGAAGGGCTCGTCGGTGGTGAGGTAACAAGACGGACGGTGCAGAGCTTAACCAATACAGACAACAACCATTCTCGATGATGCTGATATAGGGTGTGATCGAGGACAGCTGGGGAGGAATTGGTACGCAGCCGTGAACGCAGAGATGACATGAACTGTTGATGATGGAAGCCTGCGGGCTTGCAGTTCGTACAGTTTCGGATCAGTGTCAGCCCGAGGTGCTTGTGCTGCTTCAACGGCGCGTGGCCTAAGGGCCTTTAGGGTGGCCCCATGGTACGTCACTGGCTCACGAACCGAGAGTATTAAGCTCCTGGGGACGCTGATCCCTCCAAGTCGAGTGCACACGCGGTACCTCGTATGAGGTAGATAACCAGCTGCGGAGGTACTATGTACTCGGCAAGGTTGAGATACTCGACTGTGCGGCTTGTACCTCGTACCTGCCGCACGGGAATGGTGCTTGCGCGCTTAGCTAGAATGGCATGTTCAGACTCCCTTGCGAGTACCGAAAGAGTTAGCTGAATCTCTGCGTGGAGGTGGCTTAATTAGGGGAACCCAGAGCTACTCGTATGGGGGACATGAGCGGGTAGCCTCCTCCTCCGCCATTATTCATTCACTCACTTACCCACCTACTGAACTTCATCTCCACGGCCTTCGATCCCGTGCGCAGCCCCTGCCCTTCGGACTCGCGACGAACACCCTCCACATCTTCCTCTATCGTAGCAAGCTCCTTCTCCGCTGCATGTGCTCACCGGAGCTTACCATCTGTTGTGCGAATCATCCTCGACCCTTTGTCCAAAGTGGCCGACTCCCGTCCAAGGATTCCGCCTCCACTCTCCCTCACGCCATCCACTGCACCCCAGTCCGCGAGTCTGTTACTCCGTTCACCACTCTCACAGTTCTACCCGGCAAGCATTTGCTTCATGAGCTTGTCTGTACTTCGCATCTCGGTACGTGCGATCGCGGTGCTTTGAGCGTCGAGACGTGGACGAGCAGCGAGGCTGGTCTGACCAAGCGCCGGCTGTGCCTTTGACAGAAGCATGCATCAGATTACTTGAAAGAAGCGATACAGCAGCTGTCTCATTCCCTACTCCCGTGTCGCGGTGGCATTGCTCGGTCAATCCAGAAGAAGACGTTCATGTCGAGACCCAGCCGTCACCTACAGGTCCCCCAGTCCTCATACACGATTGATCCAGCCAGAACACGATAACGACCGACATGATCTCTGACGAGCAATACGACCAGTGTCGTCCCATCTTAGAAGATGCGGCAATAGAAGAAGAGGACAAGATAGAGCGCCTAGAGGAGTTACTGGGCAAGGTGTGTGGTCTGAAGGGTTCTGCCCTGGAAAATGCTGTCCTTGACGCGTTATGGAAACATCGAAATGCTCAACGAGGGGAGTCGGCTGAAACTCCCCTACGACACCATGTCATTCGCAAGTCATCTCCCGCTCCGTGGCAGCTCAATCGTGCCCCGACACCCTTAGGATCCCCCCCTCCGCTGTCGTCCAGCCCCGCCATGTCGGCGGGCTTTCCAGCCTCTCGGCCGAGCTTCTCCCGGCAGAAGTCCAGCATGCAGTCACCGTTCGTCTCCCCCCGACCTTCGCCACGACTTGCTATGGCCCAACCGATACCCCACAGCCCTAGTCTGAACGCATACGAGTTCTCCGACGCCAGCCCAGCACCCGACATCTATGGAGATTACGGGCATGAGAATGTGGACTGGCTTCTTGCTGACGAGACAGCCAGCAATTCTTCCACAGCCACTGGTGGCCTCAGTGCCGCTGCGCCGGAATGGGTTCCTCAACCCGACATGAGTCCATACGACATTCTACGCTCCGTACTGGGCGACCGCAAGACCGACGATGAGATCGAGCAGGCCCTAAACAAGAACTCGTACGACTTGGGAGCCACCATCGCCTCTTTGCTGGGGACAGACACTGCGGATCAGCAATATACCGGCGTGCCAACCACGGAAGCCGGGGTGCTTGTCGGCAAATCTATGGCAGTCCATCCGGTTCGTCCCGCCTCTCCTAGCGCCCACAAGAGCCCTATAGTCTGCAAGTACTGGCTGGCTTCGGGCTCTTGCCTCCGTGCCGACTGTCGTTTCGCACACGACACCAGTGCCTATCTATGCAAGTGAGTCTGCTCACGCACTTCCTGTGTTTCTCGGTGCTGACGTTTCGCTACAGATACTGGATGAACGGTAATTGTCTTGCCGGAGACGCTTGCCAGTTCTCTCACGACCCGGCCCTGTTGATGAACCAAGTTACTCTCAGCGACAGCACTGCTACCCAGGCATTCCAGCTTCAAGACCAATATGATCAGTTTCCTGCACTAGGCCACTCGAACGCGAGGAGTGCGCTTCAGGCTGGCTTGATAGCTGGCAACAACTTCGTGCCTTCCAACCAGAGGAACCGGGGTACTTTGGGCGTGGGTCCTGCTTCTCGGCCTCATTCTCGACCCAATTCGCGTCACCAAAACCGACCCGAGACACCTTCCTCGTTGTCCATGGACGACCCCGACGCTTTCCCTACCTTGGGCTCGGCCAAACGAGGAGCCAAGCACCATGGACACCGGTCGAGACACGGCCATGGAAGCGCAGAGAAGGAAACCCCTTCTTCGCTCGCTGACGTGGTCCGCATGTCACCATCACCAGCACTCGGCCAACAACGTAAGGTCGAGACAGGGCGAAAGATTAGAACGTACGGTGGGTCTGAGAGCGCAGCAGCACGTAAAATACCCGAGCCTCAGCATATCCCATGGCTGGAGACTGGTGCTCGTGCCAATCAGCAATACCTCAAATACAGACAGGAGGCAATCAAGCATGGCAGCATACGCAATAAGTTCCTGCAAAGGTTAGTCGTTCGTCTGCTGGAAAAGAAGCGTCTGACAGTATATAGTGCGGCCCAAGCATGGAACCGCAATGACGCTCGCGCCGCCAAAGCTCTGTCCCTCCGGGGCCAAGCAGAAAACGACGCCATGCGCAAAGCCCATCGCGAGGCGGCTAAAGCGCTGTATGAAGAACGCAACAGGCATCTCTCTACGTCCCGTGTTGACGACGAAGAAGAACTCTACATCGATTTACATGGTCTCCACCCAGAAGAAGCAATCGAATACCTCGAGAACATCCTGCTCAGCCACTCCAACACAGGCCGACGGATTATCTACGCCATCACAGGCACCGGCCACCATAGCAAGAACGGAAAAGATAAGGTCGGCAAAGGCGTGCGCAACTGGTTGAATGAATGGGGATATACCTTTCGCGAGTTTAGTGTGCCCGGTGAAAGGGGAGGATATATTGGTGGTGTCTTGGGCATTGACATCACGAGTTATAGACGGCAGCCCGTCTCTGCTGACGAGAGAACTGAAGGTGAGGAAAACACAAGCCCGACACCCGCTGTGGCGACCCCTGTCGGGACGAAGATCCAGGTACTGAAGCGCGACGAGGTGCCCGCATGAAATGACCAGGCTGGTTGCTTACGGCTGAAGTTGGATACGCGGCACATAGAGCCTGGCCGTTGGGGCTATATGTGCAATTCCAAGCATGCTTCTGACGGCCAACGGCTCTACATAGTTGAAGCAGTCATGACTATCGACATGCAGTTGATTTGAGGGTATCGGTCAATCACGCGAGAAAGCCACTTCTCATAATGGTCCCTTGCACTTTTCCACGTACCAAACCATGGTCATCTTAGTTTACATACTCGCTGTCCCACCACGTCCCGCTCACTACCGCCACTGGACGCCGAACATCCTGGCAGCCTGCCCTTTGATGCCCCTCTCGGCGGCTTTGTTCTCCAAATACACAGTCTCGTGGCCTTTTACTGATAAACTCAGAAGTTGATATTCCAACCTGTCTCTATCCCTTGATTTTGTCATGTGCACAGTGACCACTCCTCTGACTCCACTGTCTTTGCCCTCCACGTTGAAATGCATCCTGAGGTGCGCGGTCCCATTTCTGTCGACTTCTGTCGAGTGCGCAAGGGGACGGGCGCGAGCCCACTTACTCGAGGTCGGCTCACCGTAGGCGAGTATCTGTGAGGAGGGGCCAAGCAGGGCGCGGCATTCAGGGGAGGATTTAATCCGACTGACTGCGGCGTTGAACTGGACCGTGGATGAGGAGGGGGCGAGGAGTTCCTGGTACAAGAAGTACGCCACGGTGATCTACCACACGGTCAGTAGAATGCCGCACTTTGAGGGAGATGCCTTACCGTCCCCACCAAGCCGAGCGAGACGAGCAGGAAATTGAACGTTTGCTGGGTTCCTCTGGCCGCTTTCTCGCCGGCACTCAACTCGCTCCAGTTGTACCGGCCATCGTCACTGGTGACTGTGACGGCGCGACGACTCGGCCCGGAGCTCGTGCTTGCAGATCTGGACTTGATCCGCCGCCCGAGAGACTGGCTTCGGCACGAGATCTGGTGGTCCGAGGTCGATGGGGATGGTCTTCGTTTCAATGTGGCGGTGAGCTCGCGCGGCCTAGTCAGTCTAGGAAGGCAGTTGCATGCGTAGTGCACTTGGTCGTGTCTCCGGGAGCGGCAGGCTTCTTGGAAGACGCGGGCCACGGTAGTCATAGTGCCGTCCCACCACCTCGAATCCTTCTCGTGCTGGAAGATGGCAGCAGTTGTGTCCTTCCCACGCTAGTCTGACGGTGCGGAGAGGCCAATCACGAGGCTGCGCTTCAAGTCCGGCACGAGCCGCAAGGCTGATGTTTGACAAGTCACGCAAGTTTGACTTCTCGCTCATCCCTGCGGTTGCTCGCGGTCCTACCACTAGCTGCCATCAGCTTATTTCCAGGTCGACGACGTCCTCTCTGGTGCAGCCTCGGTTCGCTATCAGTGCGTGCGGCCTGCATACCTCTCTCCCGACAACTTGGTCCTGTGACGATGATAGCGGGATACCATTGACAAATGCAATGTGCGGGCCCCAAAGTGCCACGTCACAACCCGGATTAAGAGACGAATCACGGTATGACTGCGGCCAGCTGCTGTCCAGCACGCTGTAAACAAACTGGCTGTCCCCTCTCCCCTCGTCTTCTCCTTGCATGGTCAATCACCCGAAGTGTGGTGGCCCGTCTTGCTCACTGGTTGCACGAGCATGTCCCTCGACCCGGACTGCCATCCTCGGGCCAGCCCAGCGCTCATCCTGCAGATCTGACAGCCATGCTGTGCTCCCATTGAGACGTACCTTGGGCTGAGGTGCAACTGCGTCTTCAGCAGTCTTGACGCTATGCAGTCCAGCATCCAATGTTTCCTCGCCTCCAGTACCGGAAGGATCTGGTTGTATCGTAACCGAGTCCTCAAGTGCGCGCCGCGCTTGGTCGGGTGTTTGGCCCAATGACGGAGATATCTGCGCGTCGAACCACCAAATCTTGGCCTCGGTGGATCGGGTCATGTTTCTGGCTACGATTACGACGGGAAGTCTTTCTGAGCAATTCGGCGAATGCTTGTCCTTTCAATTGGATGTCTCCGCCGTCTAGCGGCGACGGAAGACTACTCCCCCCACGGCACGAATCATGGCAATAGCATTATATGGGTCTTCTTGCTTCCACCCCACTCAAAGACGTTTTTTCGGCGGAGACGGTTGCGATGGCGATTCTCCGTATGTCAAACTCTCCGCTCTCGGGTACAGACAAGACTGACTATCCTCAATCCCGAGTCGCGCAGTGGCCCAGCGGTTGCAGAAAATGGCCAGGTGGCCCACCACTTTAGCACGTTCCCTCGACGAAGGAGTGCGCCAACATGACACCCCTCTGGCAATTGGTTGACGGCGGGATGGACGCGCTCAGGCAGGTCCGTCTGCAGGAGTCGCTCTATCGAGTCAGGAACGTCCGGAAAGCGATCACCTTATCGTCTGAGGAAGAGGCCACTCAAAGAAAGGTGCTTGGTATCATGCATGTACCCCTCTGGTGGCTCTATGCGCCCGGCTGGCTTGGGCTCAGGTTGGTAAATACCTCACAAGCGCCAAGTCGTCTTCCATTGGCAGCGTCTACTAGGTAAAGTCAAACGCTTCCCAGAGTAGGGTGTCGTTGGCGTGTCTCTTAGAACGTTGTGTGTGTCGAATTCCCTGCCTTCACCACGGCTTCACTGGTGGCTTTCTTTCGAGCACTTGACACCTCTCGCTTCTGACTTCTGACCTCTACACTGTGGCTACTGCCCAACGAGTCGCCCGAGAACACACCGGCGCCCGCGAACGGACGCATCAGTTGCTTGTGCTCAGGAGCGATGGCTTTCAATCACCAGAAGACCCTGATGGCTCAGGCCCGGGCCCGGGGCACCTTTGACACAGAAGCGCTCGCTCAGATCATACACGGAGGGGCGGAAGGCCTTCAGCAAAAGCGTGGCGCCTGGTCCAGGGTAGAAGAAGCAGTCGGCGCTACCGACCCTGACCGACTACCTGACCAGTATGCCTACACGAGTAGGGAGGATCTCTATCGCGAGGGTCTGCAGACCGGCAAGGCTGCGTGGATCGATGGGGTCAAGCATGGCCACAGCCTCTTCGATGTGATAACCCCACGTTACGGAATGTCCAACGCTAGTCCGTTTGGAATCCACTACAATCTGTTTGGCAGGACCATTGACCTGATGGGCACGCCGGAACAGAAGCGGAAGTGGATGCCATTGGTTGCTCAAGGTCGCGTCAACGGAGCGTATATTCAAACCGAGCTTGGCCATGGATCCAATGTGGCCGGCATCCAAACCACGGCCACCTTCGACCCTGTCGACGACGCCATTGTGCTACATACACCCCAGCTGGCGGCGATTAAGTATTGGCCCGGCTCGATTGGGTATTCTGCCACTCATGGCGTCGTCATGGCGCGTTTGCTCGTTCCCACACCTGCAGGAACAGCCGCTGGGAAACCGTTCAAAGATCACGGCATCCACCCCTTTTTGGTTCAGCTCAGAGATCCTGAGACCGGTCAGGCTACACCCGGTCTCGAACTTGGAGACATCGGCCTGAAGCCTGCGTACAATCAGAACGACAATGGTTACCTCTCCTTCGACCACTTCAAGATCCCTCGCACGGATATGTTGATGGGGCATTGCGCCCTGGACTCAGACGGGAAGTTTACAAGATACCTACCTCCAGAGGCAGTCTACGGTACAATGCTGTCTAGCCGGACATTCATCACTTTTGGAGCAGCGTTTCAACTGGCATACGCCTTGACTATTGCGATCCGCTACTCTGTGGTGCGTGAGCAAGGCAGCCTCCCTTTCGACAATCAAGGCAAGGCGTCCCAAGACATACCTATCATCGCCTACAGATCTCAACAATATCGGTTGTTCAGTCTTCTCTCCAGCGCCTATGCGATGTCGTTTGCATCAAAGATCACGCGCAAAATCCAGGACGATCTCGATGCGAGACTAAGGAAGGGTGATTATTCCACCGTCACTCATGCTCATGGCTTGATGGCAGGCGCAAAGGCCTGGTTTACCACTGTCGCCGCCGATGGGGCTGAAGATGCCAGAAAGTGCTGTGGCGGCCATGGATATCTCAACATTTCTGGGCTGCCGGACATTGTAAACATGGTCACCGCGTGCTGCACCCTCGAAGGTGACAACATGGTCATGTGGCAACAAACGGCCCGATATCTGATGAAGGTCATGGATGTGTTTGAAAGCGTGCAGCCTCGAACAAGGTGAGTGACGATGCGTATCTACCCCATAGAGCAACGTTGACCGAGTCCAGCCAAGTCCCTCCCGAAATTGCTTATCTCGCAAACGATCCGGCAATTTTGTGCGCGACCCCCATCGACCCTGCGTCTCTCAAGGACTTGCATCATCTCTCGGCGATCCGAGCACATTACCATGTCAAGACCGCTCACAACGCCCTGACGGAAGCCGTCAAAGAAGGGACGCCCAAACCACAAGCATGGAACTTGCACATGCTTCTTCTCATCCGCGCCGCACACGCGCACATTTCCCACTTCGTGCTGTCCTCGTTTTACTCGGCTCTCCCTACCATCAGCGACGCCAAGATCAAGCCGGTCCTCACTCAACTCTGCCATCTCTTCGCCCTGACTCAACTCTTCCCCCAGCTCCCGACCTCGTCCCCCACGACAGCATCCCTGCCGCCAGCCTTCCTCTATCCGCGCTTCGAAGTCATCGCCTCTCAACAAACCAATGCCCTTCTAGAAGCCATCCTGCCCAATGCCATCGCTCTGACGGACGCGTGGGATTTCACCGACGCAAGTCTCGCGAGTGCATTGGGCTGCAAGGATGGGAACGTCTACGAGAGACTGATGAGCTGGACGAGGCAGTTGCCCATCAACGCTCGGGCCAAGGAGCCAGGCGGCTTTGACACGCGCGAGAGTTGGGAACGGTATATCAAGCCGGCTTTGCGGATCGACCTGGAGCGGGGAACCGGCAGGAGGGCAGCAGACGAGCGATTCGGCGAGGGGATCAGAGCGAGGCTTTGAAGAATATGGCAGTGATGGCTTGACGCGCGACAATACTGTGGTGATTGTGTCTCGTGCGTTCTCTTTCGTCTATTCCGGAGTTCTGTGGGAGACTCTCGGCCTCCCCCTGGGTGGATACACTGGACACTCCTTGACATGTCGAAATGTATATAAGTATAAGGTATATCAGTGAGCAGATTGTACAGGAGGATCTCATTTGACTACGTAGTACGTGCTTACGAAGGAACCATATTTGAGTAAAGCTAGGGAGGCGGGTGTGTCAGGGATATCGCATGCAGAACTTACAATCATTGAGTCGGATTTCAAACTGAACCTGATGCGGGCTATGATCTGATCCGATCCGATCCGAGCTGATATCTTCCGAGGTGTCCTGACTGACCTGACCCCGCCAGACCAGGCGGGCATACATTTACTCCCCGTTGATTGATCTGTCCCTGATTGGGTCAATGTACAGTATGAACAGTATGAACGTACGCGGCGGGGAGGACAAGGACCAGTGGGTACCTAGATAGCATGGACGTGCCTTCCTACCTGCCTGCCCGCATGCCAGTAATCATGCGAGTATTTCGTTTCGAAATCGTAAATTCGAACCCATGGCCACACCCACATCCCATCACAATCATTGCGCTTCATTGCGCTTCGCTGCCCTGCAATTTAAGCGTAGGGGACTAGTGGGTCGGATCTTCTGTCCTCGTAAAGGACGACGTAGTTGGGGCAACTGAGGTGACACAACATGAGATGAAACTGAGAGACGTACCTTGGGTACCTAGGTATTTACCTATCAGGATGAGGCCTGCCGTGCCCCGGCACAATGGTAACATACCTACTGTATCCACGTACTCGTGTATCCACGCACTCGTACTGGCTTTCAGGGACGTCCCGGCTGAAATGGCAATTCAAAAGTCGAAATAGGGGACATCACTCACGTGCGCTCTCGCACCAAGTATGAGTACTCTCTCTACCGCGGGCAGCCTGTACCTACTGTAGCTGACATGTCCATGTCCCTGCACGCCACTTTGCGATATGAACGTACTGGTCCCGACCGGCATCCACCGTAATGTCCATGTCAGGTCCGCCGGTCTCGGCGTCGAAGCAAACACAACCATTTGGCGGCGAACAGGAACTGCTATTCGACCTGTGTAGTCAGAGATCTAGGTACTGTACGTGAATGTCTGGATTGCGAGGCTACTCGCTCGTGGTTAGAGTTTCGTCTAGTCCAGAGATTTTTCGGTTCGAGACACAGAGCTGTGTTGCGTGCTTTCCTGGTGATCCTGTGTGTGTGTCTCCGGTGCTGAGAAGCTGGGAGGCCTGGTGCCCTGGTGCCCTGGTGAGGTGATCTTCGTCGATGTGGTTTGGAACCGCCCCCAGCAGGGGGTGGGTGTCCGTCGCCGACAAGTCTGAGTCTGAAGGGAGGACGTTCAACACTGGGGGTCACACAATCGTGCCTCTCCATAGCGCAGACTACCACTAATTGGACATATCCCACAGAGTAGAATATTGTAGAGATACGAGTACCGTGTAGCGGTATGGACGGAATTAAAGCTCTTAGGACGGGGGAAAGAGAGTGCACCAAAGCTCGCAAGGCCACCCAGTCATCGCGGACCCTGCTCGGTCAGTGTAACGCCTCGGCTGCACTAACCACTCATAGCCCGCCAGCTAAAAATGTAGTATATAAATTCAAAGCACAACTTTCTTGCCACAAATCAGCCTTCGATGCGAAGACACTTTGGCGGAGTGGTTAACGCGGTGCCCTGCTAAACTAGTCGAGGCATTTCCTTCGGGAGCGCAGGTTCGAATCCTGCAGGTGTCGTGAGGACCCTCGAAAACCTGTATTGGCACCGCCGGGGCCTGTATAGAGGGTAGGGGGTGGTGTAGGAGCATATTTTTAATTTTCGAGCATTCACTTTGTGTGTGTGTGTGTGTGTATGCCGAGGTTTAGCCGGCGTACTTCACTTTAATTTCTCGGCTCTCTATAGAGTATTACACCTATACTTCCCTTGTAGCTATATAGCTATATAAGAAGCGCGGATACTTCCTCTTTACTTCTATATAGAGCCTTATCTCTCTCTCTCTCTCTCTCTCTCTCTCTTTCCACTGAAAGTACACAATACCAAGACCTGTGTCATCACTCCGCTTTACCTCTTACTCGACAAACAGCTGAGAACGAACACTGAACCCTCTTTAAATGACAGTACTCTCGATTTATGTTATGTCGTATCCCCTGTTAGGTGGAAGGAGCCTCGAGCAGCCTGATAAGGGGAAGAGTTTGACCCTGCATTTCATCCACGTGACATGAGAAAACCTCCCACCAACCCCACGGACCCCTTTCGTCCTGCCATAGTAAACAGTTCGAAGACACCGACCACCTACAGAATGATATCGCTGCCGTTTCCACGCTTTCACGTCGAACCATTGGTTCCGCGTGGATCTGAAGGGGGCTTTTGAGGCAGGTTCGGCATGAAGCCGTGGTAGTTAAAGAAATGATAAAACCGCCTGCGTGCACCATGCGGTGTGCTGGCTTCTCGGGTTCCGGCACTTGGCTTCATGCTCCGCTACTGCACAATCTGTTCCTTCTCGGCCTGCTAAAGTACTAGGCTGCCTCGCTTGCGCGTCCAGAGTAAGCCCCATTGCCCGGCTGTTCGAGTGCGGTAGCGATCCTTTCTACTGTCTAGAAATGGGCCATAAACCCCGACAGGGCGTTTCGAGGGATCTCGTTCTGGTCCCTACGATAACTGCTACGCTACGCTTCGTAGGACAATGGCAGCCACAGACCGGAGAGTTGCAATCGTCACGGGAGCTGCAGTTGGGATTGGCGAGGAACTGTCGCGGGGCCTGGTAGCGAAAGGATGGAACGTGACAGGACTCGACCTCGCCGTCCAGAACTCCGCGGCCGATGAGCTCTCGAAAGAACTCGGAGAGACGTTCCTCTTCATTCCTTGCGACGTCTCAAAGTACGATGAACTCGCCACCGCATTCTCAATGACGTTCCAGAAATGGGGCCGGATTGACGCCTTTTGTTCCAACGCGGGTTTCGTGGACAAGTCGTCCGTGTACCTGCTCAACAGTCGCGGAAGCATCGAGTGAGGTCGCTCCTCCCACGAACCCGAATGTACAATCCTGACGCGAGTGTGACAGGATACCTCCCGAGCCAGACCTTGCCTCCACAGACGTCATATACAAGGGTTTGATCTACGGGACTCAGCTTGCAATACACTTCATGCGTCAGAACCCGACACCCGGGGGGCATATTGTGGCGACTTCCAGTATTGCCGGACTCTACCCTATGGCCTCGTTGCCGGAGTACTCGGGTGCCAAAGCTGCTGCAAGTCGCGCCTGGTTCGAAGATCAAGCGGCGGGCATCGCTAACCCTGCCCCAGGTTATCGGATTCGTCCGGGCAACCGCACCCGTTCTGAAGTTGGTCAGCAACGCGACCAGTCCCGCAGATTGCCACAGCTGACTTGGAGTGGCAGCGCGACAACATCACTATCAACGCGATATGTCCCGGGGTGGTGCCGACTCGGAACATCCCCCAAATCATGCGCGACACCTTTGGAGTAGACAGGTAGGTGCTCACCACGTGATGCTAGGAGTACTGACCGGGCTCCACAGTCTGACTCCTCGATCAACCATACTGGCGGGATACCTGAGGTTCTTGGACGATCCGTCGCTGAACGGCAACATCATTGAAGCGTCTCGGAACCGGCTCCTCTTCACAGAGAAGCCTCCTTACGCAGACGGAGACTATTCGAAGCGGTCATCCACAGTCTTTGATCCCCTGTTCGAGTCGGTACATGGACAACCGTCGGGTCTCGAAGATATCGTTAGACCTCTACCCTGAAGCTGGTTCAGTGGCCACGTTTGTTGCTGAGCAACACGAAGAGCAAAGTTTGCTGCCAAGCAAGCCGCCATGGATGCCGTTCAGACGGATGTGAAGTGGAGCGAAGACAGGAAGCAGTCCAGTTTCCTTTCCTTCGACATAGTGACAGTCGGACGTGCCGATAAATACGTGACGGTTCAGGAGGCCTTCAGACAGCTATATGCAGATGGTGAAAATATGGTTCTAGATATCACGGTGGCACCAGCTAGCAGGAATAGTCGACTGGTAGGGATGCGGATATGATATGAATGCTGAGACAAAGGTCTACCTGATAGAGGCACGGCGGCGCGATTGATATATCGCGCAAGCACGGGACAAGGCTGGCAGCGCAAGTCTGTCATATTGGACGGCTGAATCGTGAGAACAGACGCCCTCGGGCGCTGGTCTGTCCTGTCATGTCAGCCCATCGGCTATTGAAGCGAGGTCCGGGACGAAGGCGAATGTCATATGAATCCGCCAATTGGCGCGGCTGCAAATGGGAGCGTGATACGGAGTATGTCTGTGCTTCGACTCTGCCTCTGCTGTCACCTCCAACCATGGCTTTACTTGCCGCGTTTCTCATATTGTCTACCATGCATTAATTATCCCGTACTGTGCACTGTGTACTGTATGGTACCCCGGAGCACTACGTACGTACATCCGTCTTCCTCCTGGTTGCTACCACACCCGATATTGGACCCCAAAACCTCGAATCTTTGCGGCGCCTGCTTATGGAATCCGGGGTTTGACCGCCTCACTGTTTACACCTAGCGCCAATCATTGCCTCGAAGCCTTATCTACAAGCATTGGTTCCTGACTCCTGATCTTCCTGGCTGACTGGCTGACTGGCTGATTAGGCGCACGGCCGCGGTGCGGTATATTGCTTCATTTCATGTCACCGAAATGTTCCCTTACCAGCCAGCACGGGGGCCCCAGTACAGTCTACGGGCGCGCAAGTTCGTGTACAGTGTACACCACCATACATCACGGCGGTTTGAATCCTTCTGTTCAATCTGTCCTGTCCTGTTCTGTTTCGAACGGTCCCGTCGCACCAGTCGCGAGGGGTTCCTGCCTCCTTAATCTCTTTCCTCGCCTGGCTGGGCATGGCCAGTGACACCAACAGGACCACCAGGACGGCTTGCAAGTGCTTACTATGTGCACGACCACACAGTGAGACGCCTGATGAACTAGCTACGGTAGAGCTGCGCAGATTATCGAAATGTGAATCGGGGGACTAGGACCGGTATGGCCGCCAAGGGGTCCGGCCTGCCGGCTTACGGGGCTGAGACGGCAAAAGGACGACAAGAGTGGGCGGATTGACCAGTTCATTTTATTGATCGATATACGTTGTGCAGGTAGTGGAGAGGAAGGAGATTTACCTTCCGCCTGGCTCTGGAACTGCTTCAAGTTGCCTGATATGTACTTACATTGCGTGAGTCGTGGCTTTGAGCAGTTCGACGAACACCCTAGTACACCATAGTAAATACCTGATACCTCCTCACTCAAACACTCCCACTCTGCCCATTTCCGATCCACACGCCAGTCGACAGTACAGTGTACTGTATATCGACCCTCTCGCAACAATGGCACGCACGATCGACAGATTCCCAGACCCGCCGGCCTTACCGAAAGTCAAGCTCATCGTAGCAAGTTGCAGCCGGTATGGCACCCATCCATATCGTACATACTACTCAAGCGGAAAAGATCGATCGTAGACGAGTGCTGATGTTCCCTCTCTTTCCTGACAGCACCGCCACGCTGGGTGTATACCAGGCGCTCAAAATCCTCGGGTACCGCCCCTACCACCTCTACGAACTGTGCATGGTGGGTGGCGACCCACATTGGGAAACCATGATCCAGGGCATGCACGCCCACCATGACAAGCTCTCCAGCCCGACCTGCCAGCCTCCGTACACGAAGCGCGAGTTCGACAAGTGGTTCGCCGGGTATGATGCCGTGGTGGAAGTGCCCTCGTACTTTGGCACCGACTGCCTCGAAGCATACGCGGCAGATCCCGAAGTCAAGTTCATCCTGACCGAACGGACGGCCCGCAGCTGGGCCAGGAGCTTCAATAGCTTCTGTGGCGGGATTGTGCGTGCGATCGAGCAGCCTTCGCTGAGCATTCTCCGACACTTCAGCCGGACGCTGAATTACTTCTGTATCATGAACGTGGATGCGTATAACTTGTGGTCTGACTCGACGAGGCCAGGCGACTCGCGCAACGAGGAGGCGCTGATACGGAATTATGAACGGTACATCAGGGATGTGAAGCGAGTGATACCCCCGGAACGGATGCTGGTGGTGAAGCTGGAGGACGGACTGGGTTGGGAGAAGATCTGTGCGTACCTGGACAAGGAGGTGCCGAAGGATGTGCCGTTTCCGAGAGCTGTCAACCATGAGGACGTGAAGGATAGGTGGCTGGGCCCGGTGGTGAGGGATGCCACGGTCAGATTCGTCCTGAGCGTGAGTCTGCCGGTTGTGCTGGGAGTAAGCGTGTGGTGGAGGTGGTCTAGGTCGAGGTGATTGAGCCTGCTCACCAAACGGGCGTCACATCATTGATATTTGAGCGATACTTTCGCCTTCCGACGTTGGTGTGTGCGCGCTACTTTCAGCCCTGCCCTACAGGACATCCGTCCTTGTTGTAAAGCAGTCGTTTGATTTGCATGCCCACTGGGCCTCAGAGGAGGGTGTTGATCTTGACGCCTTAACCTTGAAGAGGACGGTGATCCAGGTACTCGGCGGCAATCCGGATCTTACAAGTTCGTCAACTCGGCTGCGACTATGCTGTGTTACTGTGACGGGGCTGCTGAACCGTTGATATGCCGCTGAATGATGTGTTGATTCTTCTTACAGTAGCCGTTGCACGGTAGAGTGTGAAGAAGAGCAATTCAAGGCCCGAGTAGACCGCTTCATCACTTCATCGTATGTCTCTCTAGTCAGCGCCAGTTAGTCAAACTCCAATATCTCTTCGCCTCTCAACCGAGACTTCGCGTCACGCATTTATATCCCTGCACCATGTCATATAGGAGCATAGGTATGACGCACCTTCTCCAAGAAGATGATGTCTAGGTCCTTGTGCGGTCTGCTTCATTGGCAGCCGTACAGGTCTCTGATCTGAAGGGCATCTCGATAGTTAATAGGTCAAGACTGTGTGAGCTGAGTTTCCATGCGCAGTACGTTTCAAATAAGACTTTGGTATGTTCCTTCGCATTGTTGCACATTGGTTCAAGCCGGCCTCCCGGACGATCGTCACAGGGGCAAGTGTTCGATCTCAGCTCATTCCCCTTACGACTGTCCAGTCGAGGATGCCAGTACAAGTAGAACCACTTTGTTTCGAAAGGAAATATTGCCGGGAAGCATGGGAAACGCAATGGAGGGTTGTGCTGTGTCAACGCCAGTGTCTTCACTCACCGCAACCAATAAGCGCTTGACTGAACATTTCTGGCTGTGTGAACAGAGGCAGTAATAACATTACATTAGAATCAGATCTCATTGCGTCACATTCTGCTGTAGGCGATATTGACCCATGGGGAAGGTACGGCGAGCGTAGACACGTCTCTTGCCAAGCCGCGATTTCTGAACTCGGCCCCTAAACTTCTCGACCCTGCCTGCGCTTGATCTTGCGTACCCTCAACAACACCAACACAATTTCCCCTCATCAAGATGTCGTGGCGCAACCAAGGCATCACGGGCTCTAACAACATCCCTCTGGGGAATCGCCGTCGGTTCGGAGGCGATGGCAATAGTGACTCGCAGTATGAAAGCTCCAAGAACTCTCCATATGATGGCGATTCGGGCTCCAAGCGTGGGCGAAGTCCTGCTAGAGGTACGTTGTCCACCACCGGCGCACCACTGAAGCTAACTCCGTCCCAGCTGAACCTTCGGCCGACGGCGAGAAGAGACGTAGAAAGCGCAATCGTTGGGGTGATGCCGCCGAAAACAAAGCAGCCGGTCTCATGGGTCTCCCAACAATGATTCAGGCAAACATGACTGCAGAACAGCTCGAAGCGTACACCCTGCACTTGCGCATCGAAGAGATCAGCCAGAAACTGCGCATTAACGATGTCGTCCCGGCGGAAGCGGATCGGTGAGTGCACCACATCCGTCGAGTCTACACCCACAGTATCTAACAGACATATAGGTCTCCATCGCCTCCTCCTCAATACGACAACTTCGGTCGACGTGTCAATACCCGCGAGTTCCGCTACCGCAAGCGACTGGAAGACGAGCGTCATAAATTGATTGAAAAGGCCATGAAGACCATTCCCAACTACCACCCGCCCTCTGACTACAGGCGACCCACCAAGACGCAGGAAAAGGTCTACGTGCCGGTCAACGACTATCCCGAGATTAACTTCAGTATGCTTACTAACCCTCTAACTCTGCTAAAACTCCCCTTCTTCCGTTGTTCCATTCCACGTGCCGTCGTCTGCTCCTCGTGAATGCGGAGGTGGACCCTGGCATGCTGCACTAACCATCAATCTAACCATTGCCCTTGAGACATGCTCTGCTTTTAAAGAACCACAGACTAACACTTAGCTTCTTCTCCCGCAAAGTTGGCTTACTTATTGGACCTCGTGGCAATACGCTCAAAAAAATGGAGACCGAATCTGGAGCCAAAATCGCCATTCGAGGCAAGGGCTCGGTTAAAGAAGGCAAGGGACGATCTGACGCAGCTCATACCAGCAATCAAGAAGAAGACTTGCATTGTCTCATCATGGCAGATACCGAAGAAAAGGTCAACAAGGCGAAAGCACTCATTCACAACGTTATCGAAACAGCTGCGTCTATACCTGAAGGACAAAATGAACTCAAGCGAAATCAGCTGCGAGAACTTGCGGCGCTCAACGGTACACTGCGTGACGATGAGAACCAAGCCTGCCAGAACTGTAAGTCAACCCCACACCATGTGCAACACTCGTTAACAGTCTTAGGCGGCCAAATCGGTCATCGGAAGTACGACTGTCCCGAGCAGCGCAACTTCACTGCCAACATCATCTGTCGAGTCTGCGGCAATGCAGGTCACATGGCTCGAGATTGCCCGGACAGGCAACGCGGCTCTGATGCGCGCAACAATATTCCAGGCGGATTTGGCCCGCAGCGGCGCATTGGTGGTGGAGACGCTGTCGACCGAGAAATGGAGGTATGTTCCCTACTTGTTCCCTGGTGCTACGAGACACTCTTTGACACTTCACAGAGCCTCATGCAGGAGCTTTCCGGCAATGCTTCTGGCAACGGGCCTGCAGGTCACATCGAAGCTGCGCCAGCCGGCTATGACCGGGGCGATTCGTACGGCGGTGGCGGTGGTGGTGACTCACGACCATGGGCACGCCAGCAACCTGGTGCGGGTGCTGGTGGTCCTGCTCCATGGCAACGCGACCGACAGGAACGGGATTACGGCAATCGCGAACGCAACTACGGGCACCGGGAACGAGACTATGGCGACCGAGATGGTGGCTCGTCCCTCCCACCGTGGCAGCAATCCCGTGGTGGCGAGTCGCACGGAGCGTATGGAGCTGCCCCTGGTCAAGGTGCGGCTGCTCCGTGGCAACAGCAGCCCCCTCCCGGGCAGAACTACGGTGCCTATGGCGGTTATGCTGGTTACGACGCCCAAGCGGCATACGGTGCACCTCCTGCTGGTGCACCTCCTGGGCTCAGTTCTTTCTTGCAACAGTACGGTATGGCTGCAGGTGCTCCACCACCTCCTCCAGATGCAGGGGCTCCCCCACCACCACCAGATGACCAACCACCACCACCTCCAGGTATGGGCGATTATGTACCTCCGCCACCCCCATCAGCATGATCGGGCCAAATTTCTCTCTAGACAGTCGAAAACTAGGGAAATTGTGCCAGATAAGGAAAAGGGTTATGCCACAGGGGGCCGAGATGCTGGAGGAGCTGCAGCTAGCTTTTGGGAGGGAGAGACATTGCGGCGTGTTCGTCAGGCTGCGCAAAATTGAGCTTGCAATCGTTTGTTCCCGGAACAGTACCACGAAAAATCTTGTTAGCAGTGGTTGAAGAGTTTTTCTCAGTTCAATATGCCCTGGATCCTCCTACCTTAGCAACAACGGCACGGACAGTGGAGTGTTTATCGTCAATACACCTTCTTGTAACGTACGGCGAAGCACGGTTGTTCAGCTGTTTCAGCATGAATTGACCCATTGTATTGTCGTTTGATACTTGAGTTTGGATTTATAGCAAAATGAAGTGCAGAATGTTCTTTTTTTTTACATCCACAGGAACGCCCTTGCCTAAGCGACTCTCTGTTCGCAGACGAGTTGCTATTCTTCCTTTCCGGCGTCGAAGGCTGCCATGTACACGGCACGGTATAGGACGAGCTCGACTTTTAAAAGATCATTCCCCGTGTTGTGTCGAGAACCACGATCCCGCGCGACGACACCAAATCACGTGGCGCGCTTCCTGAGAATTGCCACGGCGAGACAGGCTGCAAGTATTCGTGGTGCTTCCATCGCTCTCGTACACAGTAGAACAATGACTTCGTGGAAGCTCAAACCTACCAATCACAGCGTCCAGAAAGCTGGTGTGCCGATTTCTCCAATAATGCCAAGGCGTCGGAGCGACTACGGTTCGAGGCGCTTTTGAGGCGACATCCATTGCAATGTTTCTTCTTCCGTCTTCGCAGCCTTCATCTCATCAAACTGCTACTGCTCTCGTCGGCTCCTCCATCCCTTGCCCATAACTCGGACCCAATTACATAGCACTTCGAATCCTCCCTTCCCGCAAAATGCCTCGTTCTCGCGGAGGTGCAGCTCCCTCCCGATCCGCTCCATCGCGGCCAACAGCTCCAGCTCGGTCTACAGCGCCACAGCAGCAGCAACGTCCTTACTCTTCCGCACCGACTGCACCGGCTCAGCAACAGGCCCACCCTCCTGCACAGACCTCTCAAGGCCCGGGCCTGTTTGGACAGATGGCAAGCACCGCAGCGTGAGTTATTATCCTCCCTGTTGCGGGGTCCTGCAAACTCGTACATGAAGCTGTGGAGACGGCAGTAAGATGCAGAAGCACGAATGGCTGACTTCTTCGTGAATACATAGTGGCGTGGCAGTTGGTTCCTCAATCGGACATGCCATTGGAGGCTTCTTTGGCGGTGGCTCTTCGTCTGCACCCGTCGAGCAACAACAAGCCCCAACTGATGCATATGCACGGACCGGAGACGCCATGTCAAACTCTCTGTATGCGCAAAATTCCGCCGCCGAAGCCCAAGGTCCGTGTGCCGCCGACATCAAGAGTTTCACCGACTGCATGAACCAGAACCAGGGCAACATGACCATCTGCGGATGGTATCTTGAACAGCTCAAAGCTTGCCAGCAGGCTGCGCGACAATACTAAGCTCTAGCAAGGGAGTTGATGATCTCGGCTTCGCTCTGAAAGTTACAACAACAATCAAATGTGTAAATAGTCATACATTGCAAGATTCGCAGAGGAAGCATGGTGTTGCCCAGAATACACGACTCACATTGACATTGTATTAGACGTGGGGACTTTGGACCATCGGGAAGACTTCAAGCCGCAAAATGTCATCACATCTCTCCACTCAAAGAATCCCTCTGTGCTGTTTGTGCTTTTCTTCCTTTCTTGATTGTATCGATATGGATGGGCGTGTACGACGTGGGCCTCAATCTGATGGCTCCTGAGACTCCCTCGTTCGGGGAAGGAACTACTCTGTCTGAGGACGTTTGTCGAATCCATTTGAACCCAACCTCAATTCGACTTCATTCCAACCACGCGTCACATTTCTCCAAGTACTCGTGTTGTGGGTTGGTTCTCATCCAGCAACAGTTCGAACGCCAGGTATCACCTTACTGAGTTGACCGACAATGCGCCGGAGACAAGTCGATTGTCTTGTAGGCCGATCTAGCAGGAGATCCTTCCAACAGGGTCAACCCGTTTCCACCTGTGCCTGGCCCTGGAAGGAACAAGATGTCTCCTGGGACCGTCAACTTCACATTGCATTCTCTGATTCTCATTGGCAGGGAAGGTAATGCTCAGAAGCTGTTGCTAGAAGCCAAGTCTCAACCAAACTTACCTTTACCAAGGTACTCCTGTCTGATGGCTCGCCAGGTCCTCGTATTGCATTCGACTGCAAATGTCAGCATGTCTGCAACCTCCAGGAAGGTTTCCGAGGGCTCGTCAAGCCAGTTGAGTAGTGCGGACGTTTTCCTGAGGAGAAGCAGAGCGTCCATGCATTCGACAATGCTGATATTCCCGTCACAGAGAACATACAATCCTTGTCACCCGAACCATAGCCGAATCCATGTGCCGATCGCACAACACTGCCGTTCAGGATGGTCAGATATGGTGAAGCTGCCGCCGAGCTGGTGAGCCTACCCACAGCACCACGAGCTTGGGGCTGAGCTGGCTCAAGATCACCACTGGACGACAGATGCGCAAGCAAATCTAGGGAAATAACGGTCAGCGACTGGTCCACGTCTCAAGGCCTTACGGAAGTACACATGGGAGGCGACAGCGCCGTAGGATGTTCCATGCCAAAGTCCACAGGTCTGGGCCCTAAGCCGAGTGCATTTCCCGAGCCGCGGATGGTCGCTTTCTGAAATGAAGGCTGATGTGGGTAACGGACCTTCGATTGAGAGTCCTTTTGGCCACTTGAGCGTCGCTCTTGGACTCGGTTTTCGGTCTATTTGAGGAGGTAATACAATGCTTTTTCCGTTTCTGGGTTCGGAAAACTGGGATCAGACATGCCTCGGCAGGATTACCGGCAATAAGGTAGGGCTGACCGTTGACCGTCGAGGTGGCACCAGCCAGCATTGCGGCTCTATCAACAGACACCATGCAAGGCCCAGCAGGATCGAGGGAACTGGCCTTCCGATGACCTTGGTTGGTCGGCTGTGCTTTTGCTGACCAAGGCAGTGTGTGCCTGGCGTGCAATGCGCTGCATACCGCCAGCTTGGTTGTAAGAGGTGGGGACAGGATGACTTGTCCACATGTTCCATTGTTGAACGAACATGATTACCTTTCTCCACCGGATATCTGCGAGCGTCGGGAAATAAGATAGGGTACCTTCCTATCTCGGTCTTTATCCACCGAGAACGAGAGGATATTTACCCCTTCTTGTCAGCGTCTGGCCCCAAAGAGTACCGCCTGGTAATATCTGGTTGGACGGCGTCAAAGAGGGCTGACAGTCGAGCCTCTTGCACACCCTCTCCCACGGATATGGCTTGCGGCTCGCAGTAGAATCAGCAAGGGGGCTAATTATACGTCTTTTGGCTAAGCAAGCTGTCAGTGGTGCACCGCTATTCGCTACACGAGATGTGGATTTGCGGCCAAGCCGAGTACTGTGTGCTCGTACTGGTGGACACACGCGCGCACACACACACACACCCAAGGCTCGTCCGTCAGCTTCGTCCGTACGCATTATTCGAGGGTCTCGTGGGTGGTCCCAGTGGTGGTAAGTTTCGAGGCCTCTCACCTTCGTGCAGGCTGAAGTTTAACAAAAGCAGCGAGCGACCCTACGCGAAGTCGGAGGATGGCTGATAATGTAAGCACCGTGAAACTGATACCCACTACACAGCAACATCTACCATGGCCCGACTTCGGCATAGCGAGAATGTAATCCTTAGGCACACAGGACGGACGACACCGTGGTATGGCCGTAGAAGAATAATTCCCCTGACCGGACGGAAATCCAGCCCTACGATATCTCCGGCAGTATGTCCGCCCATTTGACCCCTGAATGTAATCACGTTGCAATACGGAGCAGAGCGAATGACAAAGCATCAAACTCGACCGCCAAATGATTCAGTGCTTCGAGGCACGAACGTTAGCCTTCAGCGACGGGACATTAGTACACCACATGTACCGAGAGCGTTACTTCGGTGGTAGACGACTTCCGTACCATGCACAGTATCCCGACGGACGATGGGTTTCGTGGCTGCCTACCTCTGGAGTCCTTTGGTGTTGCATACAGATCACGCAGTCCACATCGTGATTTGACCCACACATATCATGTCAGAGTCGCGTTCCTGAAGGGTGCAAGACGCTGCCACTCAACGACAAATGTCACAGCCTCACAGCCACGATTGTTGACTCGGAGATCTGGGGAAGAACGAGGTGCGCAAGGGGGTACTCCGTGCTACTAGGGACACCAGTGATTTAGACGAACACGACGGCGCAGACACACAGGGGGGGTGACCACATGGCAATTTTCTAAGAATAAGCACAGCCTCCCTGGCGGGATGGGATGTGACTTGCCAGCGACAAAAGGACAGTTGCAACAACGCAATACGATTGGATGACACTGCCCCGTAAGGCCAGCAGGGCAGCATTCTTCCCTTCGAGAACATTGCTGCATCGGGTAAGCCGACCCTAGCTCGCTGTGCGTGTCTCGTCTCCTCGTACTAGGCAAGGTTCACGCAGCAATGCAACGGCGGTCCGCGATTATTTCAAGCCACACCAAGGCAGCACCGTTATTCACCCGCACGTTATGCCCAATCGAGGTCGGAGTGCGACACATGTGCACACGAACAGGCTACCAAATTGTTGAGGCGTCGATAATTCGAAACGATCTACGGAGTAGCATGCTTGGTGTCAATGCACTCTGAAAATCGTGATGTCGTGCCCAGGGAAACCGACAAGATATCGGTTAACGGCTGGCCTTGATTGGTGGGCAATACGCGGAAAGCTCGTGTACACGTCGGTTTCGTTTCTGCTTTGCTAGCTGTGACTCGGAGCCCTACACGGGTATTGGCGGCGCCAGCGCACGAATATTTCGTCCATTGGGTCTTGGTCACTTGCCTGTCTGGGTCAGTATGCCTCGCAATTAGGTACACCAGACTGGACGAATTCGGGGACAGGTGTGCATTTCCGTTGTGTATTCTCGTGCACAACGGAAACTCTGCATTGGATTTTCGTCGACAGGTCACGAGCCATCACGGCTGGGAACTAAGAGGACTCGGAAGAGCGCATGCATTGTACTTCCCTGTTCTACAACCTCCGCAACGTTCCGCTTGTTGCAAGTCATGGGATTGAGGACGCCGGAGGTGTAGCTTCCTTGTGAAGGAAACAGGAGCTTTGTGCAGGTGGTGGCCGTCAAATGATCGGTGACTACAACTGGGAAAGCAATCTGCACGTTGGCATAATTATTGTTCGGTCGAAGTCGGTCAATCGTGTGTGCGTGCGTGCGCGAGCGAGCGAGCGCCGGGGTTTTCGCACGGCTGCCATGGAGTTTGCGAAAGCCCGTCAAGGGGCCGAGCCCGCGAGAAGTCAGCAAGCGCACACAGTCAGGCGGGCGCATAAATCTACCTTGCGACCGCTGCTCTCCTCCATCGGGAAGATGTGCATCAGTCCCGCATACGAGCTAGCCAGGACAGGTAACAGGAGGGAAAGCACAAGCATGGATGACAACCTTTGTGCCCGACCGACTCGGACTCGGAAGAAAGCATCAAATCCGTCCGGCTGGTCGGAGAACAAGTTGTCAACCTTCCAGGAGCTCAGCAGATTGGAAGCGTTCCACCAATGGAAGGCGACAGGCTCGCTTGTCTGCCTGGCACATCCCAGGCCGACAGCCTGGGGCGGCCAAGCTGTCAAAGCAGCATGACCCCTCGTCCCCGAGGAGTTTGGTGCATTAGGCGAGCATCGTGAGATCGGGTGCTCGCGTATTGCTCCGAATACGGCGAATACGCTTCGTCGAGCACGCCCTCTTTGGCTGCCATTATGAGTATGGGGTACCCAGACCAAGGACTGCTTCTGGATACGAAAGCGAGCCCGAAAACGACGATCAGGGCGACCTGCCCACGCAGGCCATGTGGCAGAGCAGTTGTCGCAGTGGTGGCTTATCGTTGACCCATTCCTCAACAGGCTCGAATTGACAATTTCGAATGGCGGTCGCCTGCCCTAGAAAACAAATGGAATCCATTCTTGCTGGGATGTGGCGGGCTTCAAAATACAGGCAGCCAAAGATTCATGCAGCTCAGCCCGCCCGCAGGCCACGAGAAAATCACTGCTGGAGATACGAATGTGAAGACGTCTGCAGCACAATTGTACTACCGTACGTGAAGGGCGCGCATTGAGATCCCAGTACGAGTGAGGTACCTTGTAGAGGGGCTGTAGGCCCCGCGTGGTGCCTGTAGATTTAGGTGTTTATAGGCGGGGTAGGCTTGCCATAGGCGACGCATTGGGCGACCTGAGGCAGTGTTCTAGAGGCGTCTCAAGCTGCCCCTCAACCCTCAGCGCGTGTTTCAGGCCGCTGCTAGGCGTTCAGCTCGAGCCCGAAAATCCTGCCTGGTTGGACGTCAGGGTCTAATAACGAGACCTCGAGTCCATCGGCTGGTCGTCAGGGCTGACGGGCTCTCCACCAATGTCGATGCCACAAACACATTCTGCTTGGAGCAGCCGTCTGGATGCCCTTGGCTTCATATTGACACGGGGCGTGCGATGCATCAGGAAAGCGCTGCGTATGCGGACAGCAGCCAGGAGTCAAAATGCAATGCTGCCAAGTTACAAGTTACAGTAGCGGTCGCATTCTCACATACCTACGTAAGGGGGGTTTTCCCTCAGTTCACCCGGTTATTCGCGCTGCGACATGACAGTGGTGACAACATTGTCCGCTGGAGTCATGGCCGGTTGGGATTTGGAACAAGATTGGAAAGCCTGAACGTTTTGGGCAACCGCAGTTGAATACGCAGAGCAGACAGTGGTGACGGGATGATTCGGATTACGCGAGCAATGCTGTTGCACTCAGTCCAGAACGTTTGACCGCCAGTGACAAGACTCATGAGCGTGTGGCTTGCCTGCGTTACAACACATGGCTTACGAAGAGAGCCTGAGGAGATCGAGTCACCACGGCGTTAGGCGGTCGTCATTGGCTGCTGGGTGGAGTAAGAGCACGAGCGCATTTCTCAGCAGCTCAGCGCTGTCTCCCAGGGGATGCGGGTTCCAGCTGCATCTTTGGCAGCCCGCGCCCTGGTCAGGCTTGTCCTCAAACTGCTCAATCAGGGCGCATCAGGAAAACAGCGAGTAATCGGGAAAGGCCTGTCATCGCAGGCTACAAACGGCACAACCTTGTCTGGGCCTCTGGCCTTCGGGGCGGAGATCAAAGTCATCCTGTGTACGTGGTGCCAGACCGACACGGCCGTGGACATGGAGATAGTGAGCAAATGTCCTGAGGCAGAGGTACATTGCGACAAAAGGGCAGTAAGCCAATCAGTCCCGGCGAGACACAGGATGCCGTAAGAAAAGGGAGTGTACAGGTATGGGCGTAAGATCAGCCCGGATTCAGGGAGCCAGGGAACGAACGAGTGGTGGTGCAAAGGCATTACTCTTCTCGGAGCTTACTGCGACGCTTGAGCCGAAACTCAATAGAAGGGGATAACAAACCCTCCGAGAGTCAGGCAGCCGGGAAAGCGGACTGTCGTAGAATACGACAGACGGTCGAATTGACACGAGGACCGGCCGACAGCATAACGTTCTGGCAGGCAGGGGCGTCATCACTTCGGGACACAAATGGTGTTGCTGCTTTGAACCAGCAGACCGACCTGTGACTGAGCATAACGATTCATCAGCACGAGGATCCGCCAGCGCGACGCTTACTCCATTTGGGTGGAAGAACCTAAAGGCCGAAAGCACGAGTTGCACCGCCGGGTCCGGGTCCCCCAGCCCTGTTGACAGGGGGGTTGTGTGTGACCAGGGCTGACCCTGGTCGTCTCTGACCCCTGCTAGGCGGGTCGGTCGGTGGAGTTTAGGAAAGTACGCTCGGATTTCTGATGTGTAAGGCACCTGCGATGGGATGCATAACACTCAGACTCAGCACACCCAAGGCCTCTTTACAAAAGAACGCGTCCACCCTCACCTTAGGCCACTTCTTTTCTCTCCATCATCAACACATAATAGCAAACAACAATCAACAATCAAGAACAACATTGATGAAAAGTCTGGCACCAGCATTGGACTTGCATACCACCACCACTACCGAGTACCCACAGCAGTGACTCAGATATACCCAACACCGACAATTAAAATGCCTTCCTCGGTGACCTTTTCCGCTTCCGCAGCGACCACGAAGTCTTCTCCCCACTCCATCTACACCCGCCCTCAGAAGAAGCAGAAGATGAGCATCACGCAGACCTACTTCCTCGCCCACAGCGCCCGCGGCAAACTCTCCAAGGAGGCTGCCCGGCCTGACCACGACCTCCGGCTATTGGTCGGACACGCCAACATGCTCGATTCTCTGATGCTCGACCTGGCAACCGCCGAGCAGGAGCAGGAGCGGTGGTTCAACAACATCGTGAACGGATCTTCGCAGGAGGAGCAGGAAGAGAAGAGCAGTCGGCATGTCGAGACGATCGTGGAGGAGCCCGAGCACGACTGGGAGGCCGAAGATGCCACCAGCTCTGACGAAGAGTCCGACGATGAGGATGAGCAAAAGCCCAACACCAAAGTCACCGCCATTGAAATCGACGACTCGGACATGTCGGAAGACGATGACGATGCCACCAGTGACTTGGCCCTCGTCCGAACAGCCTCGCGACACTCTCCCCCCGGACTCAGCCTCGACACAGATTCCGACTCGGACGACGAACAACACATGCCACCCTCACCGCCCACCATGACCATCGAGGTGCTGAGCGAGAAGCAACGACAAGCCATTGCTACCACATCATACTACGACGTCAAGGACGCCGCCTCCTCGTTATCACAGGAAGAGTCGGAAGCCTTTGAGCAAGAAGGCTTCTACCTCCCTTCAAGGCAACAGCCGACCATAATCGCTGCCTACTAGAGCAGGTTGATTGACCGACCCTTGAAACGACTCTTTGGGGACATGTGATACCCCACCGGCGGCGTTCTAGCGACATGGCCACGTCTTTACGAGCATGGTGTTTGGCAATTTGTTTAGCGGCGATTCTACTCACAGATTGGGAATCAAAATTGTATTCAAAACGGATGGGACGAAGGACGACAGGGCCAGGGAGGAGAGCAACGGAAGCTGGCATGCGGGCATGGACGACCGCGAACAGAGTGGTCATCCAGTCCACGTTGTCGACCCGGTAGTCGTGGCTTCAATGCCAGCCCGGGAACACAATCGGGGAAAGGACGCCGCCTGTTGAGGTCTCTACGCTCTACTGCACAGCACTGTCCTTGGCTTTTGACGTTTCTGGACGTTGACTACTAAAATCCACTCTACGAGCATGTATGTACCAGACTCAGGTCAGATAGTTCTCCCTATTTGCGAGGTCGAGACATTTGACACTAAATGATATAATTCATCTGAACAAACATGAAGCCTTACCTTACACAATAATCTTTCTTCTGCTTCAACCTCGACACTACACAGTGTACTCCTCTCATTATTGCGAAATATGTGCTTTTGCGTGCTCGATACTGAGGTATCCTCGACTGCAAGTGCAAGTGCACCGTATGACACTGTGTGTGTGTGACTTGTGACTATCTGTGCGTGTACAAATTATCGCCGGTCGCTTGCTGGGTGTGCTTGACTCCACCTCACCACAATCAAAAACTCTCCGATCGTGACTGATCATGAAATCACTTGGGCGATGGGACTTTCGGCACCGGATTTCTCACACACAAACACATTCCAGCCGAGTGCGTGGGTGCGACTGTCTCGCGCGCAAATGTGGAGCACGGCCAGGCGCGAGACTCTCGCTCGGCTCGACTTTGCGGCCGAAACGAAAGTGACCAGTGAAAGTGGACGGCAGGGCGTGCAGGGCGTGCAGGGTCAGATTAATTATGTTATTCAGTGGTGCCTGGCTGCCTGGCCCTTTGGTCGGGGTTTGTGGAAAGCGAGGGCGAGGAGTCCACGTTTCGGCCCCGAGGTGGTCAGCGTGATCATTCTGACGACCGACACCTGACTGTGCTTTGTACGAATTAAACCCCTTCTCGCCCTGATTTCTTAACCGTGCTTCGTACGAAATAAATGACCGATTGACTCCGTACGACGGGCGGCTCGTTGTTCGTATTGGAGGAATGGATTGATTTATGGATGGCATTGTGATTAAAAATTGGTCCGCCTTCTGCTCGCCCTCCCTTCGTACAGTACTGGCGGCGTTTCAGTTCATTCCCGACGCAACGGAGTACTAAAGTTGATTTTCTTATCCACCATCCCATCAGCGCGGCGAGGCGACGATGGGTTGGATTTCTAACCGGTCATTCCAGGTCAGTGTGTTCCGCATGGCAATTAGTTAAACTAATCAAATGGCCGAATTGCACCTGGTAAGCAGATCATGGCTTGCCTTACTTTACCCAGTACTCCGTACGTCGGCCGGACGCAGTACATATGAATGACTGCCCGGGTGACTGGGTGACTGACTGATCACCTAATTACGTACTCGTACACGCCGACAGTGGGTTGGTTTTTAACCAGTCGTGCCAGCAGCCAAATCGACGAATTGCATACTGTAAGCAGATTCAGATCATAGGTAGGTGACCAGTGCGAAAAATTGTGGCGTGCCTTAACTGTACACAACACAGTACGCCGGCCGGACGCAGTATCGTGAGTGACTAAATGACTGATCACCTACTTACTGGGTACTCGGGGTGCTCGTGCACTAACACTGGGTCTTTCCGGGTCTTGTCTGGCTGTCTACCTGGCTGTGTCTCTTTAGCTGTCTATCTGGCTGTCTACCTGCCTGCCCGGCGTCAAACACTTAGAAGCCACAATGAGCATGAGCATGATCATGAGCACGAGTACGAGCATCCTGCGTGCGAATCGCGGCTTGCAACCTATCTGTCTGTCTGCCTGGCGTCAAGCGCTCGGGAGCTACGGTAGGTGCAGTTCCGATGGATGAGCATGAGCATGAGGCATGCGAATCGCGGCTTGCAAACGCATGCGATCCGGGTATTGATCATTTGGCTGTCGTCCAGCTTATGGAATTTCACAGTGTCTCCGGAGTACTCTCTCCATCTGTATGCCTGGCGTCAAACATGCGGGAGCTACAGTGCATGCAGTGCCGAAGGATGAGCATGAGCATGAGCATGCGGCATGAGAATCGCGGGCTGCAAACACATGCGATCCGGGTATTGACCATTTGTCTGTCGTCCAGCTTACGCAATATCATAGGCGTTCCGGTGTACTTTCCCGGCTACCAACTCGTCCTGGAGACGGGTTTCCCAAGCAAAGAATAAGCAACGAGCAACGAACAATGAGCGGCGCGGACACCCTGGGTAGACATTTCACCCCGGATTTACTGTACTGGAACCGGCTTGAGCGATACGATGTCTGCGCCGATCCCCGTCCCCGTCCCCCGGATGTGCGGTCAAATTTGTAAGCTACAGTATAATTTCGGTGGCGACGACGATGAAAAGGACAACCGACTGACGTTTATTCCAGGTCTGGATCCCTGCGTCTAGTGACCTGGGTAGTGGCCTGCTTCTGCTTCGGTCAGTACTCAATTCCGAACATGCAATCATCACTCAACACCGGCACCGGTCATGATCACGGTCTCTGTCCCGACAGTTTCAAGCTGCTTGGTGCTCGAACCCTTTGATTGATCAACCCCGATCCCTCGACGCAGATTGTGCAGATGGCGCATAGAGCAAGGGTGCACGATCACGTCTCCCCAGCCCGGGTTGTGTACGAGGTGCGCCCGAGAAAGTATGTACTCGATCTGACTACGAGACGATTGCCATTGCACCTACCTACCAACCACCCTACCTACTCATGAAGGCGCCTGGACCAGTCACATTCTGCACACATTCACGACAGCCTCTCGGCGGCGTTCCGTGTACCGGGGATGTACTTGTGCTTAAGGCCATACACCGTTCCACAACATATCTTTACGCGTCTCGATCGGGTCTCTGAGGGGTGATCAGGCGCCTGGGCGGTCCTCTATGATCTCGGGTCCTTCGCCAGCCCATCTCATCCTATCCGAGATACAAGGTCGTGGTCCATGGTGATCCCAGGCAGCCATGCTGGCATCCGGTTATCTTTTCCAACATGACCACATGCCGAGAGAGGAGATTAAGATGACACGAGATGACGTGGTCCTATGAGCGTGGTCGCGGTTGGGTGTCAGGGCGAGCGAACTCCATTTGTTGACCTGATCAGGCTTTTAAGGCCCTGTTTCTGACCCAAAGCACTGGACCGGGCGGTCGGAGGCCTAATAAAGATTGTGGTCTAAAGGTATAGGACAAGTTCTCGACTCACTCGCACTGGCTATCCCAGCAGTATTGGCGATCATTCCCTCACTTAAGATGCTGGAGGTGCTTGTGTGCTTGTCTACCGGCACAGTCAGTCGGCACTCGTTGCTGGGTACAGTGTACCGTGGTTCTTACTGGCTCGTTTCACTGTTGTAGTCGATGATCCTTCGGCGATGGATGTCCTGGACTCTCCTTCTCCGTCGAAACAGCCGTTTCAGGCGTCAACAATCATCTGGTTTGTGGTCAATTCTGTCGCGATCCGCTCAAATCATGTGTTTAATTCTCGCTGGCTCACGGCTGGGGGCCAGATCTGATGGCTCCACTCAGTACGGTACTCCGGCATTATGGTACTGTGTTAGATTGCTTGCTGTGTGCAGTGAGAGTCAAAGACACCCGCGCCAGGCCGATATGCCATACGCAACGATTCGCTGGTCAAAGTCGCAAGCACCACAGGTCGCAAGTACCACAGCCGCAAGTCACATAAAAAATCGTTTCTCCGTCTCGGCCGAGCTGAACGACGGACTTCTAGTGCCTTGCACACGCACTAAAAGTACATCCGGATCAGAAACTCCGAGGACGATCGACAACCGAGTGAACCGACAATCCACGATCGCCGATCCTCGAGTTACTATACGAGGTACGAGGTACCTCCATACTCTTACTCGTACGGATCGTGGATAATTATCAAGGCAGACTCGTGAACTGCGAATCCTAAAGGGCATCCATCCGGCACCTCTTGTAATCCGTCTTGGCTACTGCCTTTTTGGACCCTGCTCTTTCGGTCCTACACAGTAAGCTCCCAAGCTCCCTCCGCACGCAAGGTCTGCCTGACTGCTTGCACAGCGCTGGTCTAGTCTAGTTGGACTAAGGAATCCGTATTGAGCAATGTGAGCACTTAATCACCCGTACAGTAATATGGTGTGTATAAACCAGTATGCGAGCATCACCATCATAGTCAGCGCCAGTGCTTGCTCGACTACCGTGGAGGTGACTCGAGGATCCCTACAAGGTGCTGGGTTGGGTGACTGCACGGCCTCACACCAACGCAGCGTGCCCAACATGCCCAGCATGCTTGCTCGATGGCTGACTGTTCAACTCCCACAACACCGCGGTCCAGCCGACTTCCAGGAATCATGCGAGGGGATTGCATAATTGCCGTGCAGCGGCGCCGGGATACCAGCACCAGAACGAGCTGCTCTACGGGTAACTGTCATTAGTGGATGACTTGTGTGGCCTGTTCGTGAACTATGCCTGTCTGGTCCTGATCGTGATCGTGGTCGTGGTCGTGATGGTGTTGCTTGTTCTTCCGTGGGGTATTTCCTGATCAGCTGGAGCAGGACCTGATAACGGTAGTGATGGTTCTTACCGCGTTGTATCATCGAAACGGAGAATGGGCTCATCCTCATTCAGGGTTTTGTAATTTATTGGTTTGACGGACGGTATCAGGGTCCCTGTGTCGCCTACGAGTAGGGCTACCGATACGGGGTGATCCAGCCACAGCCACAGCAACGCCCGGAGTCAGACAGCCTTGTCGTGTACTCTGTACAACTGTATACTCCGTATCTCGTCCTATACGCGTTGAGTACAACGACTCCCATCTCTCACCTTTGTTCTCCTCACACCCTCCCCATCACGACCTGCTATACCACGCCCAGTTGCCCGAGACACCCGTCAGCACCATCCCGGACACCAGCGACATGCCCACACAAAGGAGTTTGCCAAAACCTGCATCAACCAATTCGCCGCCCACGACTACCCAATTTCTCGCTCACATATAACCCGACCTACAACAATGTCCCTGCGCTCAATGCGTCCACTGTGCCTAGTGCCATAATGATCGAAGGATCGTTGCCGTTAAGATGGTCGAGCACGCCTAACCCGATGGCCACACCCAGTGGTGTGATCCAGGCGAACGCTGCGGCAATCAGGAGTTTGTGTATCATAGGACGCCGCGAGCCAGATAACAGCGCAACGCGTGAGCCCAGCGCAAATCCTTCGAAGAACTGGTAAAGACAATAATAAGGACCGGCGTGATGTATTACGAGTCCGCTGCCACGACGAGGGTAAGTCCGATCAGAATGGAATAGAGGAGGAATCCGGCTTCCATGACTAGGACACTAAGGTACGTGTTCGGATCGAGACTAGATAATAACGGGAGATAGTGATCAGTATATACCGTCAAAACAGGCCTGGCACCGTTTAGACCGGTAAAGGACATTATATACTCGGGGGGACGACTCCGAGCCGCCCCTCCCAATATAATTCTCGACGCTAGTATAGAAGTGGCAGTCTTCTCCCTCGGCTCCTATTATATAGGCACCTTTATAGTCCTTATAGATATGCGCTTTAGGGTATAATGTCGCCGAATCCGAGACCAACACGTTCTGGGCTTCTGACTTGATGCATCGCTTATACCACATGCCGGCGTTCGGAGAGACTCATGTCGGCCATTATTCAGAGGATTACCAAGGCGTGCTTGAACTAGCAGAGCACAATTCAACATTCTCGACTAGAGACAGCGATGCCCTGCAGTATTTTGCTTTGGAAGTGTACGCATTTGACATTGCCGTCCCCGGAGTCGGTTGCGCTGGACCGAACAGCACCACAGCAGATGGCAGCGCTACACCGACGCAAGAGCCTGCATCGGCATCCACCACGACTTCGGCGGCTGAAGTGAGTGATTCATATGCATATTGACGCCCGAGGCTAACAGCCGCCAGGAGTGCCGTACTCATTCGGATGGCGACGTGCATTGCACTTGAGATCAGTCGGCATACCTTGGGCAGGACTACCACCGCAATAGTTGACGGCAGAGAATGTAAACAACATCAGACGGGCACGCTGTCTTCCGTGTAGTGGATGTGTCTGGACTTCTGCGCGGTCACCTGCTCATACGGTCCAGTCCACCAACAGCTCTGGCTGCGAAGTAGCACGTAGATAGTACACACATCTTGAGAGGACACAAGGAACCATCATAACCATGACTTCTGTTGCTGCTCAGTGGGGATAGTGTCATATGATTCGCCCGACTTCATTTTGTGTTGTCAACTCGGCTGCGGCTCGCGCGCTGGTGTCCTTACTACAAGCGACCGATACGAAGCATGCGAGCGTCATGCTCTAGCCGGTTCGACGAGAAAGCAGATGGTAAAGAGAGGCGAAGGCAAGGTGAGTTGAGGGTAAGGTAGATTTCAATGCGGCAAAGTTGCTTACCACAGTAGACCGCCAAGACAGCCATCTCCGAAGTTTTACCAGCTTCGCCTACGAGCTTCCAGGCTTCTTCAGATCAGTCTGCATTTGTTTGGTCAGTTACAGAGTGGTCTCGCACTGTCGACGATACGCAATAATGGCTTCTAAGAAGGATATGCGACGGGCCGATCTCAGTACGTGAATGCTCTCAGATTCTTGGATCAAGAAGCGCTCACAGATGACCTTCAGTCATACCATATACCGAGCCAAAAGATGAAAAGGCTTCCGACTTCAGCTCAACGATCACCAGCACCATGCCTATGGCTGCTGTAAGTGCTCTTTTATGGTTCAAGGTCCGGGAATGCTAATCTCAAAACCATAGATGTTCACAAGAAACAGGTAAGGAGGAGCAGTTTTAAGCATCATTGCATATAGCTAACAACAACATCAGGATGCTTGGATGGTAAGCAAATGAAGCTGGAATACGGAGTACGTGTCGGGGATTGACAGGCTCAGGTTCTCACTAATGACTGCTCTTCTGAACTGGCTGGGAGAAACTCCAGCGCAGAGGTCAAGTCCTAGCGGGACCCCAGGATACTTGTCTTTTGGCATGGCACGTAAGTGACAGTGTCGAATTTATGTGGCGATTTTGGCGGCTAATAGCTTTGATAGTCCTCGCTGTCGGTGTTGTATGTACTCGTCACAACCAGGGTTTTGAGAAAGCTACTGATTCTTTGACGCAGACATACATGCCTCTGTTTCTCCCACCACCACCGAATGCAAGGGGCCCAGCTGCAGCACCGCCGGCTGCTTCGACGTAGCGTTAGGCAACCGGTCCTCAGACGGATGAGCTGGGAGTAGGCAAAGCGGTGGATATCATCGTAGTTGACATATGGCGCAGACTGCAATCTAGTGTCCCGCCGAAAAGGAACGTCGGACCGTGCACGTAACTGACAGACGCATCCAAGTTGGCTTCCTCAGTATCGTGGTGCGTGGTTCGAGGTATTACGTAGCAGTCGCATTGCGCTGTCACATGCTGTTGCCCCCAGAAGCCAGGCGAATCCGGCTCTTCGCAGGCAGTTTTGCTGGTGGCGGCCCTGCAGTGCCACTTGGGCTTGGCGGCCTGGCCTGCGGCGAATTGCCCCCGCCCCTGCTGCCCCTTCGCTTTCTTTCTTTCACTCAAACCACCGCTCTCAACAACGAACAGACCGACTCTCCACTCCAACAAACACACCTCTTTGCGGCTACAGCTTCTATCGCTTTATTTTTCAACGCCAGATCACTTTTCGAATCCAACCGTTCCCCGGAACCGACGAGTTTATGTCAACTATCCAAAACCTCAAAACCTTTGGTAAGCCCAACCCCTCTTCCAGCTCACCCCTCGCCACTGCCGCCGCCGTCGCCGCCAACCTCAACACAAAGCGCTCAACCATTGCGTGCCTCGAGTCCGGAGCCGATTTCGAAGGCCGTTGGCAAAAAATCATCGGTAGCACTGTCGACAAGTCGCATATCGATGAGCGCACGTCCGGTTGAGATGGAATGTTTCGTGACTCACGGCTGACTTTTATCCCCGACAGACCCCTTCGCGGAGGCCGACGACGACACTGGGGAAGCGAAGCAATCCCAGAACTACATCCACATCCGCATCCAGCAGCGAAATGGTCGTAAGACTTTGACAACCGTCCAAGGGCTTCCCAAGAAGTTCGACCAGAAGAAGATCCTCAAGGTCATCAAGAAGAAGTTTGGTAGGCAAGAGTCTGACACTCAAATAGGCATACATGGCTGACGAGAGCTAGCTTGCAATGGCACGATTGTCACGGACAGTGAGATGGGCGAGGTGATCCAACTTCAAGGTGATCAGCGCAAGGATGTACAAGAGTTCTTGGTCGCAAAGGATGGCCTCGAGCTTGACGCCAAGACTATCAAGGTAGGGACGCATTCTCCGCGTCTGAAAAGCAGTCTACTAACCGCGCGTCAGGTCCACGGTTTCTAAACGCGTCAGCCGCTATCCTGTGCTATCCTGCTCGGTGATCGAGGACAGATAGAAGTTGTCGACCGACGAGAATCACCTTCCTTCTACGATTACTTCTGGCCTGTTCGTCTTCGCTGGTCGATGCAGCGGCCAAGATACGATAGCATTTTCGGGATACGATACGGTTATGCGCTTATGATACCCACGATAGAAGTTCACTTCGGGACAACGCACGGGAGGGGATGTCGGATGCTGTGATTAGGGCGCCAGACGCGGTCGAATTAGCAGGACGCTACCAGCGTCTACGTTCGACGTGCGAGGGACGGACTGGTTTCTCTCGCTGATGTTACCGGTCCTGGTTGCTAGTTTGCAATTATGAATTGCAGCAAACGGAGTGTCTGTTCCCTTGCATCTTGACTTGTCTTTCCCGGTCCTGAATTGAGGCGGCTGTGGATGCCGTGCTGCGTGTGAAGACTTGCTATACCAGCTTGTCGAATCGATGTGGCCGGGATTCTCGTCAAGCTCGTTCCGAAATCTCGGATGGGCTGGAGATGCGGCCAAGAATCCGGGGAAATTGTAGGCGTGTGAGCACGCGTGCAACGTCACATGATTCGACAACCGTGAGCGAACTCTGCGTCAACTCACTCCAGACTTGGCCTCGACAGCTTGACGGTCACGCGCCTCGATTCAGCAAGCTCTTTTTCCTCAACACCCGTGTCTTTTCGACGCACCTCGACACTCGTCTCTTTTCCACTCAAGACTCCGTAGTATTGGTGATCAACTTCCACCGTGACCCGCGTACAGGAGGCAATACCGTGCCAGCTAAAGGCACGCGCACAAAAAGGCCATGCAGCCGCCATAGCGCTGCAACACTCCCTTTCCGCTGGCAAACCCGACCCCGAACCCGGAGGAGGCACTAGTGCCCGTGCCACCATCCTACGGCGAGATCGCAGCCCGTCCGGCGCAGACACACCATGGAGCTGGCGACGCTATACCGTCGAGCGTGGCGCGATCGGCTCGCCACCCTCGCGTAGCTGTCGTGCTTGGAGTCCAGGAGCAGTGGCAGTAAGTTCGCGAGCAGACCGAACAAGCAGCCTCAGATGGAGTCTCTACCTACCTCATGTACTCGTACTGCTTCGAGCCGCGCGTGTTTCCTTTCCTTGCTTGCCAGACTTTTTACAAGGTCAATACTAACACTGCCCGAACAGTGCACCGCTTCTTCTATGCCGCGCTCTGTCGACCATCTCGGCGGCATGGTGGGCCTGTCAGACGAGTTTCAGCATCTACCAGCTCGTGCATGGCCAGGGATACGTGGCACATGAGGGCCACGTCCACAGCCCGCCAGAGAATGCCAATGCCATGGTCCAAAGACTCGCCATCGCGCAAATCTGCTTGAGCTTCTTGTGGGTATGTACACCACAGGATGAAAGTGGTGGTTCCCCGTTGTCTCCATGTCTCTCCCCGCGGCGTGCAAGTTTTGCACTTATGCCGTGGTCACTTGCTCGCCGAGCTGTGTCTCAGTCTCCACTGGCATGGTATGATTTGGGCTACCGCTAACATACACCCATGGCACACCTAGGCCGGCGCGGCAGCCTACCTCGCCCACATGTTCGCCTCGTCGCTCATGTCGCGCTGGCTCCTGCAGTACTCCCCCCTCGCCGTCCTCCTGCGGCTCCTCAGCCTCAGTATATTACTGTCGTTCCTCTGCCTGCAGATCTTCCGGCTCAGCCACGCCACGCAACCCGCCCTGCACCTGCTCAGCCGGTCGCTGCTGTGCTGGATCTGCGTGTCGGTCGTGCTGATGATGGTGTATTTCGCCACGCAGCAGGACATTGACATCACGACGCGCGGCACGGACGGGTACCGCGACGATCGGCGGCGGAGGACGGTGTTGAGGCTCAAGTGCCTTTACGTGGTCAGTGGGTGTAGTTTGTTTAGTTTGGTGGTTGTGCTGGGGATTCTGCATCTGGACACGATCCCGTCGCTGGACTGGGAGGACGTGCGATCTAATTTGGCAAAATTGGGTGGTGAGATTTGGGGTCAGGGGAAGAACGTCTTGTGGAGCACAGGGAGGGAGAGGGAGTTGTGAATAAGGATATGAAAATAAAGGTGAAACGTCAACCTGAGCACGCACGCGGCTCATGCATTTTCAGTGAACCATACGGTTGCAAGCAATCCGAGACTTCCCAAGATGGAGCTTCAAGACGCGAAGGGCCCAGTGCCCGCAGCGAGACTGCGCACCACGCTCGCCACAGGCCTGGTATGTCCGGACACCATGACATTTTCGATACATATGGCGCACGGTACAAGACAATCCACAGCGGACAGGGAGAATGCTTGTCATCGAACCGACAAGGCCTTCGTCGAGAGTAGAGAACGATGCTTTGCTTTTCAGACTCTTCTGCCACTGAGTGATTTGATGACGAATGCAACATGAATGCTTCGGAGCGGTGTTGATCGACTTTCACGAAGTCGGAAGGCAACAAAGATGACTGATAAGCGCATTGCAGTTCATTGCTGCGGTCGAACAACCAGACTCGACTGGCTCGAGGCAACGTGCAGTGATCCGCCGAGACAGTCTTTTCAGGGCACTAGATTGGAGAGACCGACTGGTGAAGGCGAAAGACACCAACGCAGACGTGCAGAGACCTGGGCAAGATGTCAGGGGCAAGGATAGCACGACACACGGAACGGCTCATCCGTAGCAGATCGAACATCTCAAGAGCGTAAAGGACGACATGACACACAGCACAGAGGATAACACACAGCACAGAGCATAGCAGTGCAACGGACAGCAGCGCAAAGGACAGTCAAGAGACAGACACACCACATGCACCATTGACCAGCAAGGAATCCCGAACACTAATGTCGACTAATTAATTCCTTCCCATTCAGACCAGCCACGACTCCTGGACCTCGAAGGTGCACCGACCTGAATGCGACGGGATGGGACGTCAATTAGTTAGTAACAGGTAACATGACATCTCGTATGAAAGATACTTACCGTCAAGAGCAAGGACGTCAACAACGACTCGGCGACCTACAGTACTTCGCTAGACATATCATATTCAATAACGGAGTGGACTGCCTTGGTCACAATACGCAGCAAGTGGTCAAGGAATACAGATGCATGAATTAGTTGTTTGGAGTGGTTAGTCTCGAGCAGACAAGAAATGCCCAATTGATTGGCTTCGTTGATTACAGGATCCTGATTCCAGTACATAGCCGAGATGCTTGCATACCTAAGAACGCCGGTTCCGTAGGCTCGCTCATACTGTACCTTGATCGGAGTTCTCTCCTCCTCTCCTCTATACAGACCTTATCAGAGTGTGGCCTCACTTCCACCCTATAGCTCGTTCAACATCTACTTAGCATCTGTCTCCATCTGCCTGTCATCCGTCTACCCCTGCATATCGCCCCATCTACCTCTACACACCCTTTCTCTAGATCTACACAGCTCGTTCTATCCCGGTCTTTGCATGAAACTGTGGCTTCGCCTCCTCATGCCTGCGTCGGGCCTCCGCTGCTCACGATGGCTCGATCCCTGTCCCGCTCCGGTGTTCTCACTTTCCCTTTCGCCGGACCGTTTATTGGCCAGTACGCTGTGCAGTTCATGGCTCTCACCTCGTTCCAAAGTATCGTCGACGACGGCATTGTCGTCACTGTCATCCTGTGGTGTCCTGGCCGCGGGTGAAGTCTCCTCGCTCTCTCCGTACGCGCCACCCACGCTCTCCATGACGAAAGGACCAGCGGTAGGCGCATCAAGGATCCGCAACTCCTCGTCTCGGAACCACTTGGGCATCAACCACGTCCGCACGGGGATGAGCAAGAGAATGATGATGGGAAATCCAATGGCCGCGATTGTCTGGGAGATTGCAAAAGTGGCGCCGAAGCCGATGAGTTCGCACGCGACAAACGCCCAGGTGGCTCGCCGGCGCTCGATCCTTGCCAAGGGATCCGTCGCGTCGGTTAGTTCCCTGTCCTTCGCAAGGAAGAGTAGTTTCTTGGTGATTCCATTCCCAACGAGTGCTTGCACGCCCATGACGAAGAACAAGCCCGCGAGGACGCCCTGTGGAATCAAATGCAGGACGACCAGGAGAGGGCCGCTCATGGTGACGAGGAACAACAGGCCTTGCGCGAGGTTGCTGAAGCGTTGCTCGACGACATGGTCTGTCACGCGGACGACGTGGCCCTTTGCTTTCTCGTCAACGACTTGGCGCGTAACGCAGAGGGCTTGCGTGTGGAAGGGCGCCTGAGGGATCAGGCCGTTGGGAAACGGAATGCCCAGAATCCCAGCAAGTCCAGTGGTGCAGCCGAGGAGAAAGATGTCCCAGTGGAACCCGGGCGGCTTGCGCAGAGGGAATTCAGATCCTTGCGCGATGAGTGACGATACTGGTGATTGTCAGCATGGTAAATGTTGACAGAGCCGCGCCCATACATACCGTTGTGATCGAACCAAAACAGAATGGTGAGCAAGACGGCGAATGGGATGGCGAGGAAAACCTCGCCCACACTGATGTCCCAGAAGCGGACGAACCAGTCGCGGTCGGCAGTCGGAGCAAAGGCCTTGCTTGTCGGTAACGTCTCGACGTGCACATCCTTCATGTGCCCTATGTGGACAAATCCCGTGAAGAAAATGATCGTCAATGGCGTGCCATAGTCCTCGATGAACTTCCGCACGTGGCGCTGCAACAGATTGCTCTCTCCCAGGACTCCGCATCCATAGGCGAAGCCGAGCACGAGGAGACTCACCATGACCGAGAGGTAAGCACTCGCCTCGCCAACCAAGTCCCACTGTCGAGTCAAAACCTGGATGCCCTTCTGTAGGTAAATGAAGGCGACGTAGAAGCCAAAGGTGTCGCAGGTGAAAAGCGTCACGTATGTTAGGGCATTGCAGCTGTTGGTGAAGGCCAGAATCCAGTGCATGATCAAGGACCAAATCCCGATCCAGGCCATGAAGGAAAAGTAATTGGTGCCCGAAGGCACCACAATGTCGTAGACCGTGTAGGAGAAGACGGTGATGGGTCCCGTAACTCCGACGATGACCAGCGGCTGGCAGGCGAAGAGGGAAAATACTCCACAAGCCAGCACGGAGGAGAGGAGGACCTCGTTGACGCCGAACGAGTTGTGCGTTTTGGTGAACATGTCGAGAGAGAATGCCAACGCCGGGAGGATACTGAAGAGGTGGTCAGTGCGAAGTCCATTGGGATACATGTGCGCAGTGGTCTCGTGGAAACGGTATATGTAAATGGTATATGGATTGATCATACTTTGCAAAGTACATATATACTGTCGCGGGGATGACTCTATAGTCCCACGCGTCTTTCCAGTCGCTCCAGTAATACGGAGCTCTTCTCTTGATATCATCTGTGATGCCCTTGAACCAACGTATCTTGTACCACTTGCGGACGCGGCGGTTGGAGGAGCGAGTCTCCTGGCGCGAGATGTGCTCGGAGAGCCGCTGCACCTCCTCCGGGTCCGGTCTGGAATGACTCGAGGCGAAGGAAGGACGACGAGCCTGCTGCCATGGCTTCTTCGGTGCCGAGTGGGAGGAGGAGCGGCGACGCACATTTGGGGGCGCCGCGCGAGAGGCAGTCGGCGTTATGACTTCTGTTTGAGTCGCCATCTTGTGGTATGTTATTGAACTCTAAACAGTTCAAAGAGAGTGATCATTCGACGTCGGGCACTCATTCCAGGTGGGGAACTTGATTTTTGAATAGAAACAACACCAGAAATACAGGACGCATGAGGGGAAGAGCACATCTAACGATGCCATACGGCGTTAACCAGGGTTCCTTCTCGCCGAGCCTCTTGGTCTTCGACGGTGAGGTGAATGACGGGCGGTGGGCGGCGATGTTGACGGGAAAAATGCTGCTGGGGCGAATCATTGCTGTTATTGGTTAGGGCTCAACCCCGCACGTTCTGCATGATTGCCGTCATGCTTCCCCGCACCCTTGGACCTCGCCTTCGCGCTCGGCGACGCCGACGTGACGCCGACGTGGACATTTTGTGCTGTCGAGGGTTTGACGAGGAAAGTTGACAAGGAGCCAGACCAAAAGACAGTAGGAAGACACATGGTGCAACACGGTGGTGAAAGCAAAGTCGAAGGAAATCGATTTCAAAGCAGATATTGCTAATGGAAGGCTTTCCTGCGCCCTGATTCGATGCAACGTACCTACGGAGCAACCGGCTAGAGACACGGATTATGATATCATGCTGAATGGGTTCAAGCGAACGGCCTGGCCTCCTGGTCATCGACCTGCAGTCTCCAATAAATGGTCTGTAGCGATGTCGCATCGTGTCCAGCAGCAAGCTCAACACCTCTCAACCCAGACCCGAAACACCATGGCCGACGTCAAGCGCCCGAATATCACGCTGTACACGGATGCCACGCCCAATGGCCTCAAAGCCTCGATAGCGCTGGAAGAACTCGGCCTCCCGTACAAGACCGAGCACATCAACATCGCGACCAACCGGCAGAAGGAACCATGGTTCCTGGAAATCAACCCCAATGGTCGCATTCCTGCCATGACTGACACTTTCTCCGACGGCGAGCAGATCCGTCTGTTCGAGTCGGGAGGTATTTTCCAATACCTGGTCGACGAGTACGACCACGACTACAAGATCAGCTTTCCCAAGGGCACCCGCGAGTACTACGAAATGACCAACTGGGTGTTTTTTCAAAATGCCGGGTTGGGTCCCATGCAGGGGCAAGCGAATCACTTCGTGAGGTACGCGCCCGAGAAGATCGAGTACGGCATGAATCGATATGTGAATGAGACGAGGAGATTATACGGCGTGCTGGACAAGCATCTTCAATCCTCGAAGTCGGGGTTCATTGTCGGCGACCACATTTCGATCGCAGACATCACCACTATCGGGTGGGTAATCTGGGCAGCCTGGGCGGGTGTAGACATCGACGAGTTCCCCACGCTCAAGAAGTGGGAGGAGATGATGAGTGCGAGAGAAGGTGTCAAGAGAGGCTGTGATGTGCCCAGAAAGCTGGACATCAAGGAGAGGATGAAGGATAAGAAGTCCTTGGAGGAGTTTGCAAAGCACTCGAGTCAATGGATTCAGCAGGGCATGAAGGAAGATGCGCAAAAGAAGTGACCAACAACAACCAGCTGGGCGCCTCGTAGGCCGAGTGCGAATCATCAACCTTCACAGGACCGTTGGTCCGTTGCACGTCGTTGGCACGCTCTCAATGTCAAGTCGTAAGCAAGCCTGTACGTGTCCCTGACGTCGTGCCTCGCATCTTCATCCAACGACAAGTATTGGGGGTCGTCGCCGTGACAGCGCGGGGAGAGGTTTGCAGTGTCGTGGAGCCCAGTTTGTCGAATAGAGGGTGCACACATATCCTCGTTAATGACCGTTGATGTCCACATGGTACACAAGTCTCCTCTTCTACTGTTGTAGTCATGATGGAGTCTCTGTAGCTCGACGTTGCGTGCGCATCCGATATCGTTAATGAGGCTGCTGCACACAGGTCCTGACGTTCGAGATGATACGAAGGGAGTCGTAACCCTGCGAAAAGACTCCATAGCTTCCATGGGACCTTCTCTTGCATGATGCATGACACGTTGCAGCCTTAGCGGGCTCTTTCACCCAGGTGGAGGTCGGATGTAGCACTGTGCAAGGACTATAGAGAGAGTAGACATGGTTGTCAGGAACTCCACAACTTCCATGGAACTCTCTCTTGCAACGTAAAGCAGCAAGAGATGCTGACTAGGATGCTTTACGCCCTCCTTCTGGGAAGGCGTGCTCTGATGCGAGCAGGCTCGAGAGGGGAGAAACAGACTGGGTTGCCTGTCACTTGGACTCCATAGCTTCGAAAGTTTCGAAGGATCCTTCCTTGCATGGGCGTAACAAACTAGCGTCCCTGGGTGATTTGCAAGTTATTCAGCCTGTTGTTGCACGGTATGTTCGGCTCGAGCTACGGTTGGTACCATAGCTCTCTAGGGGCTCTCTTCCCCAAGTCGAGGATGCAAGCGCATGACAGCCTGGTCTTGCATACCAGTTGGCATATCGAGCATGTGTGAGTGTGCCTGCAACGCCATTAGACCCACCGCAAAACCATCACGAGGACAAGGATGTCTCGAAGCAACGCATCATTGACCCACCTCTTGAGCATGCGCAATGAGGATCCGCAGGGGTCTTTCCTGGCGGATCCTTGAGCCATGCGCCTCATGGTTGACCAGATGTGACACTGGCACGTCACGTAGCTGCAACGACGTCGAGCTGCCTCAGCGGATCTCGCAGGGTAGCGAGACGCTAGGATTCTACCATCCACGTGGACTGCGGCGCTGCCAACGGCAAACCTGTATTGTCTTCACTTGCTCAGACGTCTGCATATGCTTGCAGACGTCTGCTGCTGACAATGCAGTGGTTTCCAGGATAGGAAAGCACCCCTGCGTAGGCCAATCATCGCTTTTCGTGCAAGGCCCCGTGCGCCTTTCCTTTGTGACATAGCTGCTCACTCAGCCGGGTTCGAATATTTCTGGAATGTGTTTCGGTGCTAGTCGGCGGCGGTGTGAATCAAACGTTCGTCTCAGCGGCTGAGGATGGTCTCCATGCTGGTCTCCAATCCATTGGCGGTCTTGGTCTCGCACGGAAGTGTTCCGGGGGAAGTGGTTCTGGCAATCAGCCGTGGAATCCCAGAGGCTGAAGCCTAAGAGGAATAACGAGATCTCGTGATCTAATGAGGCTTGCTGACTCAATTTTGTGGTGGAAAGCTCATACACGCGCAAACGAGCATCGTAACGATAAGGCAATGCCAAGTCTTGTGTTGCAGTGTCCGTTTTGCGTGCCTTTCGAACCAATGATGAACTCGGCCTTTGGAAGTCGTGACGCTGTGATGAACCTGCACAGCTACAGGGTAATCATGGCGGCAGCAGCAAGATGCCACACAATTCAGCCGGCACAGAATTTGTGCCCACAATCATGGTCACCATCGCGTAGCTGGCTGGTCTTTCCTAGGTCTGATAATGTCACCACCTGATCACAACGTTTCGAGAACCAAGTAGAATCCGCAACGCCGAAGCGTATACGCATGGACTCGGCCGCGTCGAATGATACTTGTACATACAGGAGGACGAGTACGCAGAGGAAGGGAGATGTTGCGCCGCGCTTTCCTGGGATGGGCTAGCAAATCCAAACCACCAATCACGCCCGACGTCCTCGCTGTTACGAGGTACGAACTGTTTTGTCCCTCGGACTCGATTGTAAAGACGTTGGCGCAATTCCAACGAGCTGTTGGTCCCCAGTATTCAGCATTACCACAGCGTTCAAGGAGAGTGTTCAAGGAGACCTTGAGAGCGATGACTCATCCTTGATTCGATATGTGGCTGTGCATTTCAGGAGAGAACAGACCTCATTTCGTTATGTATTCAACATTCCTCCGTATGCATCATTGACACCGACGCTGGACGTACAGGACAACCTATCTCCAAATCTCGTAGTATATGCAACAAGTGCTCATCGTCCCAAGCTTGATGAGCTCCCAAGTAGCAGACAGACCCGTAGATGCAGGTCGAGGCGGAAGGCCTCAATCTTCTTCTTATCAACGTGAACATCCTTCATTGTCATACGTAGCAACGCTCAACCACAGCATTGTTTCGGGCTTCGTCAAAGATCATGTAAATTCCACCGAGGCCCCTGTCCTGCCTTCCTTTGCAAGCCTCGCCTGCGCCCGCTCTGCTCGTCGCCTCCTTCGATTGTTGGCGTACTCTGTCGCTCCACTTGTCTCGGTCCCGGGTGAGGTGACTCCACTCCCTGCCGGGTATCCCAGGTTGCTGGCACTGCCGGGTATAGGCGGCGGAGGCGGGAGGGGGCCTTGGTACGTATGCTGTATATTGGTCGGCCCAGGCGCCGTTGGATAGGGCACAGCTGGCGGCGGAACGGGCGCTTGAGCTGCCGATACTGTTCCATACTGTGCGGCCGCATGTTGTTGAGCAGCAGCTTCGTTCTGGGCAGCCTGCTCGGCCTCCAGTGCTTCCGTACGTCTCCACCGTCGATCCGCGCCACTGGGTCCAGCTTCACTGTCACTTGCACTGATGCTCGAGCCTCTTCTTTGTCTCCTTGCTGCGGCGGATGCTTGCCGTTGTTTCCGCCGCTGTGAGGCGGCTTCTTCTTCGGTCAAGCGCCGTAATGTCACCCGCCCGCCCTCATTGTGCATGTTGATCTTCACGCTAACGGGAGGCGACTCCATGCTGTCGGTATTGTTATTGCGGCTACTGTGACGTCGCCGGCGGCTGCCGTCTGCGGCTGCCGCACCGAGTCCTGCTCCTGCAAGGCCAGCTGCTGCTTCATCCCGGATATGATGTCTGTGTCTCTGGCGGCCAGAGCCGGTCGTGTAGAGCTCGCTGCCCGAAGATTCGAGGTGAGGGGGTGAAATGGGAGGCACGCCTTCAGACACCGGCATGGTGCCTGGGACAGGCGGAGCTCCAGGGACTGGAGCAGCGGCATAGGGATGACCTGGCTGTACAATAGGAGGATCTTGTCCCACTGGTCGAATCTGATGTCTGCTGGCAAGGGCGCTTGCTGCGGCGGCGCCCACTCCTGCACCAGCCGCCGTGGGTATTGCTCCACTCATCCCAGGTCCAGGCGGACTCAGATCACTTGACAGGTCTGATGCCGTTTGACTCCCCATTCGGCCATGACGGGCTCGTCTCGGTGGGGTGACCCCGTCACCTGTGTATCTGTGCCGGGAGTTCATCCGGGCGACCTTCTCCTGTTCTATTCGCTCTCTCCTCAACTGTTCTGCACGAAGCTCCTCTTTTCGCTGTCTGCGATTCTTAAAGAGTTGTCGAACTGCAAAAACTGCCCCTCCGGCCGCCACGGCGTCTCTGAAGGTATGCGACCTCCTATCCCGACGAGAAGGTGATCCAGACACAAAAGAGTCATATGACGACGCCGATTCTGAATGTCTCCGGTAGGCCGAGCCCGGCGTCATCGGCGGTTGAGCAAGAGGATGTGTTGGTCTGCCATAGCCTGGGCTTCCTCCCGCTCCTGGCGTGACAGGACGAACTGGAGGTGGCCGCCCTTCCTCGATCCGCGACATGGAATCCGTTGTGACTGACTGGTTCCCACCGAGCGGTGGTCTGTACGGGCCAACATCGGAATCGTCGTCGCGGCCACTCCGATCAAAGATTTTCTTCACCGCAGCGACTGCTCCGCCTATCGCTGCGACCTGTAGTAAGCGATGTCCGATGCCATGGTGGGATCGGTCGGACATCTTTTCGTCCATGTAGGATGAGCCACTCCCGGTCAATTCGGTTCCTGCTCCGTCGGCCTGTAGCCTTCCAGGCGAGGGGTTTCTCCTCGACGACCTTCTCCTCCATAACGCTGCTAGACCTGCGCCTGCTGCTCCGGCAGCGGCCAACTTTCCAACGCCTGTGTGGCCATGGCCAGCTCTTTCCTCCACGACCTCGTCGCTGTAGTAGCTGCCGCCATCATTGCCATACCGAGCTCTTCGTCTTTCTGACAGCCATTGCAGGATGAAATATAGTACTAGCAAGAAAAAGCCCCAAAGAGCGTAGAGCACAAAAAGGAACTGCGGCGACCCATAGAGCGTCAGCCCTAGCGCGACCTGAGTGATGCCGAGCAAAGCAATAGCTCGACCCAGCCAGTGATGTAGCATTGCGGTAAGAGGGATGTGCAGCCGCCGTCTTCCCTTTTCTTTTCTGTGCAGCATGCAACCTCCGATAATTTGTACCCATACCAGGACGTAGATTGCGACTCCGATGCCATGATGGGGATTCGTGAGGCTTCTATTCGGGCCCACGGCCTGAAAGCCCAGAATGATGATAACCGTACTCAAAAGTAGTGTCAGGATCTGAAGCCAAATGTGCAGTCGCAGCGCGAGCCGGGGATTTCGACCGTAGAAGCGCATGAGGAAGATGGCGAGTGGGACGATCCCCAGGAATGTGACGGCTGCGATGATACCGTGCGCTTCGACTAGGCCGTGGTAGCCGGCCAAGGTGAAGAATCTGTTTCCCATTCCTGTTTGAAGGGTCAGTCTGCTGCAGCTCTCCAGATACTTCTGTGCTCTTCTTACCATTGTATCTCATTGTCGCAAAGTTCAACCCAACCAAGGGAGGCAAAAGGAAGTTGTCTCTACCTGCATCCCAGGTCCCATCGCCAACATGCATTGTGTCCGAGTTGTAGGTACTGCTCCCAGGCGGAGCGAGCTGGGGCGACGGCGACATGGTCGTGGGAGGCTATGCTCCGGAGGTCAGGACGGTCAGACCATCTACAAGAAGATATCGCGGTTCTCGCGCCGAATCTGTTTGGTGGAGGGTGGAGGGTGGATGCTGAAGCCTTGCCGCTGGTGTCGGTGAACTGAGCCCGATTGACTTTTTGTTTACTTCAAGCTCACAAGCGGGGCAAGGTCCAGGTGAAGAAGCCTCTAGTTAAGTCGAGTCAAATGATGTTAGGGTTCGCTCAGGAAGTTGGCAGAGGGCTGTCGCACAGAATGTTATTGTTCAATCAATGCTATTGTCTAGACCGGAATCAAGTCTGAAGCGGCGCTGGTTGTCGCTACTGCAAGTGACTTGCTCGTTGACGGTTGTCGGGGGGCAACCCGGTTGGTGGAGAAATCCTGCTCGCCTGGCAGTGCCACGCATACTCCGTACGCACACCCTCTTTGAGACCCTCTTCTGCGCCGTCTCTTAGCCTATCAGGGTGCATATCTGCGTGGAACGGCAGCCCAGATCGCCTCATCGCTTGGGCTGCGATAGCGCAGTTTTGCAAGGACGAGTGATCAGCGAGAAAAGCTGCCGTCATTCAGGTAGAAGACGAGGTCGATGTCGCATCTTCGAAGCCGCCGATTGTATGTCCCACGACAATGACAATTGACGATGAGGAGTGGGCTCATGTCGTGAGAGCGGTTTCCAGGTGACCATCTCTGTCAAACGCAGTTGAGCCATCCAGCGCAAAAACTAACAGATCAAATCAGGCTTCTGGGATGGATATAGTGAGTCTGCAACGGCCGTCATTACGAGAACAGGCGCTGAGGTTGACGCAGCACATTATCATGGAGCGCTTCTTTCTATCCACAACCGCGGTTGAACTGGAAGCGGCGCTCAACGCAAGGGCTGGCCATCGACTTCCCTCTTCTTAACGTTCTAGGCTTTGTGTGCTATAGTATTTCGACATGTTGTTTCTGGTTTTCACCGACTATCAGACAGCAATATGCAGCAAGGCACCCGGCCTCACCGGAGCCCACTGTTCAACTCAACGATGTGGCCTTCGGCGTTCACGCCGTCATCCTGGTCACCGTGACCTACTCGCAGTTCTTCTCTCGCTTATGGAGGTTCCCCAATCCATCTCTTCAGCGAGCAACGAGGCCAGTTCTGGGTATTCTTTGGGGGAGTATTGTGGGTGTCGCAGGCATCACACTTGTGGTGGTGTTTCGCTCAGGCTGGAAAGACCAGGACCCGCTCGACTGGGCCTGGATTGATGTGGTGAGATTGTCTCATTGTCCCGATCGGGCGCTGGTTGTGGTGCTGACCATGGATGTCGTAGTTGTACACGTTGGGTTATGTGAAACTGATCGCCACATTCGTCAAGTACATCCCGCAAGCCTTCTTCAACTACAAGCGCAAATCGACCGAGGGCTGGAGTATTTGGCAGATCCTGTTCGATCTCACAGGTGGAGTGCTCTCGGTTGCACAACTCGTCTTGGATGCAAGTTTTGGTGGTGATTGGAGTGGAATCACCGGGAATCCTCTCAAACTGGGTCTCGCAAACATCAGCATGGCCTTTGATGTGGTTTTCATCACCCAACACTTTATCCTCTACCGTGGCCAGGATGACGTCTCTACCACGCCAGACGATGAGGACGACTCCCAGAGGCCGTTGCTCAGCCAGTGACGGGTCAACGCGTCTGTCTTGTATGGCCTTGTGACATGGCGGCGGAAGGTTCTCAGGCTGCCTCCCTTCATTGGTGGACTCTGGAAAAAGAACTCAATGCTCGTTACGCCGTACCCCAAAAATCTATTCTCATCCCGACTTGAGGGCACCAGTCTCTCTCCTTCTTGGGCGAGACCCTTTAGCAGATGTGGAACATGTGTCTTGCCTTGGGGCCAGTGCTAAAGAGATCGATGGCTTCTCGCCAGATGACGCCTTCCGCCCCATCAAGCGAATTGTCATACAACCATCGATGGCGTGTCCCCGAACGGTCTGGGCGTGGAAACTGGAGATTCACACATTTGCGGCATGGTATGAGTACGGAGCCGGCACCTTCCAGCCCGGCTCCAGTGCCTGCCGTCGGACGTTAAGTTGGACACAGTATGAGACAAGAGGGCAAGGACGAGGCCGTTCTTGGGTCGTTGCAGTCTTCAAGATCGACGAAATCAGAGCAGGAGATGGAATCAGATGTACCTGCCAAGCCTCCGCCAGTTTTAGAGGGGGCTGATCACCCTGAATAGACATACCACAGCTATCTTGCGCTTGATATAATTACCTAGGTACTTTGTAGGATTCGGGGGCCGCAATTAGACGAGTCCATTAGGACAACTGACCTACGAGGCTGCACGCTATATTTCATATGGCGAAACAATGGGTCATAAACGGTATCACCACTGATCTTGTCTCCGTGGCCTTGTTGCCCAGCATGACTTTGTATGACGCGTCCTTGGACAAGTTATACTGGCTCAGCATATGCATAAGTGAGACGCAGGCCGAGTGTGACGGGTTCGGTATAGAGGAGATGCGGCCTCCGTCGTCGCATCGCTTCCATCTTTAGGAAGCTGCATCCCTGCGTTTGCTTGCAGCTCTCCGACGGAGGTCAGACTGGCTGAAAGGACCGGCTTGTGCTGTATTGTGGCCAATGCGAAGGTCAAAGGTGGTTTTGAGTTTTGCATCGAACGCACTTGGGCGTGGTCGACGGGACGAATTCGCCCAGCGAGAGCCAGGCCATGTTGCACGGGCGACGATCTCTTTGGCCGTGCTGTTTGCAGTCAAATGCACCTCTGGCATGCCGGGCTGGCGGCTAACCCTTCCAGGCAGTTCCCTCGACCTCCAGGCGAGGCTTGACTAACTACAGTAATGGAGAAGTGAGGGTTCGCATGCACGTCCACGGGCGTCAAGCAAGCTAGCGACAGCGGGCCGCACAGCTCCCTTGAGGCTCTTCGTAACTGTGGCTTGGCTCACGGCAACATCCAAGCCAGGTTGTGTCGAGCAGGAGCATCCTCAAGACGATGAGGGTGTCAAAGTAGCACGCACAACATTGAGCCGTGACTGAGGACTACGGTGAGGGCGTGGTGAAGACTGGATGCTGCACTCGCCGGTCCCCTACACGATTCATGGCTACCAATGTCATCTACTTCTCTCGTTCCTCCCAACGCCATGCGCAAGTCTGTAGAAGCGCTAGATTAGCTGGCTGTCATCCTGTGGTCTGCGGGAACGGGCATTGCACGCCCTGCTCGGTTGTCTGCTCGGTCCTCAGGCATGAGGTGGTCTGTCGTCCACCAAACTGCCGGATACGAAGTCGCGTAGTCTCACGATATCCATCTCATGGCCATTCATCCTCGCCCAGCAATACGAAGAGGCAGTTCTGAATCGAACAGGGAAATCCAGGTATCGCTGGTTGGACTAGTGCGGCCTTCATGCCTTGCCAACTCCCTCATTAGTGCACGCTGTTGAGGTGATCGCTTATCTTCGAGCTCTTTTCGGGCTTCATCAGGTTAATGCTGTCCTCGCCTGCTGTCGCAAGCACAGTCAAAAAGATGTCTAGTTCGTGGGCGTCAGAACGGTTGCCTTACTCTCGCAATGTCTCAATAAGAGCCCCGGTGCCCCCGGCGCCCTCTGTGCCTCCACTCTTCCCGCCCTCTGCGCCTATCATCTTCCAGTGTCTGCTCGTTACCGATCACCCGAGGAGCCTCAGCTTAACGTAGCAGGCCCCCCGGCTGGTTTTGCTGGGAGGTGAGCAGCTACTGGGCAATCGCAGGCTAAGGAAACTTAGCTCGGCAGGCCGCCATGCCCATCACAGCCGCATGCTCGCGTCCAGACTCACCAGGTCATCACAATGGCCGTCTTAGTCCAAGTCTAACTACGAGCCCTCGCCGGCAAACGCAGCATCAGCCATCGATACTGTAGCCAAGCACGGGCAACAAAGCACTTCAAAACTTCCCTCATCAAACTTTCATTTGGTCCATTCTTTGGGCATATCCCTGCAGTCCTCAAGCTGACTCTCTTCTCGCAACGGTCGTAGCACCACTGACCCCGGGCAACCGCGGGGCTGTGCTTCTTTCTGCGCCTCCCAAGGCTCCAGTAAATATTTGGTGTACTCGTGTGGCATCCCTTCACCTACCACGATACAAGGAGGTGGTGCTTCTGGGTGACTCGTCAGATTTCGCTCAGACACACAGTCTCGCAAGACGCCCTCTTCAACCTCGCCCGCACCCCTCGACAACGAATTTCTCTTTGCTGCCTACAACAACCCTCCGCCGCTGGCGCCCAAAATTGACGGTGCTAGAGTTGTCCGCCATCAGGCCAGCCACCCAGAGCGTCCAAGGGTGTTGAGCCTCTGAGGCGAGGAGCCTCATCCGCCGCTGCAGAGCCCCTCGCTCGTCCTACCGAGTTACTACCAAACGAAATCCATTTTCACCGGTACGAGCGAGTCTCACCCCTCTCTTCTTTCTGTCAAACCTCTCGGGCCAATGACTTGTCCAACCTTTGTGCCTTCACTTTCTGGCTCCGCTATCGCCGTGGCCTTCCGAAAATGCGAGACCGCAGATCGCTGGTGTCCCCAGTTGAGGTCGGTCTGGAACTTCTTAGCCTTGACGGCTAGACCCCTGCTACGTAAAGTTCGGTCTACAACCCGCATCTGCATGATCACTGAATCCATGTTCGCATGTCCTGTTATTTGATGTCGTTTGATCCCACGAGTCGGGCCCAAATCTCGCACTCTAGCAATTGAGGTGCTCGCACTGACATGGCTCACGCGACAGAAGCGGACTCGGAAGACTTTGATTGCAGAGCACGACTGTCTCTCTGAACACTGCTTCCTACAGCATCAAGGACTAGCCACACAGTCCTTCAGGGTCCAACCGACCCTCTTTCATCAAGCCGCTGGACGATCGGCCATGTGATTCCTTTGGTTTCTCCATGTCCCATCAGGAATCGTTCTTCGACTTTGAAACAGATATTCTCAATCGGACTCCACCACTGGTCCCGGTGAAGCCGGATCTGGAGCCGCACGACAGCCCCGCGCCTTTTGTCCGTATAGATACATCTTCCGACTCGACGGACGTGGAACAGACCGACGGTGTACCGTCATCCAGGAAGAAGAGAAGGAAGAAGCGGAAGGGTCGAACAAACCCAACCTTTGCCGACGGCGTACTGATTCGTTCCCTAGATCCTAACCATCTCGAACTAGCCAGCCACGTTGAGAGGAACGCGTTAGCATCGGCGAGCCAGTCAGAGGTGGAAGAGGAGGACAATAAGGATGGCCGCCGACTACAGATGAGCAGGCCGAGCGAAGTGGTTCAGTCTCGGGCAACGCAGGATGCAACTAGACGCCGAGAGATTGCCGTCTCCAACAATGCCGACAAGGATGATGACTGGGCGATGATCGATACCCCGGTGAATACAGCTGAGGCGAGATATCCGCCCCCGTCTCCGATATCCGGTGGTGATGCCTGCCCACCTCGCCATCAAGAACAAAACCAAGCTTCAACTTCACCTCTACCAGAAGACCCTCCCAAGAAGCACTTCGACACTCGTCCGCCTCCGCTGAACGAGAGATTGGGCTTGAAGCTGAAGCCAGGCCATGGCCCTGCCGAGGAGGACGAGGACTCCATCATCAAGTCACCTGCTCTTGCAAAGTTCGCCATTGCACGCGACCATGCACCTCCAGGTTTTATCCTCCCTGCATTGCAGAACAAATCGCCGCCCCGGTCGTCGCCGGCCGGTCTGTCCGATCTGAAGCACAATCTTCCAAGTATCAAGACGGCCATAGGTGATCTCCCCGACTCGAGCTTCAGTAGATTCGCTCCCATGTCCCCCATGGGACGTCCATCTCCCATCCATTTAGCACAATATGCATCACCCGCATCTTATTCAGCGCTATCACCTCGGGCGCCGATGGGTCCCCCCTCACATCACGAGTGGAGGGGGACAACTCGTGACTCGAATGCGTCGAAGTCATCGAGTTACGCTAGTTCTGCCGCCACAGGGTCCACACCAGCGTCTTCGATGTCTATTCCATCCCCAGCACCATCATATCCATCGCCCTCGTATCCGTCACCTTCGCACCCATCACCACCACACCCGTCGCCCTCGGACCCGCAGCCCACGCCACCACAGCATTCGCAACCGTCGCCCTTTGCAGCTGTGCGAGAAGAGCACACGGACGCGGTACGGCGAGACTCTTTCGACGAGAGCGAATCGAGGGTCAGATCCGGATCACAGTCGGAGCCGCCGTCTGGCGGTGGCTTTCCTACCGATGAACACCCTGCAGGGCGTTACGTTGGAGGTGCGTACATCTGCATGTATCATGGATGTACAGCATTACCGTTCCAGACTCAATATCTATTAAACAGTCACATGAACGTCCATTCCGACTCCCGCACCCACTTTTGTTCTGTGAAAGGTTGCCCTCGCGGCCCTGGTGGTCAAGGCTTCAAGAGGAAGAACGAGATGATCAGGTGGGTACTCTGACTCTGGGGAGTCGTCCTGTGCTGCAGTCGAATGCTAACTCGCCTCATGTTCAGACATGGCTTGGTCCACAAATCTCCCGGATATATATGTCCGTTTTGCCCCGATCAAGAGCACCGGTATCCTCGACCAGATAATCTCCAGCGCCACGTCCGGCAGCATCATGTGGACAAAGACCGAGACGATCCTGTCCTCCGTGACGTCCTCGACCAGCGGATTGAGGGAGGAGCACGTGGCGGCAGACGGCGAATGCGGTTATAACCATCGCGGAAAACTCGGTTGACATGGCGATTCGTAATACGAACGACCCGGCCCTCGACCCCGGTCATGGCGCCCGCCTCCAAGAGTCCGCTCCATGCGGCAAACGGGATCCCAGACGTCTGCCTGACCGAAGGCCAGGTTCTGTCCAGCACACTCGCTTTGATTTGCTTCACTTCATTTCTCAAGAACCTTTTCCTCTTCTATCCTCCAGTTTAGCATTCTTTGGACCAGATAAAAGCCGGTGTCTTCTTCCAAACGCCGCGGGTCTGTCATGTCGTATTTGCGCGGCACGCCCTCGTCGACACCCGTGAGGCACTCCGGGTCATGGTATGGAATATTATCAGGCCCCCGCTAGTCCTAGCTTCTTGTTACCCGACCTCGACAAGTCGACTTGGCTTTCCTCGTTGGTGGGTAGGTGCGGCAATGGTATGCATGAGATGACAACGGAAGAGGTTACTCGGCATGTATATATATCCCGTGCTTAGTCCTTCGCTCCAAAGGGCTCAGAAGACGGCATTCGGCATTAACAGTGCCATTATCACGAGCGGTCCACGACGTTTACGACTCTCACGATTACTGACATGCTCGACTATGTTTCATTTTCTAGGATGGTTGGTGGGCTGGATAGCTTGATGGAATGGAAAGGTGAATCGGCAAACGCCCAACTTCTCATTTCTAGTGGCAAATACTATGGACGAAGAGAGGTGGTAGAAGAACAAGAAGAAAACAGGTTCTGGCGATCACCAGAGTTTTACGTGCGCCGGAAAACGAATGGATCAGTCACTCCGTCCGTAGCGACGAGGTTGAAGGTTGAGCTGAGCTGGTCTTCCGCCAGTCAAGCGAACCATCAACCTGGCAATCAATCAAATAACCCTCGAAAAGGGGCCTGGTGGCGAAGAGCGCAGTTTTTCAACTCCCTCCCTGCACTTTGCTCACGCACTCGCTCACGCCGCCACCGTCACAAAGATCCCGCGGCGCTTCGAGAGCGAGCGAGGGAGCGAGACAACGAGGGTGCAGTACGTAGGGGACTGTCTAGAGTTGGGACGATGCATAGTATCTAACGTGCTTGTCGCTCGCTCAGTGCGTGCCTCCTCACTTGCTGCCACCTGCCCGCCTACCTGCTCACTTACTGCGCATATTTCAAATCTAAAGCCAACTCGCCCAGCCTCTCGCCACAATTGGTCGAAATATACAAATGGCCTAGAGATACAGACGACAGAACCGAAGCCGAGAAGATATGCAACGCCTGGCGCGATTCGAAGCACCGACTTACGCAGGACTGAGCGCAGTCTACTCAAGTGAAGTCAAGTCAAAGCAAATCACCCGCCGCCCCCCCCACCACCCACGCTCCCCCCAGGGTCTGTGAGCTTGACCTTAATCCGTAAGAGAGACCCGCGTATGTCCTGCCTAGCTACCTACCTAGCTACCTAGCTACCTAGCTACCTACTAGTTGGACGGGCCTGAAGGGTACGTAAACCCGAGGTCATATTCAATCCATAGTAATATATCCACATGTTCCGTACTGTATCCACTTATAGTGGCTGGATGGCTGGATGGCTGGCTGGATGGCTGGCTGGCCTTCCACGACTGAGAGATCAAATATTGCGTTCTTGCGTGTCCCTGTCGCTTGTCGTTTCACGTCGCGATGGGGACATGGATGATCACAATGCTAGCCGGGCTAGCAGGTAAGGAAGCGAGTACAGTTCTCGAGGAGAAGGAACAAGGACCTTGGCGCGGATATGATGAGGAAGGACCATGTCGTCGACATGGGCGAAGCGTCTTCTTGACCTTGAATTCCAGCCTGCTGAGTCATACTACATACAGTACAGTCAAAGAGTTTAGAGGCCCGCCAAGTTGGATATCTTGTCCCGGATCCTCTCGACCAGCGTCACTCCCACGTCTTTCGTGCCGCCCGCCAGCATGGTGTCAATCTCATCCATGGTCGTCGGCTCGGTCAACCCCCAGAGTCTCCAGTGGCCCTCCTCGCCCTTGGTGGTGATCTTCTGGATGACCACGTAATCTGTGTGCCTGTGCGTCGTTCTCTTGTCCATATCTGCGAGCTGGTACTGCTGCCTGCTGCGGATTCGCACGATACACTGGCGAATGTACGAGTCTGCAACGGGCAAGGGCGCCAGGCGGTCCGACACGACGCGGGCATGGTGGTTGGGCAGCAACGGCGAGAGCGGCCACTTGTCGAGCCAGGCCGGGTAGCCGATCCCGAAGTAGCCCAGGAGCTCCCACCGCTCGACGTTCTTGCGCAGGGCCTTGCGCTTCTCGATGCGCGTCCTCGCCGCGCCGGCTAAGCCCTCGCAGCACATGGCCTGCAAGGCCCTCATGTCCCCTTTGCCCAGCGCGATGTGGAACTGCTCATGAAGTACCTGGGCATAGTCCCTCCTCTTGTCCAGCTCCATGGGTCTCCTCATCTTTTTGCCCGTCAGAGGGTCGCGCTTGGCGTCCCATTTCAGGAACACTACCAGTCTGCAAAGAATGGTCAGCCATGTTTCAATTGGGGCATGCCGTGAGGCTGCCTTAAATCACTTACGACCACCAGTCCTTGAACGCCGTCTTCAGTTGCAGCCAATGGATCTTTGTTCTCTTGAGAGTCGTCCAAGGCGGTAGTTCGCTTGACGGCGGAAGGATCAATGTCTGTGGCAGTTTCCCCAGGTCGTTGCCCATCTGCTGTTTGCTGGCCTTGTGAACTTGGCTTTTCATCGAGCTCTGCCTGGGGAGCCGCGAGTCAATATTCGTGACATTATTCTTTACAAGAGCATCCCGGCGTCGCGTGCTCGAGAACTGGCGCGTCGAGAGGGAGGATGTTCGGCCGGCGCATTGCGGGCAGGGGCTCCGGATATGAGGTATCGATCTGCTGATGATGGTGATGGTTGTGGCGGAGAAGGGGGGTGTCACTGTAGCCTGCATGGGCAGCAGTCTTGTGATTGACTGTGACATGCTGATAGTTGGAGCGTGGAAACGAATGAGGAAGAGGGCGGGACTCGAAAGACAATTGCGAACATGCTGCGTGAGGAACAATTCATCGAAGCTCTGCCGCGGCGGCCAAACTGTACGAGTTGCACTGTGGCAAGCCATACCGGGTTGGGACTGGACTGGGATGAGGCTCACGTGATGAGATTTGCGAGGCTAATTCTAACTAGGTATAGACTGATCTGCCGGGTAACCACCCCCCCTCCGGGCCATCCACAGCATCGAACTCATATTCCGGTTCTTGCACGTGCCTTGACAGCGAATATATTGAAGCCATTGAGGTTGCAGCCTCAGACTTCTTGTGACTGTCAATCAGGCTAGCTACCACCAACAGGACCATTCGGGATCTTCAACGCCTGGGTTCATCCTCCTGGTTCACTACCCTGCCCTTGCCCCTGCGTTCCCTTTCTGGTGTTCTTCCTTGCATTGATTATCTTGCTGTTCTGGCTACTCTTCCTCTGCTGTTCTAGCTACTACCACAGCTACCCTTTTCAGGCGCGTGGGATGGTGCAAGGCAAAGTTTCTTTTGTATGGAGACAAGGTCCAACAATGTCAGGAAGTGGCCGAACGTCCTCCGAGTCGTTACAAGGACGTCCGTGCGCCAACACGCTGATCTTCAAAGTTCCTTTGCGCTGCGACAGCGACGCCGCCAGGCGTACACTCCTTGTCTCATCTCTGCGGCATATCTCGGCCAGATGAGACGACCTTCTTGCGGCCTGCGGTGAGTTCGATAATTCGCGACTGGCGATGCTCATCGGGTCGATCATGTGTGAGCCTCGATGTCATCATCTGTCGTTGGAACAGAAGTCAGCTCCTGTACCGATACCACTTTGTTATGCTCCAGCGACAATCGATACTGTCGCCATCCAGGAAAATCCCCCCAGCCTTGATGATCTGTATCAGCTAACAAGTCGCCAGCCACTCAGACAGAAGTGTGGAGGATCGCAACTCTAACTTAGGTGGCCCATGGCAATGTAGCAGGAACTATCTCGTGGGGGAAACCCTTGGCTTTTAGTTCAGACATACATCTTTCACGGCGTTGCAGGTAAGAATGCCTACCTGCCTCCGTCATCTCTCTAAGCATCGGCTACATGCGCCGATCTTGCACCTCGCAGCCTCGGTACTATACTAAACCAACAGACAAATCTCACGATGCCGGACTACCATTCGCGTGCTCCTCGGGCAGAGATTTCAAACAGCAACATCAATAACATGATCCAGTCTGTTCTGATCACTGCCGACAGTGCAGTTCTTGGCTCTCCTGCGCTGAACGGGTGCCATGTCATCACCGAAGATGAGCCACTGATATGCAACGCAAGCTCGGAGAAGCGTGACTGATTCGGTTAATGACTCAAGTCACGGAGAAGGGGTAAAGGGAAGGGAAGTCGTGCCTTGTCTGCTTGGCCTGCTTCGGTGCGCCCATGTCCTCGCCGGCTGGCGGTTATACTAGCAGGCTCGCTAACCATGGACAGAAAGACAGGCAAGCAGGCAGCTCATTCGCTTCGTTCGGTCCAAACCATTCTTGCCCACTTGTTCACTTACTGACACTCTCATACTTACGTACAGAAAGTTAAGCCTCACGCAGAGGACTTCTGAGCATGGTGTTTTCTGACCGCGGCATCCTCCGCCACTATGGTTGCGGGTGGATGGGTGGAGGGCGGATGCTGTAGGCGAGCACGCAGGCCGAATCGCACAAGGCACACAGACCATAGGAGAAGTATCTACTCAGAAGTAGACACGAGAGACGCCCATTTCTGCTAACTCTGGCAAACACGAGCAGGCCGCCCCGCCGTGACGGGATGTACTCTGAAGACTGAGCCTGGGACTGAGCCCGAGTAGGTATGGAATGGAGTCCAAAATGTGTGACTGAGAGAAGGATTGAGTGACAACATGGTAAACGCCCACCCCATAGCTGGGTGGTTGGGTAGTTAGCCATTTTGTCTTCATCTCGTTCCAATGCAATGCATGTGATGCCTCTGATTCCGGGGAAAGGGGTTCTCCTTGGAGGAATGGGGACATGATCGTGAGCGGCAACGGATGAGACAAGACGGGACGAGAAAATAAAAGTGAACGATGCCTGGTGTCCGGGGTATCCGAAGTTGAGCACTGACACGACTAAACTACATGGATCACATACTGTACGCAGGCGCGCATACTACGTCCATCCACATTGGACGACGAAACGAATTGTGACTTGCGAACCAGTTTTGAACTCAGTCTTAAGTTGCATTCTGTGTCCTGACTCGTGTGTCCCTCGTCCCCGTACTCGACTTGTCCCAAAGCGAGTCAAGAAACTCAAATCTTCGTGGTCTTCGTGGTCTTCGTGGTCTTCGTGGTCTTCGTGGTCTTCGTGGTCTTCGTGGTCTTCGTGGTCTTC